CCTGACCATGGCGACCCGCCGCCCACTCGCCAACGTGCCGAATGCAACCAATTCTCCACATAGGTCAGGACCTGTACCAGCCAAGCGATCCAGGTCTACACAGATGGAGATCCCATATGGTCAACCACCCCCGAAGAAGCAGGTTATGGAAGCTATAGAGAATGATGGCCGCTCCCCAACTCGAAGCAGGTCGGCTACAGCTCAAAACACGGACTCGAAATTGTTTGCGCGACGTTCCAACAATGCTACCCCTAGTGCGTTCGAGAAGAAGCTCGTTGCAGCTCGCGAAAAGGAACGTCAGCCGTTGGTGAAGACTATCAAAACAGAAAAGGCTTCCGCGGATACCATGGATACTATTAGACAGTGGCAGAGACATTACAGAAAGGCTTTCCCTCAATTTGTGTTCTACTTCGACAGTATCCCGGAGGATGTTCGTCGCAAGTTCTCTCGCCAAGTCGTTGCTCTCGGCGCTGTAAGTTTCCATACCCCTTTCTCCATTGTGATATTTTTTTGTGCATGACGTGACGGCATCTCAACTTATATCCACTGGTCTGATACCATTTACTGTTTTTTGTTACTGACAACTATGAACCTAGCGTGAGGAGAAATTCTTTTCGCGTCTCGTCACCCATGTTGTTACATCTCGAGCTATCCCTCCCGAGTCCACAAGCCCAACCGAAGCCGAGACCACTGCCGACGCGACGAATGGAGATGGAAATGTGCAGACAGTCAACCCTTCTATGTTGGAGCGAAACGGGGACACACATCTGCATGTTTCCTTGAAAACAGATACCCGTCGTGACCAAGGAACCATGGATGTTCTTCAGAGAGCTCGACAGATGGGCATGAAAATTTGGGCTTTGGAGAAGCTTCAACGCATGATCACCACTATCAACGATAGCGACATCGGTGCCCAAGCTGACACCGCATCGCGGAGCAAGACTGCCGGTGGAAATGCCGCCAATGGAAAGGGCGAGAATGATCTCTCGCGGGTCCTTCGACAAGAACTCCTCAATGGACCGTCTGATCGTGACCCATTGTCCTCAATGGAGATGCTGATGTTCAAGGGTCCATTCGTCTATATTCACGACATGAACGAGAAGACAAAGCCTGTCATGGTTAGGGAATACTCTCGCGTCGCCAGGCGGCAGGATGGTTCCTGGCCCCAATTCAGAAGCGCTCCTCTGGGCAAGTGTCCCTTCATCGACGAACCGCCAAGCAGGAAGGAGTATGATCGACACCGGCTGCGCCAACTTCAGAAAGAGAAGAAGGCCGCCCTTCACAATACTGATGGAAACCGTGAGGCTAAGCCAAAAGCAATTGCCCCTGCTCACCGTGTTCAAGACACCAAATTGGTCACCGAGGTCACGAAGTCGAAGCCCTCAGAGCATGAACAGCGCATCCCACCTGCAATTCAAACGGAATCTCAGAAGCCCTCATTCGACGAGAACAATGAAAGAAAGAGTTCAGAGAGCTTCATCCCACCCCATTTTCCTCGCACTGGTCCTTTCTACACTGGCCGCGAGCCAGCCGCTTCAGGCGTTCAACCGTCTAATATGACCTCCGCAATTCGCTCCCAGATGATCTCCTCCACTGCTGCAGCACCTGGTGCGAAGGCTGGGCTCAGCAAGGAGGTCCACGGCCTCAAGCGCAAGGTCCTCGAGAAGGGCACTGGGGCTATCGGTGCTGGATCAATGGCTGCTCCTCAGCGCCGCGAGGGATCTGTACCTGTCCAGTGTAAGAACATGAATCCTCTTGGAAGATCCAACCTCCGTCATGAGGATGATGGAAACCAGTCCGAAGTTGCTGGCTCCAAACGTCAAAGAGAAGACAAGGAGCAGCAACGGAAATCTGAACGACGCAGAGACCCAAAGCCTGGCTACTGTGAGAATTGTAGGGACAAGTTCGATGACTTTGAAGAGGTCTGTTCTCGCCATTCCTTGTTCCTTCTGATAAACCAAATACTGACTAGTCTTTCAGCACACTCTGACAAGAAAACATCGTCGCTTTGCTGCAAACTCCACGAACTGGGCTGAACTTGACGCGTTACTCTTTGAAATCCAACGTCCTCTCAAGGACAAGTACGAATATGATGAATAGATCTGTGGCTTATCACTGCCCGTCATGATTTCTTTGGACCTCGACCGCTGTCGGATACTTGCATCCCGGCACTGTTCGAGATATTACTTACAGTTACTTTTCTTCTGCCACTTGCACTTTTTCTTTCCGCCCGTCATGCTCGATTTGGCCCTCAACCTCTCGCATAATCATACCCTCGGCATCGACGCATATGCATATGGTGGCGTTTTTCTTCTCTTTTTTACTTTTTACTTTTGCATCAGCACTCCCAGGAGCCAGTATTCACCGAATGCTGTTGCCTTCTTTTGATCTCCATCGAAGTCGTCCACTCGTTTGGCATTTTCACTTCTTTCCACTGTATTGAATATCTCCTTTTACATCAGCATCGCCTTCCACCCGCGACTCAACCGCATCATCAGACGACAAAATTTTTGGACTATATCAATCAACACGCCCATCGGAAAAGCTATACCCTAGCTCACGATGCAGTCCCTGCTTGTCTCTGCACTGTGGCCAAACGCGATATAGCGAAGGTATAATGGACGATTCAGCATGAACCCAAGCGGTCACTCGCTTTGCATTGCCTTCCATTGAACATCGTTATCCCCGATTTTGGTCCCACGGGGCCATATTTTTCAACGCCAGATTCATTCCCTTATGTCACTCTCTCCAACTGTGGAGTGTTTTTCCTTTTCGACGGCTGAGGCTTGTTGCCCAGCGCAGACGGCGGTAGTCTCGCTGAGACTTTTCCTTTCTCGTGACATTACTTACCTGAATACCGCATTTATTCCGATGATCTGTATGCAGTTTGTATCGTGCTAATTGAACCGTGCCCTACTATCTTCTTCGGCGTAGAATATGAATACCATAAAGTAAACACTTTAGTCCCTCACTTAACCCAAAGCGGTAATCACCTCGGCGAGACGCAACCAGTAGGCGGTGACCTTCATACCAGGGCGGTGAGAGTAACAAAAGTAAAATACAGCCGAGCTCAATGAGCTTCGTTCAGCTTTGAAGCTTTAACCCTCTATATAATCTCTTTGACTAAAGTAAAATCTTGAAATCCTAAGAATATTTAATTAAAACTAAGTCTATGCCACAACAACGCCAGCTCCCACATCCAAATCCCACGTCCAACGTCCGACGCCCTGCAGGTCACCCCGCAAAATCTCGGTACTCGGCGCGTGTAATCATCGGCAGTACGTGCGTATCAGAAGATCTTCAACCTCAAGATTTTTTGAGATGCTCCCGTCTACGCCGCATAACCCAGCACGTACATCCGGACGGATGGAATAATTGATCACTCGACTCAAGCCGTGATATCCGAAGGTCTTTATATTGAGCTTCTTTTTTCTGCTGTTTCTTGTTTTGTCTGTCAATTGTGCTTTGGATTATCCTGTGAGGTCATTGCCACAACATCCAGGATCCATAGCTTTGGACAACTACCGAGGAACTCTTCTATTCTCTTTCTTGCTACTGTATTTTGGGAGGCTTTTTTTGTTTTGAGTTTGCTTGTTTACGCTTTCATATTGGTCCGCGTCACTCCGACTCTCATATCGCACTTCATGGCTGCGCCGGGTCCTGCGCTGCGTCGCACGGCGTTGGCTTCTTCGTCATTTATCAGGACAAGGTTGCTTGCTGGTACACGAAGCCAAACCTCAACCTCGAACAATACCCTCGCTTGCCGCTGTCCTACTCTATCCCCCACCTCGACGCCATACTCCTTCTCGCAAACCCGATATAGTTCCTACTCCTCCCCGACACCTACACCAAGCGGAAATGGCAAGGCGCGCAAAAAGGTCACGATCCAAACGCTGCAGAACCTCTATAAAAAGGGCGAACCAATTGCCATGCTGACGGCGCATGACTTCCCCAGCGCTCATGTGGCAGATGCGTCGGGGATGGATATGGTTTTGGTTGGGGATAGCTTGGGCATGGTAGCATTGGGATTGGATAATACCACCGAGGTGGTAATGGAGGAAATGATATTGCACTGTCGGAGTGTTGTCCGGGGAGCGAAGAGTGCATTTATTGTGAGTCGGTGAATTTGTTGGGCGTGTGGTATTGCCACGGACTGACGAGTATCATTCTATAGGTTGGTGATCTGCCCATGGGTTCATATGAGATATCTGCCGAGCAAGCTATTGAATCGTCACTTCGCTTGGTTAAGGAAGGGCGCGTGCATGGCGTGAAGATTGAAGGCGGGGAGGAATTGGCGCCCACTATCAAACGTATCACACAGGCTGGTGTACCTGTCGTGGGTCATGTTGGTCTCACACCCCAACGACAGAATGCACTCGGTGGTTTCCGGGTTCAGGGCAAGACAACATCTAGCGCTTTGAAGTTGTTGGATGACGCGGTGGCGATGCAAGAAGCTGGTGCATTCATGCTTGTCCTCGAAGCTATGCCTTCAGAGGTCGCAGCTCTTATCACGGAAAAGCTGCGTATCCCAACCATCGGCATTGGTGCCGGCAACGGCTGCTCAGGTCAAGTACTCGTGCAGGTCGACATGACTGGCAATTTTCAACCCGGTCGGTTCGTCCCGAAGTTCGTCAAGCCATTTGCCAACGTTTGGGGCGAGGCTGCACGTGGAATCACGCAATATCGAGATGAAGTGAAGAGCCGTGCGTTCCCTTCAGAAGAATACACGTATCCCATCCCGAAAGAGGAGCTTGCCGGATTCCAAAAATCGGTAGACGAACGCTACCAGAAATAATGATTGCATCCAGTCCGTTCTCGGTTTCGCCATGGCCACTTCTTGCATATTTCTGTTATAAGCAGCATCATCATCTGTACATAAGGTCATTTCATTCATCAGTTCCGGTGGGTAGGCTGCGAGGGAGCCTGCTCAGCCAAATGCCGGGGTCATTGAGTAAGCGACAATCAATTGATCATCCGTTTTAAAGCACTATATCACGAAATCATTGGTATACGTCTCCGTAAGTATTAGTAGGAACTGCTAGACTCAACTCACCCTCCACAAACCACCCATACCCTCATCCAACCCGGGCGCAAAGACGCTGTTGACGTAACAGAAAACAGAATCTGTATCCTTGCAATCAAGTTTCTTCCGCAGAAATTTGACCACCGTTTCAAATTTCTGCGATGCGCTCACCTTGAACACGCGATTCTTGAGAATGGGAGCTGATGGCAGAGGCTGGAAGCGCACAGTGACTAGACATATGTTAGTTTGTAATTATTCGATGCAGTAAGATCCTCCTGCTACATGGGAAGGCACGTGGAGGTGGTAAGCACCTTTCCCTGAATCAATCCTCTCCACATCGGCGAGTGCCCGGTGCGCATCGCGGGGTAAGTTGGTCAACATGACAGATGCCGTCATGTTCATGGGCAAGTCAGCGCCATGTTCATCGTCTGGGATCGGTGCATTGCTTGTGTTGCCGGGTGGTGTTCCTGAGCTTGGGGTTTGGCGCGGACTTGGGCGGTGACTGAGGGTGCTTGATGTCTGTTGGTTTGGGGGTGGGGAGCTTTGTGGGGAGCTCGGTGAAGATGGATTCATAATTTATGTCGATAATAAGGGGGTCTTGGATATTGAGGTTGAAGTAAGTCGTAGGGAGTTGAAGTTGAAGTTGGAGATGGGAAGAGGTGGGGAGCTTAAAGCGGTTTGGCTTTGGGCTGGCGGTACGCGCTTGCCGGACCTCATCTAACTTACTACTCTATACAACTGAGGACTTTGTCCATAATTTGTAGTATTGTTATTTAAATAGCATGAAGCCATATCCTACTGATAGCCAAATTTAGAGCATACAAACAAGAATACTAGCGTAGGATAACTTAAAGGTGTCTGACCTAGGATAAGTATAGATGTCCGAGACCGAAGTATACGACGTCGGTCTTGCGTAGTTTGAATGAATATGGAAGGCGCGTCATCGACTCTATTTGAGCAGTTCATTTTCACAAGTTTCAGTCTCTCCTCCTCATCTCGCCATCCAAATCATGACGCGTGTCAACCACGGCAAGTTCTCCTACGACGTGGATACTTTCTACGTCGAGGCCTCCGGTCACCTCCATCGCCGAGCAATCCCTGCGGAGCTTAGAGCTATCTTTAATGCCACCATCCCAGACAGAAACCAGAGGCCCGACCATCCAGCTCACTGGTTTGAGGCTCAACTCCTCCACTATGGCCTGTCACCGTCGAAGGTCAAAGCAACAGCAAAGATGAGACTATTAGATGCCATACAAGATGATATCCTAGAAGTTCCTATTGAGCTGGTCCTGATGGAGAAGAGACTGAAGAAAGAATGGAAAAGACAAGATACAGCGGCACGCTCGCTATTATCTGGACTCCCCCGTCCAACGATCGACGATACTACAAGTACCACCACAACAGAGACAATCACCCGAAACACAGTGACCACTTTTCCTTCCGTCTCACACAAAAGAGGTCGTGACATCGAAGATGAAGAGGTGGGAGAGAGACCATCCGTTAAACAGACTGCTCGGCGCCGTGGCGTGGGCAGAGCCAGCGTGCTAAACAATACTACTCAGTCCACGGGTGTTCAACCGCAAGAGAGACAAAGACCAGAGCTTCCCAATCAAGCACGACGAAGGCAAGGCAGTGGCAATACAGTTCCCCTGCTACAGGCTGCCAGGCGCGGCGTGGTAGGTATTGGTAGTGGGGGACATGCCCATGGCAATCCATCTGCTACTAGCTCCCCTCAACAGAGAAGGCAAATGTCAACAGCTCGGACAGCGGCGAACGGAAACTTCGATCTGAGCGGACGGATTGGCCAAATTGGCATCCGGTCCTCCACTCCCTCGTATCGTGATGACCGTGAGATTGTAAGTGTATCCTTCCTTTCACTGGAGTGCAAAAAGATAACCAATTATAGCAGGATTATGATGATTGCTACGATGATGAATACTTTGGCGATTATTCGGATCCTTTCGATGATCAAGCTATTGTTGACAGTCATCACCCTCCTGTATACAATCAAGACCCATTCGATGATCGGTATCCTTCTAGCGGATCTTACCCAGTGAGCGCTAACTCTGCGACTGACAGCTATGGGGAGCCCCGTGGGCCTCCACCAATCTATGAACAGACCTTCCAAGCCCAACTCTCAAAGAAACGCCTCGGTCTACTGAATGGCGAATACGACATTGCATTTGACGAGCCTACTGGGAATCTTTTCAATGCCAACTGTCCCAGAGCCCGCCCAAAGATATTCTTAACGTTGAACTGGGACGAGATGTTCGGGTCGCTCAAGCTCGGGATCCTCGATGGCATATTGTGGATGCCAGAACGGCCGAAGAGAGCTTCCGAAGATAAGGTGCCATTTCAATGGCATGGCAAGGTTTCTGGCCAACTCTTTGTTGGATATGAGAACTCGGGCTGGATTCAATTTCTGGGCGACGGACAGATTGAAGGGGAAATTTCATGTTTTCTTCGATACAAATTTCAAGGTCAGCGAATCAGTGGAGAAACTACTAGCCCAGCTCGGAACGCGCATGATTTGCGAAGAGAGTGGCAGGGGTACATCGATCAAGTAAATGAGGCAGTATGAAATGGGCTGGTTGGATAGTTAAAGGGGTTGAATTCTGTAATGTGTCGACTGATGTTTCTTGCTATCAATGATGTCGAACTTTTGCTAAATCTCTTCATGTTCCTCCTGGGTAAATCTTAACTCATGATTTAAATTTGTAGAGATCCCTATGATAGCCACAAGCGCTATGCAGTCAAAAATCAGTGTTCCCATAGCCCCTTATGCCAACATCCTTATCGGGGAGCGGAGCTCATTATCAATAAGCTCAAAACGAAAAGGAGCATCAATAAGACCTGACGAGGCCTCCCAGCCCTTCTTTATATACCACGGTTTGATGAGACAGACATCGAATATCCTAGGCTGTGCAATCTGATGCAGTGGCATGAGCAGATTATCCATATCGCCTATAACATGAGGAAACAGATGAATAGTCAACTCCTCCAAGGCGGGCAGTTCATTACCAAGAACCCAACAGCACCTATCCCACATTCTACCACCAGGGTCAGCAAAACCAAGCTGAACAGTACGGATCAAGCTCAACCTGTGTGGTAGAATAATTCCCGGCAGATCAACGATCGTATCTGCGTGGTTAAACAGAAATGTATTATGCCGATAGATCATATCGATCGTCTCAGTGTATCTGCCGTTATGTTAATGGTTGATTCCATAGTAAGGGAAGATGACCGGGCTCACTCACATCAATCGACAACTCCGCAAAAGGGCCACAAAATCAACTCTCGTATCAAACTTCCACTCATCTTCCTCATACCCCGTCACCTCTCCAACCCCTCTCCATCCTCCAACACATCCCCCAGCTGGTCTACGTGCCAACTGTCCCCAGCAGCGATGGCTGCATGGACAGATTCCAAGCTGCTCATGGCACTGAACCCCGACGATTCGCGAGCGGGACTCCCTTCCCTGTCGCCATTTCGTCCTCATGATATGCAGCTTACGGCTACAGAGGTAGTGCTCCCAGATGAGGAGTCGGATCTCGGTTGGTAGGTTTTGAAATAGAGGAGACTGACTTTGGAGAGCTATTGGCTGCCGCTTGCGTGGTTTTAAGAAAGGCCATCGTCTGCGATTTGCTGACGGGGTGGTTTGTCCAGTTAGCTCTGGCTCTTCCGGTAATGGGGGTGTGAGTTGCCCCGGGCGAAGTTGGATTTCATTTGCTTGTGTGTTCCACTCCTTTGCTTGTGCATCTTCGTCTTTTCTTCTTATAATGCTTCTTAGGTCGTGTCCGTAGGCTTCTTTAATCGGCACCATGTTCCGGTTGGAACTCCGGTAGATTTGGGATCGGAAAAAGTTTGAAGTTGATAAGGAAGCCATTAACAGGAGGATCAGGGCTAGCTTGTGACGTGACATATAGATAACCTGACTCGCAGGGCTAAGGCACTGCCACTGCTGGTGGGGTCCGTGGGGGGGCAAAAGGACCGGTTTTCATTGTTCTCTTTCTTGTTTTTTTTTTTCAGCAAACCTTGAATTCTTGCCCTTGTTTTCTTAATTTATTACAGGAACAGTTTGTATGTATTTGCAAGCCCAAACCACCTTATAGTGGGTAACACTCATCTGCCTTTGATCTCCAACCATGTTGCTGCCTTAGCGCCTTAGCCGCCTGGCCTTTATATCTCCCCGCGGCTCCACCCAAGCTTCCCCTTCAACATCTCCAACACCTTTGAAACGTAAGACATCTCTTCTCATGGCTCCATCAAAGGGCCTCGTACCAGCCGCTGATCTTCAGTCATTTACTGAATATCTAAGCGGCTGCAAGCGAGTCATTGCTCTTCTTGGAGCTGGAATCTCCGCATCATCAGGCTTACCCACCTTTCGTGGCGCCGGCGGACTCTGGCGTTCATACGATGCAACCTCTTTAGCAACCCCCGAAGCCTTTCAGAGAACTCCAGGTCTTGTTTGGCAGTTTTATAGTTACCGACGACATATGGCTCTGCAGGCCGAGCCTAACAAAGCGCACTACGCGCTGGCAGAGCTGTCACGGAGAAATGAAGACTTCATTACACTTAGCCAGAACGTTGACGGTATAGTCTCCCATGAATATCTCTCACCATGACCTTTTATAAAAGGCTAATAACATATTCCCGTCTTCTAGGTCTGTCCCAGCGAGCACTCCACCCTTCTAAACAGCTACATCTACTACACGGCAGCCTTTTTGACGTCAAATGCACCTCCTTCTATTGCAACTACACCCGTGAAAATGACTTCACAGACCCGCTCGTTCCAGCCCTAGATATTCCAAAAATGGCATCAGGCCTTCATCCCTCCGCGACCGACAAGACCGGTGAAGAAGCAGCGAAAGCTATCCACAATGCTCTGGGCACAGGAGAAGAGGTTGACATATCCGATGCCAGCAATCCAATCCCCCACCTAAGCGAGGATGATCTACCTAAATGCCCTAAATGCAAGACTGGGTTGCTCCGTCCGGGTGTTGTGTGGTTTGGAGAAGCCCTGCCTGAGAAAACGCTTAGTGAAGTCGACCGTTGGATCGCAGCCGGCCCCATTGATCTCTGCCTGGTTATAGGCACCAGTGCAAGAGTATGGCCGGCTGCAGGGTATGTTGATGAAGCTCGTTCTCAGGGTGCACGAATCGCTGTGTGTAATATGGATTCTAATGATACTCCTGGTGAGCTTCATTTTGGGGATTGGTTTTTCCAGGGTGATGCCGGGGTCATTGTCCCCGAGATCTTGAAGGGTGTCATTGGTGAAATTTAAATCTCTTCTGGGGTAGAATTGGGGTAGCATTGGGAATTGTGATCATTGGAATATGGGATATGGCTAGTGGCCATTTTTAGATTTTGGGCGTTTCATATTAGCTTTGCATGACTTGGTAACTGATGAGGAATGGAAATTACGAGCATTTTACGACTACGAATGAAGAAACTTTGAGTTGATGGTTTGATAGATTGAAATGAAATATCACATTCATTGGACGGAAATGCGAGCGTCTTTTTGGTGTATTATAGTCGAAGGAGAAAGAAGAGCTAAGGCGTTTTGAACCAGTACTCTACCTTTTTCAGGGCAGCCAAACTGCATAGTTTCGAAAAGCACCATACTCTTTGAGCATGTCTCCAGTAATCCAGCCTTCTCATCTGCAGGACTATCACAGGCAATTGTCAATATAACAAGAGTGGCAGCAACAACGCGGTGATAGTAACAAGGCCATTCAACAACATGAGACCCTTCCTCGAGTGCCTTGTGTAATGATAATACCGTATCTTGAGCGGCTCCAAGGCAAACATTCCGAGCCATGCTAGAGGTATAGAATGGCGTTGAAAGGTTTATGCTAGCGAAGAATGGGCGATGCATGACGATCATCACATGGTTGAAACTTATATGGTTCATCGAGGTAAGCATTTGATGATTGGAACTGAGTATATTGAGTCACTCACGAAGTTCAATGTCGCAGCACTGCCGCCGGACCCACGCAAATTTTTCTCTTGCGCGCAGTCCCTCACTTGTTGCGGTATCTTTGGGCGCGAGATGTACCGGCAACTCCCCTCTCCAAGTCATGAGTTCCGCTTGGAGATTCATGAGCCGGCCAGCGAAGGATTTTATTCCATTTCGTTTTTCATCGATGTTTGAAACCTGTTGAAGGGAATTAGCATTGGGCAGCAATGTTGAAAATGTAATTATCTTACCAAGTCAATGATCTTCCGGACGGTTCTGGAAAACTTGGCCATGACAATAATGAAGGATACTCTGCTAACATTGGCTATCTCGTCCTGAATTCTCGTCAGATAGCTCATCGAGATCAATGAGGTTATAATAATCACCAGAGTCTCTTGTGGGTATGACGCTATAGAATCCGTTTCTCGAATACACAGTGGTCTGCCATATTCCACACACAGCTCGGACTCCAGGCTATACAGGGTCCACCACGTTCGCCTGGCCTCCTGTACGACAATGTTGGTAAAGCCGGCTTCGTCGAAGTTTCTGTTCAATCCTGCCGAGTACGCAAACCTGATAGCAATTCCTAAGTAGTCATATGCAACTAATCACACGATTAGCAGGTGAACATAGCACAAGTAGGATGGACATACGGTTGTGTTGAACCGTATAATGAGCATATACGGCCTATTATCTTGTCAATACAAGCAACCTGACAGAGCAAGGGCAAACAAACCATCAGTAAAGCTGCTTGCGCAGTCCGCAAGGCGCTGACCCCAAGCAAACTTCCGAGAAGACCCTGTGCTTCGGCAAAATACCTGGCTGCACATTCGGTGTCGTTGGGTGAGTATAGAGCCCCCAGAGCTAAGATAGAGTATGTGAGACATTTCCATTGTAGACTTTGAGAACATTCTGAAGTGTTCGCGAAGCGTCTGAAGGTGGCACGAAATACTTTTTCGTCGAAGATTGGGATTGTGCTATAGACGATACCGAAGAAGTGGTCTAGGTGGACCTCAACGAGGTTTCCGCTTGGCCACCAGCTAGTCGCCCTTCGGACAGTTGGGGAGGCATATATATCCTGTATTCGGAAGTCGCAAGAGGCATCAGAATTTATTGGGTGCTCAACTGCTTCCCGCCGCTGTCGCTTGCTTGCCCGTTCGTCGGCTCCACTGGAGGGAGCATGATCTAATACCACTTGAACTGTCTCGTGAACTGCCTCGTGAAATGATTTGAGGAGATCTATCGTTGACGTAGAGCCAAAATAATTTGCTACTCCCGTTTTTTCGTCGACGAACGTGACACCAGACACTGTATCATTTGTGATCTGTGGGGCATCTGCTCTTTATAAGCGTTTGTGTCTGAGTCGAAATGAAGCATATATACCTGTCAACTCAACCGTTCTCCTAGGCTGATATGTCCTCTCACCGAAAACGGCTCTTTCGAGCTCCATGACCCTCGCATTGATGATATCAAGACCACTGCGTCGAACGTTAGCGCTCGCATGCATGGTGTTACTTTTGGCGCGAGTTACCCAGCAAGTCTGCTCGCAGATGTCGAAGGGTCATAGGAACATTGTACCTTGTTCCTTTCACATGATTCGCAGGGGAGCATCCCGTTGCACTAGAAATGTTAGTATGGGATGCACTATTTCGGGAGGTTCCTTTACCTTCAGCTTTCGCGCGCGGCATGGGTTGCAAGCCTCGGTTGTTTTCCTGCGTTGCCCGGTGGATCCCGTGCTTTGCGACATAGTGGCAATATCCAATGTCAGCTGTTGGCCGTTTCCTTTGCATAAGTTGGATTGGGAACGGGAGTTGCGATATGGTGAATTCGCTTACGTCATGCATTTAATTGGCTCGGAATCTCCGCGGGACCGATGCTCGACGGCATAAAAGGCACATCCGTATTCCGACGGTGAGTATACATTTGGATTGTATAGAATTTGGACTCGATTTGAATACGTAAAAATATAGATGGTGTGAGGTGCTGATTGTTTTGTTGGGTTTTGCTCTTTATACCTCATCACATGCGAATACGTCCGTCTTTTAGATATCACACAATGCACATATATGGTCTCTCATCTGCACCATTAAGCAGCTCCATCATGGATGGTCATTCAGGATGCGCCAAGACCGTTGTCTAAAATGCGCATGTTTGTGATGTGTATGCACACCATAGAATATCAACGCAGTGAATTGGGTCGTGGATCTATAACTGTGGATCATAGAATCGCTGGTCAGCCAATCGCGGAGATCCCATGAGGATGAGCCTCCACAGTCAAGTTGCCGATCAAACTCCCGTAGTGTGTGATCGTGCAATGGCCCACTGTAAAAATCTTAGACCAGCCCCTGATATTTGCTACGAGCTATTTGTTCTTGTTGGGGTATATCTGTGCGGGGTTATACATATTTAAACTTGGACTTCCCCCTTGCACGTACAGAAAACATTATCAATCTTCAACACAGCTCCACATCATGACTACTAGATCCACAATCCCTCAAAAGAGAAGGAAGGAAGATGTCGATCAGGATGAGATCGTTAAAGATGGCCGGCTAACAACTGCCGCCGAGAACTTCTTCGAGGCTCTGTGTATGTGAAAATATCCTACGAGCAGTGTGCAGGAAGCTAACGTTTTCCCCAGCTGAGGCCGGTATCACTAACTGTTTTGTGAACCTGTAAGTCCTTTGAATAACTGTCTCAGTGTTGTAACCTGACAGATGAACAGAGGAAGCGACCACCCCGCCATGTTGGAAGCGATGATCAAGGCGAAGCAAGGTGATTTCCGCCAAGATTGGATTCGTTGATCAGGGCTGATTGGAAACAGAGAACAAAACTAACTTCCCAAACATCATCACTTGTCCTTCTGAGCTAGTTGCCCTTTCGGCAGCCTTAGGCTATGCCCAGGTCACGGGAGTTCCGGTATGATCATATGGAGGCCAATCACACCGCTCTCTACTGACTTTTGACTGGCTAGCAATGCGTTATTGTGCATGTCGATTGTGGCACTCTTGCCTTGGGACAGTCAATCCATAACGCATCCATTGGCAGAGTCCCTGTCCTTTGTTTCGCTGGCTTGAGTCCTTTCACTCAGAATGGCGAACTGCTTGGTTCTAGAACAGAGTCAGTTCCCTCAAGATGAGAGTTATGCTTCAGACTGACATAACGACAGGTTTATCCATTGGCTTCAAGATGTCCCTGACCAGGCAGCCATTGTTCGCCAATACTGCAGATACACTGGCGAGATCAAGACAGGACGCAATATCAAACAAATGGTCGCGAGAGCGTTGCAGTTTGCAACGTCTGACCCCAAGGGGCCAGCATATCTCATGGCTGCCAGAGAAGTCCTCGAGGAAGTAAGTATCCCAAGAAGACCGGCTTGTCCCAAACCATGACTGACGATGGCGATTTATGTAGCGTGTGCCAAGGGAGAGTTTGGAGGCAGATACTCTTACTTCCGTTGCACCAAGTGCGTTGCCGGAAGCAGGTAAGACATGTGGACCTTCTATGACTTAAAAAGGCTGACTTCAGCAGAGGTTGAATATATCGCCAAGGAGCTAATGAACGCAAAGCATCCGCTTGTTATTACCACATCGCTTGGTCGCAATCATGAAGCGCCCGCCCTCCTTGAGAAGCTCTGTGATACACTGCCCATTACTGTAGTCGAGGAGGTCGGCTCAGACTTGTGTCTGCGCAGTTCTCATGAGGCATATCGAGGTTGTACCGTCACCACCCACCCAGAGGTTTTGAAAGCCGATGTCATCCTCATTATGGACTGTGATGTACCTTGGATCCCGACGGCCGGCAAGCCTCGACCTGGCACCAAGATCTTCCATCTTGACGTTGATCCACTCAAACAGCAAATGCCACGTACGTGTTTGGATACTTTATCACCTGATCCATCTAACTTTGAGTAATAGTGTTTTCCATCAATGCCACTCGCAGATTCAAAGTCGGATGCGCAATCGCACTGAAACAAATCAATGCTTTCCTGGCTAAGGCTGATATTAACACAGCTCAATACACCCAAGCATTCGAGGACCGATCAAACAGTTACAAAAACTGGAGAAAGACCCTGCAGAATCTTGAAACGCCATCAGAAGATGGTGTTATCACTGTGCCGTACCTAACATCAAGATTGCGAGCCACTCTTCCACAAGACACTACATATGCGTTAGAGGCTGTCACCAATGCAGTAACTCTCATCCATCATCTCAATCTGTCTGAGGTATGTATTATCCGATGATTTCATTGATATCTGCTAATGATCACTAGCCAGGGAGCCTGGTTGCCAGCGGCGCCGGTGGCCTTGGATGGGGCGGCGGTGCGGCACTGGGCGTCAAACTAGCCAAGCCCAATTCGTTCGTTTGTGGAATGTGAGTGCCAGAAATACTTGAGTTCTCTTGATGTCAAGCTAACAATACTTCAGTGTCGGTGATGGAGTATATCTATTCTCCCAAATGGAGAGTGTGTATTGGATCGCCAGACGTTACGACGTTCCATTCCTCATGATCGTGCTGAACAACGGTGGATGGAATGCACCAAAAGTTTCTGCCCTTCTCGTACACAAGGACGGCTTAGCCTCTAAGTCAAACAGGCGAGGTAAGTTAAGGAGGGCTGATATTCTGATGCGCGGTAGCTGATTTACTGCAGATCTCAATATCTCGTTTGATCCCTCGCCCGACTATCCCGGAATTGCTACTGCAGCTGGAAATGCTTGGGGCAAGACAGTCACCACTCAAGCTGACCTCGATCCTGCTATTAAAGAGGCAAGGCGTGTTGTCGAGGGTGGAAGATGTGCCGTGCTTGAGGTTGCGTAAGTGCGAAGCATGACACTTGATTTGCATGGGCTAATAACTGTACAGGGTTCCATCCATTTGGAAAGAGACTTAGAACTCAGCTTCAATGAAGTACTGAATAGATACGCACTAGAGTCTATATGTATATCCTACATGTCTCTATTATCTTTATAAATAGCTCAATTCGGTAGCGATCTAGGTTTGAAAACGGCTAAGAACCGAGGCTCGGCCTTTGACATGAAAGGAGTTTTTGATTAAGTTAGGATTTTCCCCTACATGTATTAGCTATGCAAATGCGAAGGCGAAACAAATTATGATATCTAATGTAAAGTTTTGGCCTTGAAGAATCGTCCGAGGCTCCCTTATTTTGTAAGGGGCGTAGACGTCTCCAAATTGCTACAAGTTTGTGCGACAGCTTCTAGTTTGTTGCACGCAGCTTCCTCAGTGGGTTTAAGACGCGGTTTGTAACTATCCCCATAGTACATCTCAACAAATATGTAGCTTGGGAAGAGGCAATCTCAGTGCCAAACGGTGCGCATCACCTTAGGGACGCTCAAGATACACTCAAGACACACTCGAGACGGAATACAGTTGATTTCGAAAACAGATTCCCCTGTGGGGACACACGCTGTGTTTCTCGGCCCGCCATGGAATTCCATAGAACCCTATAGCTTCCCCCACCCACTTCCGGGGTTCCAGGTAGCGGAAAAAGATACTTCGCGGAGTGTGCCGGTATGGACTACCGTAGTCTAACCTTGAATTCAGAGGGCTATTGGCTTGGCGGCGAGCCATCCGAGCTTCAAGGCGAATCATCGCGCATTGACCAGGGAAATGTCGATTTCTCATCTCGCTTAAGCTCGCTGGCGGCTCGGTACGCGGAAAGCGATGCTACCATTCGCTCCCTTCCAGTTCAAATGGAACTCGGGTTGAGGCTGATAAAAAACCCTCCGATCCCTGATTGACTGATAAGTGGACTTTGATCGCCCACCCTGGTTCTAGATAATGAGATCATATTAATCGATAACGAAGACCGAATTTTGCATTCGCTCAGAGCTTTCGCCCTAAGATGAGAGGTGCTGATATTCTATCTGTTTCAATCCTGCTGTGCGGTGCTACAGTCGCCCAACAAGCTGGGCCCTATCAACACCAAAACACACTGGGAACTCCCAACGTGGATGAAATAAGTTCCCCGCCCGATTTCCGCGGCTTCCAACTATGGAGCGAAACTGGCAAACTAGACGCCAAAACGCTCTCAAAACTCAGCCCGGCATGCAGGGCATCCATGACACGGAGGATTCACTGTCACAAGAAGACGCGATCCCTGCGGGGGCGGTTTGGGCGTCGGAGGCCGGGTCTGGGTCTGGGAAGTGACGCGCTCAGCGATCTTGTCTGTGACAGCGGCTGCGGGGAGTCCATCGCCGCGTGGTTTGAGGGCGTCGAGCGCGATTGCGCGACGTTAGAGGAGAGGATCCTCTTTCCGGCCCAGCGGGGTGGGCAGTTGTGGGCGAGGTGGAACGAGACTTGTCTTAGGGATGAGGGAACAGGGAGATATTGTGATGGTGGGTTCTTCTTTCTCCACCCGTCTCGAATGGTATAGGCATGGTACTCACTCACATCATGCGTGCAGATGTTATCGACGAGTTCACAACCTCTTCCATCCGTGAAATGCCGATGGAAGAACTCTGCTCCTTCTGCAACGTGCAATGGCACCAAATGATGCAAACGTCCCCGTACTCCCACTACGACAATAACTACAAATCGAACCTTGAACACATCAACAGGGCCTGCGGCCTCACCATCCTAACAGACATCCCGAAGCTCACGCTCTTCGAAAACCCACACGTAGAGTGGGGCCCGTACTGCCCGACCCATCTTTTATACACCACTTCAGCGGGGGACACATGCGACGGCATCGCGGCGCAGTTCAAGGTTGCCTCGGCAGCTGTTCGAGGTGTGAATTGGTCGCCTATCGACTGTTTCGCTATTCCCGAGGGTAAGAGACTGTGTATCCCGTTTGGGTGTAAGACATATACGTTGAGGGATGGGGATACGTGCGACTCAATTGAGCGGGAGTTGGACTTGAAACCGTGGTTGCGACTCTCGGCGATTCGGGAGTATAACCGTTGGGTGAATGAGGATTGTTCGAATCTGCATGAGGTTAGTGACGCTCTTTTCGGGCGTGTTATCTGTGTTGGCCCCACGGGTCTGTCGATCCTGGACGAGTGAAAACTTTGTTCTGGAGTGACTTCGTTTCGTGCGCTATTCTGAGGATCTTGCCTGCGCTAAGTGCTTCGGCGATGCATTGGGATGACGCGTGGGGACGACGTATGGTTTTGCGGTCTGCGCTGAAGAGTTGGATTATATATATAGGCATTTGCCGCGTGCAGAATACCGTCATGTTTCGGATCTGAATACATCTTAGTTTTTCTCCTCTTTTCCAACATCTTCACGCGTAGAATGATTGAAAGGATATAATTAATCGCGGACTATGCAATTTTCTTTGTTTGCCCGCAGTGCTGCCTCAGGCCACCCGTTGCTAGGGAATCAGACCCGCACACCAAAACAAATCGATATCGATAACGTCGACGTTTCTTCAACCCCACCACCCATCGACGGCAAAGGTAAGTGAGATGGTCTCGATTTATTCCTGGCTTTGCTTCTATCTTGAAGCCACGCACTGTGACCCCCTTGCTTCCCAGAAATCCCCGAGCGGGCCACACTATTCGAGAACACCAATACTGACCTCACATTCCAGCGCCCTGATCAGATCCTTTTTCTCGCGACTAGCTGCGGTACGTTGAATTTGATCATTCGAGGCTTCGCCTATCTGCCAAGTCTCCGCCCACTGCGCCTTACTCGAAGTACGCACTTGACTTCGGACTCAAGACCCCGCCGCATTTTCAGCCCGTGTCCCTCGTTCACCACACAATGGCCAGGGAAAGCAACGCTCCCACAGAGCCTCTCACTCCGGGCAAGCCCAATCCTCAAACTCGCCCCGCACATGTCCAGAAACCGGAATTCGGAAAGCCCTCGCCGATCGGCCACCCACAGCACCGATCAAACCATCTTTTCAATATCCCGAAGCCCAACCAGTCTCGAGCCGAACATCACAGACCCGCCCCTCGACCGCAGCCTCAGCATCCAGGTCCGCATGCCGCGCCTCAGCCCTACCGCCAGCCGGCTACAGGTGGCCCAGCCGCAACCCCATCAGCGAAACGCAGCGAGCCGTGGGATCCCTTCAAGCCAGTGGCGCCATCGGCCTACAACAATGCTCGTCCACTCAACCCACCCGGATCAGTGAGCATCAAGCGCCCTGAGAATGTCACCTGGACAACTCCACGTGCTCCTCGGCCGACCTTCACATCCAAGCCTCTTCCGCCGAAGATGTCAAATGCATCCAAGAATCTTCAAAGCTTCATAGATCTCACCCAGCCTGATAGTGGCCCTGCTGGTAGGTCGGATTCCCGTGCGCCGCCTGACTTTGGGGCTATGGATATGCATGGATATGTGGATACAGCTATGGCAAACGAGAACATCAAAGCCTTGCTGGAAGGTGCATTCGAAGACGAAGAGGAGAAATCCGAGTCCAAGACCAAGAAGAAGGGCAAAAAGAAGAAGCAGTCCAAGAAGAGTTCTAAAATGGAGAAGGAAACCCCAGTTATCAAGGACACGAAGAAAGAACAGGCTGTCGATGACCTTGACGATCTCGCTGATCAACTGCAAGGCGTCACTGTGAATGACACGACGGGCTCCAAGGACGACTCCGATTATGTGCCTAAAGAAAGAAGCCCCTCAGAGAGTCCATCCATTGAGGACGACCAAGTCGCTAAAGAAGGAAAGGACAACGTCGAAGCAGATGAGGATGAAGAAGAAGAGGAGGAGGAGGAGGAGGAGGAGGAGGAAGAAGAAGATGATGATGATGAAGAGGATGGGGTGGTTGAGGGCCTGAAAGTCACCCTTTTGCCACACCAAATTGACGGTGTGCGATGGATGTGCGACAAAGAGACCGGCCGAAAGACGACTAAGGGAATCTTTCCCAAGGGTGGAATCCTTGCAGACGATATGGGCTTGGGGAAAACAGTGCAGGCAATTGCTCTGGTGCTCAAGAACCGTAAATCCGACCACGAACACAGCGAAGACAGCGACGAAAAGGAGGGCAAAACTACCAAATTGCCTCCCAACTGCAGCAGTTCTACTTTGGTCATTGCGCCCCTTGCACTGATCAAACAGTGGGAATCCGAAATTAGAGACAAAGTCGAAAAAACTCATAAGCTCTCTGTATGCGTCTATCATGGTGCGACACGGGCGAAGACCTCAAAAACCTTGGACGATTATGATATTGTTATCACAACATATGGTACACTCACCTCGGACTTCAATTCATCCGCCTCAGACAAGGCCAAAAAGGCCGGTCTGTTTTCGATCCACTGGTATCGTATTATTCTCGATGAAGCACACACCATCAAGAACCGCAACGCCAAAGCTACACAGTCAGCGTATGCGTTGGATGCTCAGTACCGGTGGTGCCTGTCAGGAACACCCTTGCAGAACAACTTGGATGAGCTGCAAAGTTTGATCAAATTCCTTCGAGTGAAGCCTTACGATGACTTGGCTGCTTGGAGAGACCAAATCAGCCGGCCACTAGCCAATGGCCGCGGAGGTCTTGCTATCCAGCGGCTGCAAGTCTACTTGAAGGCTTTCATGAAACGGCGTACCAAGGATGTCCTCAAACTCAACAACGATGTGAAGGACGGCGAAGAAGGTGAAGATGGGAAACCTAAGAAATCTAACGGCTTCCACATCACCAAGCGTGAGGTCATCAAGGTGGCTCCCGAATTCATGCCTGGAGAGTTGAACTTCTACAAACGCCTGGAACAACGGACGGAAAACAGCCTTGAGCAGATGATGGGTGGAGCTAAGGTTGACTACGCCGGCGCTTTGGTCCTGCTCTTGCGTCTTCGTCAATGCTGTAATCACCCCGACCTTGTCAAAGGTGATTTGGCCAAGGACAAAGATGTCTTTTTGCAAACCAATCCTACCGGTAGCCAATCTACTCAGGCGAAATCCGATGATCTCGACAGCATGGCGGAACTCTTCGGCGCAATGAGTGTTGTCACCAAGAAATGTGACGTTTGTCAAACGGAACTTAGCCAAGATGAGGCCAAGGCTGGTAGCAGTCGCTGTGGCGAATGCGAAGCTGATCTCAACACCGACATCATCGGCACGGACAAGAAAAAGAAGAAGTCGAAGAAGAGTCACAAGGAGAAGGATGTTCCAGAATCTCCTTCCCTTCGCAGATCTGAGGCCCAACTTGCCCGTTCCCGGAAGAACCGACGAGTCATCCTTGACAGTGATGATGAAGAGGAAGAGGGTGAATGGGTCGTTCCGGAGGATCAACGCAAACTGCCAAGCCTCGGAAAGGCAGGTGGTTCAGATGACGAGAATGCCGAAGGTGGCGGTGAATGGCTCAACTCTGAAGATGAGACAGATGATGAGATCGAATCTCCATCTAGAAGGAAGAGCAAGCCCATCGTTCTGAGCGACTCCGAGGATGAGGAGTCTGACTCAGATGGGGAATACAACGAGGAAGGTGAAAACGGCGAGTTGCCATCCACCAAGATTCGTCACTTGATGAAGATTCTCAATCGTGAGGCACCCGACTTCAAATTCATTGTCTTCTCCGTCTTCACCTCTATGCTCGACAAGATCGAGCCTTTTCTGAACTCAGCCAACATTGGCTTTGCACGCTACGATGGTGGAATGGCAAACAACCACCGTGAGGCTAGTCTTGAGAAACTCCGAAACCACAATGGAACCCGTGTGCTACTCTGCAGTCTGCGTGCCGGTGCATTGGGTCTTAACCTCACTGCAGCCAGTCGTGTCGTTATTCTGGAGCCTTTCTGGAATCCCGTAAGTCATGATCTCCAACTCCTAGAGAATAACATGCAATGCTAACTCTCAATCTAGTTCGTGGAGGAGCAGGCCATCGACCGTGTCCATCGCCTGAACCAAACAATCGATGTCAAAATCTACAAAATGGTCATCAAGGGCACCGTCGAAGAGCGTATTGTCGAGCTGCAAGACCGCAAGCGCGAGCTAGCCAACGCCACCATCGAAGGCAAGGCTGGCGCTGGCAAGTTGACCATGCGTGATATGATGGCGCTCTTTGGTCGCGACGCCGAATCAAAATTCACCGATAACCAGAGCACTTTGGACTTCAACAGCCGAGTAGGCTTGTTGAGCTCCGCAGAAGAGGCTACACCGGCCCCTACATCGTCGCAGGGGTCATATTCTGATCCTCGCAGCCGCGGCCGGGAATTCCAGCCCAACCGTCCACGAAATGAGGACTCGGTTTATGGTCGTCGCTGGTGAGCGGCATGAAATGAAATTATGAAATGACGTTTAGGGGCGAGATTTTAGGGAGTTACGGTTTGCAGCTGAGGATGTGGTAGACTGCATCAATGTTCGGTGTATTTTGTCATTAGATTTACCTCTTTCTTGTTTGATATTCATTTGATTGTTGGCACAACTCATACATTCAATTCACTAATGAGAAAACGCTTCCTCTTGAACCCTATATTTAGTTGATGATCTATATAGCAGCAACTGGTAGTCTCGATAACCGGAGCTGAGATTGTTCTAGGCTGGTGTAGATCAGAACCAAGGGTGGGAGCAAACCATTGCCATAAATCCGGAAAGCATGCCCACGAGTCAAAAGCTCACCCCGGTTTTAGTTATGGCAAGCTCTGCGTGGGACTCGGGATTGTCGTCCGATTGGAAGCTTACAGCACTGATGCCTACCTCAATTTTGATAATGGCGGTGTGTGGAATTAGAGAGCTCCGAAGTAGACGGTATACTATCTGTTGAACATACAGGCCGGTTTCTCATGGCCCATGATATGGGTTATGAAGCTGTCCATCTTCATTGGAAGGACTGTTGATGCTGAGACCATCTCATCACAATGTCCTAGAACATGGATATCATATTATCTACATCAACAACGTACATGTCCTAGATTTTGTGGGGTATCTTCCACTATACTGTAGCTGAGGTCGAAGGTCAAGTGGAGTGATTCTCGACCGGTCTAGAAATGTATGCTCTGCGGTTATAGTCCGAGGTCACCGAATGTCGCCTTCGTGTGCCCTGGCTTGATATTCGGAAACACCGACGAGGTTATTCATCTCATTAACCTGAAAAGTCCGCCTTTTGGTAGAGGAATTGGAGTTGACCGCTGCGATATAGGTTTTCCGTGTTTCGCAAACTTCCCCTGCTTAAATCGGTCCTCTAGATCCTGAATCGATGGTATATAAACCTTCACAGACCATCTGCCGAATTCGCTACCACGGCTCTGATACTCTGGATCTAGGATTGCGAGTCAATTTATGATGGTAGTTTCCGGCGAACCGGACGAAGGAACCGAGGACATGCACACAACACCAAAGCTTGTCTCTGCTGGTTCATGTGCTGATAGGTTGAACTTGCAGGAGAAAGCTTGAGCTCGGGATAGGTTCTGTGGGTACCCCGGCCAGAGCATTGTTCTCTATCCAATAATTCCATCTACTCTTCACTCGTCTATACGATTCTCGATATCCATAACTTTAGCGTTAAAAACATCTGTGTTGTCGACTTGTGTCTTTTTGTTTGAACGGAGTCAATATCGACACAAGTGAGTGAGCTTCTTTTGAATGGATATTTTCTAGTTATAGCTAACACCCATTGTCTGCTGAGGTTACTCTCTTAGTTATTCCTCGGCCTAGTGAGGTTTCAAGACTGGGATATGTCCTTACCACCCGATGTCAACGACCACAGCGACTGGACAGTCATTTACAATGATGACAATGGCAAGAAACAAGACCAATTGTCTCACAACAGAAAAACCCTCGCAAGAACATTGTCAATCCCCAAAACTATGTGCATTCTGTCCGACACCAAAACTGAGATATCAACGGTAGCCGAGCTGCCCTCACCAAAGCTGAAGCTACCCCAACTGGGCCATGATTCAGCCGAAAGAATCTTTCCAGTTCGCTCAGCCCTTTCCTTTGATTCGACCCCTTCGTCCGCACTGCCGACCCCTTCTATTGAGAAGCACGAAACACCAATATCACCCTTCTCGGATACATGGACCGGCAACTTCGGCAACGAAAATGCTAATTTCCAGCCGACAATTGCTGCAGTAAAGGAAAGCATTGGCCAGGAAGCCCTTAAGCGACCGGATTCTCTTGCCAAGCTGCATAAAAGCAGCAATTGTGAGACTGGTTATTCATCAGCATCCAAGAAACAAGATCAAGAAGACGAGCATTCACTAGATGATCCGACTATACCTCATACCTCCAAAGATAACATACCGAGCGCCAATATCCTGAGACAAATACAAAACACCGTGGAAAGCGGTGGCGATGTACTTGGTGCTTACAGACCGACAAATGGGCTACAATATTCAAAGCAAGATGAAGAAGCCATTGCCATCCAGTCATTTGGCGCACTCATCGTGCTGGCAGAGTTGAATGGAAAGTTCGAGGTGCAAATAGCCAGCAACAACTCCTCCAAAATCATTGGATATTCGCCAGACGAGCTTTTTGAACTCGATTCATTTTGCGATATCTTGTCTACTTCGCACATTGATACTTTCCTCGATCATGTCAACTTCGTTTTGGATGACCAGTATGAAATTGTGGAACATGGGCCAGAGGTTTTCTTGATGACCTTTTTTCTTCGTGAAAGGCTCAGCCAAAGTGTGTGGTGTACTATGCATACCAGCAAAGCATATAAATCCTATGTCATCTGCGAGATTCAACCCACCATGGCTTCCGGCTCCATTACAAAAGCAACCCAAAGAGTCCAAAAGCTCGAGAGACATGCACAAACATCGGAAGCAAGCTGTACAGATCTCGCCCCTCATGGGGATCCGAGGAACCTTGCTATCCCAAAGGAGGATGGTCGCTCAACCGAAATCAACGTCACAGACCCCTCGGAGGCTCTCAATGCCATTCCTCGCATTCTGCAGCATCTGGCCAAGTCTCAGACGGTAGAAACACTTGTTCAGAATACCGTCGCCACCTTGCAAAAGCTTACACAATTTTCACGAACTACCATATTTCATTTCGAAGACGATTGCAATGGAACAGTCGTTGCCGATGCTTTTGACTCCTCACTGGGTTTGACTTCATTTACGGGCACCTCATTCCCCGAGTCAACGTTCCCTGAGCCATTGAGGAAACGATATATGCGGAATACTGTTTGCCTCTCTTACGCCAGAACCAACAAATCTGCAGAGCTTGTCTACCGCGCCTCCACAAATAAGCATGCACTTGATATGTCGCATACCTATCTCTCTGCGGCACCAACATCCCTGAAGCCGAGTTCCGGTCCTCCTGTCAAAGCTTGTCTGTCGATTGGAATCAATGTTTCCGGAAAGCTTTGGGGATTGATATCATGTCAGTCATACGAGACAGACAAAACACTGCACCCAATCGTTCAGAAAGTATGCTGGTTCGTGGCAGAAGCGGCTTCAAACAACATTCAGCGTCTATCTTCTACTCTTCCCATTGCATTGAAAGAACCACACATATCTTCAACTAATAAAAACAGACCCCAAGCTGCCAGTACCCCGTCAGGTGATCTGCTCAGTCTATTTAGGGCGGACTACGCTGCGGCATCTATCATGGGAGAGAGCAAGATATTAGGCAGACCGGTCGATTCTCAAGAAGTGTTAGCAGTACTGGAATACATGAAAGCCAAAGAGATTGATACGGTACTCTCATCGACAAATATCGCATCCGACTTCCAGGACCTAAATTACTACCGTGGCTTTCATTGTATATCTGGTCTGTTGTATGTTCCACTTTCAGTGGATGGGCATGATTTCATCATGTTCTTTCGGGCTGATTTGGGATGTAACACGCCCCGTAACCATGAGAATGAATCAATATGGTCTGCAGCAGAGTTCGAAAAGGCTTCTTCGCTGTCGTTGCTATACCGAAGTTTCAGTGAGATCTGGCAAGAAAAGGAGGCGGCAATGCAGAACAACCAGCTGATGAGGCTACTGCTTGCCAACTCAGCACACGAGTTCAGGACACCTCTCAACGCTATAATAAACTACTTGGAGATTGTCCTTGATGGAACCCTGGACCAAGAAACACGAGACCACATTTCCAGATCTCATTCAGCTTCCAAGTCATTGGTCTATATCATCAATGATCTGTTAGACCTGACGAACGCCGAAAATGGACAGCGGTTGATAAAAGACGAGATATTCAATCTACCCGAGACTCTCACGGAGGCAACGGACATCTTCTGGGAAGAGGCAAGACAAAAGCACGTCGACCTGCAGGTTGTACAACACGCAGCACTGCCACCTGTCCTCGGAGACCAGCGACGAGTCCGTCAGGTCATCACCAACTTGATCAGCAATGCTATCCAGCATACTGCATCAGGCGCACTCACCATCGAGTCCTGTGTTGTTCCTGAGGACGTGGATCCCGATCATATATCAGTCGAGGTTGCGATCCATGATACTGGGTCTGGTATGTCCCAAGAGATCGTTGAAACATTGTTCTGTGAGCTGGAACAAGTCTCCAATAAGGGATATATGAAGACACCAAAGTCGTATGGATGCACACCCAGTGACACACCAGTGGAAATAGAAAGCGTACTTGGACTCGGTCTCGCACTGGTTGCTCGGATTGTGCGCAACATGAACGGGCAGCTAAGCCTAAGATCTGAAGAAGGCAAAGGGAGTTGTTTCAAGATCAGACTCAAGTTCCCACTTCCAGCGGACAAATCGGACGATCAAGCTACCTCTTTTACTTCAGCTAATTCTCAGCCAAGACAGAAAGAAGAAAAAGAAGAAGAAACATCGAAGTCATGCACAATCAACCAGAAAGATGGAATCCCGTGTGAATGTGGCACCACACCTGAATTCACAGGAGGATCTGTCCTAGATGTCGACGTCTGCCTAAAAACAGGAGAATCAAAAAAATTCTCACTTTCACGCCCAGAGTTGGAAACAAGCAAAGCGCCACAGGAATGGCATCGCAAGACCTCCTCCCCTCTCTCAACGCCACCACATTCCCCGGAGGTATCGAAGCCACCAGCCACCGCGTCACCACGCAACAAAACCCAAAGCTTCGACCAGAACAACTCCGCCATGGATGCCACGCTCCACGTTCTGGTCGCTGAAGACGACCCGATCAATAGTACAATCCTGCGAAAGCGTCTGGAGAAGTTCGGCCATACGATCGATATGACAGCTAACGGCAAGGAATGCGCTTCTGTCTACAAGAGCAACCCTAAACTTTACAGTGCCATCCTGATGGATCTGCAGGTAAGCTTTTCGTCCGCTCCATTTTGAATTCATAACTAACCCCGCCTTATTAGATGCCCATTGTGGACGGCCTGAGCGCCACGAAGATGATCCGTGAACATGAACAGGCGATGGCTTCTTCTGGCTTGCCTGAGACTCGTGTTCCTATCTTTGCAGTCTCGGCTTCTCTTCTGGAGAAAGACCGTGAAATGTATGTTCAGTCTGGGTTCGATGGGTGGGTTATGAAGCCGATTGATTTCCACCGCGTGAATCTTTTGCTTGGGGGTGTGAGGATTAAGTGGATGCGGAATAGGTGTGTTTACCAGCCTGGGATTTGGGAGCAAGGAGGTTGGTTCAAAGAAATTTAGTTTGAGCGAGAGATCAACGTGGTTTCAATAGAGCTCAGCGAGTATTTCCCTGCTTCGTTCAGTGGATACAGATGAAACTACAAACTCACGATGAATGCCATCAAAATGCATAATATCCGAGAATTCTAATTCAAGTCCATGGTATCAAGAAAATGCAAGCAAACGCAAAATAAACAGAAACATTATCATCACATCAGTAATACTCTGGCAGGTCGGAGAAGTCAGGTACTGTATCACCGCACTTGAAGGATGGCGAGTATGCCTTGCTGGGCATAAAGCCATTTTTCCATGCCGTGCGGTAACTCCACTGTGCTGCGGACTCGGTGCGCCATGTCCAGTAGAACCAACCCATGGCTGTTTCAAAGGCAGACATCTGTGCCTCTGCATACGTCAATAAGAACTTTTTGTACGAGTCTGAGTATCCGGACGGGTCCTGGTTTGCATTGGCGCAGCTGCAGGTTCCTTCGTCGGCGGTTGGGCAATACGCTGTTGAGTCACCGGTGTCGTATGTCCCTTCCCAGCGAGTGCCACGGCCGACATTGTTAACGTATTGGCCACAGTCTGTGTCGGCTTGAGACCATTCGCCACATATGGTAGGACCCCATCTGTTTGTGTATTAGCTTTGTAAAGAAGGGGAGAGGGTTCAGCTTACCCAGAACTTGTCGTGTTGATCTTCTTGAGCATGGGGGACCAATTGTTGCAGATGATTTCCACTTTGGCGGTATGGTTCAACACAATCTCGCCTGTGTTGAAGGTAGTATACTGGTGAGTATCGAGGTACATATTATCGGGACGGTTCTTGAACATGTTGTCCCACTTGTCAAGGTTGAGGAAGCCATCATGCAGAACAATAGAGGCATTAATACCATTGTTGCGGATAAGTGTTGCAGCCTCCTCAGACCAGTTGAGGACCTTTTCAACGGGCAAGGTCAGCATCAAAGGCTCGTTCACGAGACCGTATATAGTGACCACATTCTTGTACCGATCCTGGGCGAAGAATTTGGACACCTGGTCATGGATTTCGAGAGATCGCTTGCGGTTCAAGTCGCCGTTTGTGCCATCAATCCAGTCAATGTTGCCCTGGCGACCACTATGGTTCCAACCGTTCTGGCTACCAGGAAGACCATGAATATCGAGCTTCACACGAAGTCCATATTTGCGGCAATATTCGATAGCACGCAGAAGGTAGCGCCAGGAAATTTTGGCAACATATGGATCGTCGGCGTAGGTCTTGACGGCCCAGTAGGAGTACTGAATACGAACATGGTCCAGTCCGGCCTCCTGGATCTCTTGAAAGTCAGACTCAGATAGGAATTCGGCGTAGTGTTTTTCAATCGTGCTTGCCGCGGAGCTGCCCAACTTCTTGCTCAATGTGTATTCATCAATGATCCCATCGCTAGACGACCACTTTTTGAACAAAGATGGTACAATGAAGGGTTCAATTGAAAGCCATCCACCGAGATTGACTCCACGAATAGGCTGGGAACCATAAGGGAATGGTTCATTGAGAGGAGGTACATTGTCATTTGCTCGGGCAGAGTCATCCCATGTTGAGTTGATGCCCATGAGAGAAAGATCGCCCACTGTGGCGTTTGTGAAGGTGACATTGAAGCCGTTTGTGTCGTACCAGGTAAACGGATCTAGGACAGTACCTTTTGCATAGCTCTGAAGTAGCATTAGCAACTATCGCAAAAAGAATCCCATAGAAACTTACCGGGATGCTGTCACGGCTGATACTATCCAAATTGGAATTGGAGGGACCGCCAGAACCAGAAGAACTAGAGCTAGAACCCGAGTCGGAGCCCGAGTTGTTCTTCTTCGAAACAACAAGAGCAACGGGAATGATGATAGCAAGCAGCACGACGAAAGCCACCACACATCCGATCACAATGCGCTTCTTCTTAGACCAATTCGACCAGAACTTCCAAGCCGGCGGGCCTCCACCACCAGAAAGGCTGCCCTCCCAGCTCTCCTCTTCCTTCCAATGGTCGTCCGGGGGAGGTCCACCGCCGCGATGACGGACCCTCATATCAGGACTGCGCCCTTCCTCCAAGTAAGCACCAGAAACAATGCGAGCACCAGATCTATGACGAGACCGGCCCTCTGCAACTTCAGCACCAAGCGCCGCACCCGCCCCGTCAGCAAGAGCAGCGCGTTTCCGCTGTCGTCGTCGCTCATCACGTGGATCGTCTCGACGGTGAGACTGCTGTCGTCGATCCTCGTCATCATGCTCAGCAGCCAGCCGCGCCATAGCATCCACACTCAGTAGATGTGAGGCACTGCTAGTAGACTCGGTACTGCGATGCTTGCGCGCATGCACAGCAGCAGCCTCAATCTCCATCTCACGATCCAGTTCCCTCTCCCTCTCGCGTTCACGCTCTCTCTCCCTCTCCCTCCTCCTTCGTCGCCTAGCCTCAGCCTCAACATCAACATCAACATCGCGGTTCCTCCTCTCCCTCACATCCTTCGTAGGGCTCCCACTCTCATCCCTCCGATGTCGACGATGCCCATCGCGATCCCTCTCTCGATCACGCCGTTTAACAGGCGACGTAGCAGGCGATTCCTTGGCCTTAGATCTATCCCTTTCCCTCTCCCTATTCCCATCTCTCCTCCTCCTCCCATCAGCAAACTCCTCTTCCTCCCGCTGTCTCCTCCTCTCCCTCCGTTCCCGCCGCCTAGCCTGCTCCTCTTCATACGCCGCATCATCATCAACGTCACGCGAGTCAGACTCATTCCCCGATTCCGCACGGAAACGATACTTCGCACTGCGCGCATTGCTAGGACTAGACGTAGTAGCGCCTTCATCGGCCTCCTCGTAGCGGCCGCGGATGTATTCGCGCTCGCGCTCGATATCGCGGTCTCGACGGCGTGAGCGCTCCTTGTCGCGTGTGCGATCCCTCTCCCGGTCTCGTCGCTCAGGACGGTCCCGGCTGCGGGATTGGCTCGGCATCCCACAGGTGCACGCTCGTTTAGGTTTGCGTGGTGGTCGATCTTTGGGTTTGGTATGTTGGTAGCACGTGGAGATGGGCGATCGGTTTCTTGTTTGGGGGATTGGGGTATCAGGGGGGCGGAGTTAGATTGGATTGAATTGCAATGCTGGGGGTTGGCTTGGGGGTCTTTGGGGATACACGTAGGATTCGGCGTGTGTGTGGGAAGTGTCGGAGTGAGGAGTTGTGTTCAGCTTGGGATTGCAGGCATTGTTTTCGCCGATCTTCTTGCGGGATCTTGGTTAGGCTGCTTTGTTTTGGTTTTTCCCCACACGGCGATACGCCACGCACTAAAAGCCACAATATGCGGGAGCTACGCTATCTGATGTTGTTCTTAGATTTGTAAGGCAATTGGAGCCTGGGTCTTCTATCTTCTCCTGGGGGTAATGGAGCAGTTGAGGAACTGGTGGAGCGACCTTTACGGGCCAGGTAGACTATATGTACCACAACTGTAAGAAGTACACTATGCAATTGGCAAGAATATTGGTATATTTAGATGTAATAGATGACGAAGAGACATTAAATACACCTGATCATTTTGCACATATGCGAACTCCGAACCCTTCTAACCAAACAGAAATAAACAAGCATCATGTCCAACGAGTGGGGGTATGCGAACTCCGAGGGAAAAAAATAAAAGGGCCAAGAAACACATCGTTGCGAAGAGAAAAAGAAGACACAATCGACAAAGCCTACCGAGAGAGGGGTGGTACTAAAACAATAAAAGCAAAGACGACGTTTCTGGGTTTGCGCCTGCCGTGAACATCTGTACAACTCTGCGCGGGAGTAGGCGGAGAGGGATAAGAAAGAAGTAAAGTAAAAATCTGAAACGAAATGAATTCTCGCTGTGCCCGGGGAATCTAATAGAAAGAAAAGGAGATGGTGCCTCGAGCACTCCATCTGCTGCAATGATCGGTGCTGGGAGACGTGATGTCAATGTGCATGATGCAATCAGACACAGGGTCAGTAAAGGCATTCCCCTCAAGGGCTCCACAGTGAAGTGAGAGTGGGAAGTTATCGAAGTGGTGGCGTCCTGGCCAAAGTGCAGGAGACGAGGACCAGTGGCCTTCGGGTGCTAAACATAGCAAGTGTCTCTGAATGGCAATTTCCATTTCAAGTAGAGACCACAAGTGGGTAGGTATTTGTGGGCCCAAGGGTGCAATGAGGCTGTCATGGATGACAATACCGCATTACAGATGATAGAATCAAAGGGGAAGCTTTCAGCTGATGATCTGTCTCGCTCCCTCTTTACCCAGAACACCAGGCTCAGTGGGCTTGGGACTGCGGTCACGACCCTTCTTCCGACTGAAGAATGACATCATTCCATTGGCTTGCTTGCCCTTGTCGTCAGCACCCTCTAGTCCTTCGGCGGGGAGTGTTGAACTGTGGGCCAGTTCGCTCCAGCTACCAGCCTCGTTCAGAACCATTTGTACGCCTCCGCTCTTGCTCATTTGACGTGTAGCCCCGCGCGGGCGAGGGGCGTGAGGTAGAGGCCGGTGGAAGGATGGGGCAGGTGGTGGTGAGGGAGATACGCCGGTGGAAGGGGAAGGTGGATGCGGAACAGGCGTGGAATCGTTGGGTGTGAGGGCCTCGCCGACCGAATGCATATTTTCGTAGGGCGGAACGCGGATACTAGAGGCGTCGTGTTGGATGGGAGAAGTTATTTGACCAGATTGATCAGGCTGGGACAATTGACGAGCGTGTGTCGTTGAGGTTGTTGTGCCCGGAAGGCAGTCCTCAGGGTTTCTAGTGAATGGTGTCAGCGAAGGATGTAAAGATAGCTTAGGAAAAAACTCACACTACACCGGCAATAGCATCTGCGGCATTGCCTTGGTAGTCGGTCAAGGTGTAATCGAACGGCTCGAACATCGTCTCAATCAAGCGATGGAGCTCATCCTCCCGGATTTCCTTTGCCGTGGCATCCTCTCTTAGCTCCGCACGCGGCTTTTGTCTGCGCGCTCTAGCTTCGAGGGGCGCTTCTTCAAGGAGAAGTTCTTCCAGATCGTATGTCGCGTCGAAGTTGGTCTTCTCGCTTGATGGTCGGAACACTGGTGGGATCTGTTTGCGCTCAAGGGCTTCGAAGTCGATCTCGGCAAAGAACATGTGCTGGGTAAAAGTTTCAAAGCCAATGGCACCGATTCGGCGACTCCGATCTTTTTCCATCAACGAGCCCAGCGCGCGCAAGCAGGCAACTGAGACTGCAGGGTTGGTGACGTAGTATTTCGGTTGTGCCTTTTTGATGTTTTCACTCAGGGTATCCTGGCTCCGGCCTTCAAACGGTCGCTTGTTGTAGATGCACTCGTAAAAAGTCACACCTAATGACCACCAGTCGACCTCAAAGTAGTACCCAGTTCCCTCATAGACCTCTGGTGCCAAGTAGGCTAATGTTCCTGACTTGCTTGTAAGAGGCTTGCCCGGTCGGAAGTCCGATGCCACGTTCTAGAAATCATGGTTAGCCTCATCACCAACAATCCAGGCGCACGACACTTACGAAGTCAGCCAAGTGAACATGTCCTTCGGAATCCAATAGCACATTGTCCGGTTTTAGATCACGGTGAATGATGCCCTGTGAGTGGATGTACTTCAGAGCACAACCCAATTCCGCCATCCAGAACCGCACCGCGTCCTCGGTAAAGCATTTTCGTGAGATATGAAATCGTAGATCACCGCCGTTCATCAGATCGACCACAATATAGCTTGAACCTGGTCAGCGATAAGCAAGGGGGATCGCTGCGAACAGACTCACATGTACTCCATGTCCTGAAAGCTATAACGCAAATTGCAAAGGAATGGATGGTTCAAATGCTCGAGCATTCTCCGTTCGCGAATGATATTCCGTACGCTTTCCGAACGAACCACTGGCACAAGTGTTAGCTATAGCTTCCCCGACAATGCTAGTCTCGAAACTCACCTTCTTCTTTGCGAATATATTTCAGGGCAAATGTGAGTCCAGTATCCTTCCTCTCCACAATTCGAACTTTTCCGAATGCACCCTTTCCGACGACTCGCAAGAGGCGGAAATGGTTGAGGTTGACTAGAAAAGGCAGAGCGATCAGCATGCGGTTCAGAACCTGCGGGTCATGAAGACAACCCCGAGTGCATCCTTCCATCTAAATCCAACTTGAGTTGACATACCCGCATCATTGCAGTTCACCGGTTTCCCCTGAGTATTTCCCATATTGTCGGTATGAGGTATGGGTGAAGTATTGGGGGGTTCACTACTATCTTCCTTGCAACATCACACTCGTCCCAGAAACTCCGGTCGAGAGGCGTAAGGATCGAAAGGAGAGTAGGAAGAACTGTTAGAATCGGCGAATATCGAGCTCAAATCGCAATGTCCATCAGAGGAGGTAATTCCGAAGGTAGAATCGCCGAGCGGGGTTCAGGTGTTTCAGAGTCGCAATAGGATGCAGGTCCAGATGCTAATGCACGGAAAAAAGTGACAGGTCGAAAGAAGCAAGGCACACTTGGCTCCAGAACTCTCCAGAAGGAAAATCAAGGGCAAATGTATGCAAGATATGTATATCGAGAAAACGGGAGGTCCGGGAGCTAAGGCCGTCCTAAGCGCAGCCTAGACACGATAAGGTAGCACCCACACAAAGAAATGGGGGGCTCAGAGTAGAAGAGAGACAATCTGAATCAAGAGCCAGCAAATACTGAACTCGCGACTTCAATGACTTCAAGTTTGAAAGAAAGGGGAGAGAGCGGGCGAGCGGTCTGACAGAAGCGGCAGTACCCTGGGGCCAATCACGCGTGACGCGCAAGAAAATGGGGAAAGGGGATGAAAGAAACACTTCACTTTTCTCGATTTTCTCTCTTTTCCAACTATTCTCTTTCTGGTTTTGACGCCGTGCGATCTACACTGGTTTATTACTCTTCCAGCCTAGCTGGATGGAACAGATTACCGGCCTTTTTTGAGTTGGGTCTAGGTCGTACACCATCACGAGCATTGCAGAGAGACCGGGACCCACGATATTCTCCATAGGTCAACATGGAGTGGAGAGCAAACCAGCCAAGTCAACTTGGGCTTAGGCTGATGGGCGGAGGCTATGACATCCGCTAAGAAAATACACAGACTTTGCTATTCGCCAGTGACTTGTGCATTATCATTCTGGACGAACATCCTGGCGATCAAAATTCAATCTGAAACGGTGGGTGGGTGGGTTTAGGGGGGCGAGTGCAGCCATAAAATGGACTTATCCTGCTCTTTGCTTTTGCGACACCTTGTCCATTTGCGATACATCTTTCGTATCCCATTTTTCTTGCCTGGTGGATATCACGTCAAGTCAGAATCTATCACATATAGTTCGATCGATCGATCCAACCAGGAGCCAGTTTAGGTACATACATCTGCATCTGACTGGTCACTGTTTGCCACAGTGACAGACCCTGTTCTCCCCGAATTCTCGTGGCAGCCACGTTACCGTCTCGGCCTGAATCGCAATGTTTGTTTCGCAAGCGCGGTCTGGGTCACACTAACGGTCCTGGAACACCTGTAGAATATTCGATTGGGTATTCGATGTGATCTCTCATATGCGTGGCGCTGCTCAGCCGCAGTAGAATCAAACCCGCATTCTAGGTCGGCCCTTTCCACTCCCCTGGAACTATGCTAAACATGCATATCCGCCAAGACAAGCCAATTTCCCTTTCTTTGTAATTTCCAGCATGCCAGATTCAGATTGATAGGAGGTCCGAAATACAGTCAGCTTGCTAGCGTGGCCGCCGCAACTTTGCAACGTTTTATAAGCTTAGCGGGCGCTCTAACTCTTGGGCCCCTTAATTTGGCACGAACTCTCAAGTGGGTGTCTTATGCGACAAAGGGAGGCACTCGGCTTGAGACTGGCTGTTTCAGATCCACCTTTTAACTTTTGCGGAACCTAATCCATCCTTAACTAGAAGTGAGGCTGTTACTAGGATATACAATCTGGACAATAACTCACTACCTCGGTCTGGTTCTTGACGTATGTCGAAAGCATTACTATCTACTATCTATAGCCGTGGACATATCATTTGTGCGGGCAATTGAAATAGCTAAGCAGGGTTCCAAATGGTATGTGATTGCTGGCCTTTTCAGCTATATGTCTGTCACTACTTGGAATGGATGCGTACTTACATCCATTGAGTGGCTGCTACCTACATGCAGACAGACCACTCTGATCTCCCTTATAGAAGATTGGGTCTAGCAGCCATCAATAATTGCAGAATGGTGGTTAATCATGCACCTACTAACTTCTCTACAATCGGAACATGGATAGGCCATTGACTTGAACGAGTCGCCGAGTCGATTGTTTACCGAGTATTCAACAAAGCTTGTCAGATACCATGAAGGATCATGGAGTGTAGTGGTGTAGAAGACGGTCACGGGATAGCACCTTCCTCGACCTGACACCTTCAACGCCAAGTCTAGTTACATCGTCGACCATCTCATTTCGCTTTTCCTTTCATCTCCTGGAATACTTTTCAGGGCAGACATCATCATGGAGATTTCCGACAAGACCCATCCGCTCCTAATGGAACGACCACGAAGCTCGGGTGTTGATGTAGAGGCGTTCTCATTCGCAAAGCCTGCTTCCCACGGGAAACCCTTTACTCTCAGGAAATTTCCCAAGAACCCCCCTCTCTCGCAATCCACAATCGTTAATGCCCAACCTTCAAGCGAGCAGACACAAGGCGAGGGGAGCTTCAATGGTCAATTAGCCCAACTGGAGGCGTACGTATTCTGCCAGGAATCAATTTTGAGTGAGTACAACGTCTGAGGACATGTTGACATGTTTTGAGAAGCACAGTACGCCCGAAGCTCGCAATCTTGAGGACGAAATCATCTTCAATTTCCAGACTCCCGGGAGGACATCGTTGCTTTTCCAGCCACCGCGGCGTCTATCAATGTCCATGGATCAACCAAAGGAAAGCGAAGCTCGACGTGGAACTGGAAGTTCAGGACATGCGCACAGATCGAGCCTCCAGCTTGAACAAGCCCCCACGCTTCCCCAGCCGAATGAGACCATTCAAGCAGATGGTTCAGAGAACACTTGCACTGCTGAGGCGAATGTTACGATCTTGGACTCAACCCCCCACTCAGTTGTTGAAAATGCCAATGAAGCTATCCCCATCCTGCCTGGGATTGCTCGGCCAAGACAGAAGAGTGAGGACATTTCAAAGACTGCGCCTTCCTGCATGTCGCTCAAGCCCGGGGACAGTCAACCCCGTGTTCCAGAGCAACGCCGTACTAAACAAAAGAGACCACCCACCAAGCGCTTGACACCTCCTGTGGTCAAGAAAAACAATATCCAATTGGGTGAAGATGATCTCTTTGAGCTCCTCATTATGAAAATGAGGGAGCGCGAAGAGCACGAGCAAAAGTCGGCAAGTATTCAACAACAAATCGAGACCGAGAATTCGGACTTGAAAGGAGAAATTGATTCTCTGCATAACCGACTCAAATCATGCCAGACCCAACTTGTCAAAAGCTCATCTGATGCAAAGCTCCAGAGAGGACAGATAGACAAATGGAAGGCAAGGCTCGGAAAATTCAAAGATGTTATCAATGAACTCGGGCTTGAATATGATACGCTTAGGGAGCAAACGAGCGATTTGAAGTTGACCACGTTGTCTCTTCACAAAGAAAAAGCGGAGATCCAACAGAATTTGGAAGAGATCAAGTTGCAAGTTGCAAAAAACACTAACACAATTGAGGGTCAACGCAGCAAGATTTCCAGCTCCGAAGGGACGATTGCGATGCTGAGAGAAGCCTTGGACAATTCAGAGAGACGAGACGAAAGCATGAAGTCGCAGCTATCTCATGAAAAGAAGCGAGTGGTGACACTTGAGTCCTATATTCAAAATGAATCTCAGAGCCAAGCGCGCTATTTGACTATTGTCAGAAAAGGCCAGAATGAAATGATCGAGAAGCTTGAATCTGCCTGCAAACTCTTTACCACAACTTGTTCTGATTCTCGAGATGCCATGACTTCAACAATGAGCCCAGTTCTCGAACGGTGTATCTCTTCGATCCAGGAGTTGAAAGAACAATGCTGCGTTCAGACGATGGATGTCGAAAAGTTCACAGGTGGCGTTCAAGAAGCTGCCACCCGGTATGTGATGAAACAACCCAGTGGTGATATATGGTACTAACAAGTATTTCAGGATCGATGCGCTGGCAGGCCAACTTGCAAGAGGTGTTGAAACAAACATGGACGTAAGCAACGGTTTGTCTCGAACGTTCCAAGAAGGCTTGCGATTTATCGAGGGGTACCTCGGTCAGGGTTCATCACTTTGCAAGCAGCTCGCCAGCAGCGAAAACCGTTATGGGCATCTCCAAGAAAACCTTGAAGGGGTTGAGCCGATGATAGGTAGTCTTAATGCTTCTGTCATGGCCATCAGGGCGACAGAGACAGACCTTGTGCACGGCTTGGAGATCTTCGGTCAAAGGCTTGCCGAAGCCCAAATTCCAGCAGGAAACCCTGTCCTTGAGATGGAGATTTCGACCAAGTTTGCTGAAAATACCCAATTGCAACTTGAACTTCAAAAAGTCTCAATTGAACTCGAGTCTCTCCGGAGGCAACTCGGCGACAGAGCTTCTGAAAATGAGCATCTCCAGCACGCGCTGACCGAGGCTGTTACCAATGAGCAAGCATCCAAGAATCAGAACTCCCGGCTAGAGATTGAAAAGACTGCCCTGCGGGGTGAGCTCCAATTGGTCGAGCAGAAGGTCCGCGAGGATTTGAATATTGCGAGCACCAAGTCGCAGGATCGACTGAAAGCCAATTTCGAAAGACAGATACAAGGACTTGAAACAGCGAATGCGAAACTGGAAACTCATTCCGACCAGCTGACAAACCAGCTAGTCAATGTCCAGAGGTCATTGGTAAGTCCACGAACAAGCGTTTCAAGTGATCTACTAATGATGCCAAGGCCGAAACAGAGAAGACAGCGGAGACTGAGCGACTGGAAAAAGTGACCGTAGTAAGGCATCCTGATCATACTATAACGAAATTTTGCTGAAGTTTCTAGCTCGAGCAATCAGAACGACAGGTTGAGGAGCTGAACGCCACTTGCTCGAAATATATGACTGAAGCCAAGGCCAAAGACATTGGATTACAACGTTGGAAGAGTTCCGAGGCTGAACTCAGAGTTGAAAATGAAAGACTCCTTGGCGAACTCGAGCAAGCAGCAGAAAAGACTCGCGGAGTTGAAGCAAGCTTGGCACTGGAGGCCACAATTGAAACGGAAGGATTGAAAACATCTCAGGACTTGCAAAAGCAATTGAAAGCCCTTGAGTTAGAGCTGGCAGAGAAGGCCAGAGAGCTCCAGGCAAGCCTGGCGCTGAACACGAAATCCGAATTTCAGACTTTCAAGACTACCCAAGAAGCGGAGAAAAAGAACAAAGCACTCGAGTTAGAGATGAACAAGAAGACAGAGGAGCTTGCAAAGATGAATGACAGCCTTGAGGTGATGAAGTCCCGTTCCTTGGCCTTGGAGAAGGTCGGAGAAGAGGCTGATTCTGAGATTATTGCACTCCTCCGTCGGGCTCAAGAGGCTGAAAGTTGGCAAGCGACTATAAGAGAGGGTTTTGCCAGAATCATTGAGATGCGTTCTGACGAGCCATTCGAGCAGACATGGCAGAAAGTGGAAAACATCCTTCAGTCTTCGCCCAATCAACGGCCCATTACCATGGTTTCATCGGATGAAAACCTTCCAGGTAGCGCCAGACTGGGGCTCGCGCACAATAAACAACTTGTCTTCGGACCACGAGAGGACGGAGCAAATGAGGTTTTGGAGGTTGATCAGCGAAGAGAGCGTGTTTGTGAGACAATCGCGGACTGCCACACTGACCTGCCTTTGTCTCAACGGACATACAATGCCTCGAAGCCTTTGACCAGAGAGAGCATCGACTGGTCACCAAAAATGCCCATTGACGTAGGTCATATCGTTCCATTCGCGAGTCTTCATGACAAGCTTTCACGGGAGGATAGTCTCTCGCTTTTCAACGATCCAGCTGAGCTGGAGATGTTGTTCATGTCAACACCAGATTTCCAGGGACCTACAGATACAAACAAGCCTTCAAAGGCCTCTGGAGGAAGGAAAGAGATGTCAGCAAAGCCTGATACTGTTGGTCAAAAAGTCTGTGGAGTCAACTCTGCTATCGATAAACATGTGCGCAAGGCAGATGACAGCAAGAGTGAAAGACCCAATTCGGCTCTCGCGAAGCTTGATGACCCATTTGTCGATACAGCCAAGAAATCGGAACAGTCTAACACCAGAAGAAAAGTTGTCAGCTTTGAGGGACCGGATGTTGTTGACCAACCAGAGACTGGCAGGCCGCGACGGATGTCAGATGCGATTGGTAACAGTTCAGGAAAGGACTCCGAGGACAAAGCGCCAAAGCGAACACAGAAGCGTACTTACAGCCGCCTTCGCCAATCTGTGGCACAGGAAGAGACTTTGGTTGACACAAGCGTGCAGTCCACTGATAACTCTTTGGCAGCAAAGCCACAAGTTCCCATCAAAACCAAAGATTCCGATGCTGGGCCGGCAAAACCGGCAAAGATGGCACGCAATGCAACTTCCGGTCCTGAGAGACGGCTGAGTCCGAAGGGACTGGCTTCTGGCAGTAGTAAAACAAACGCAACTGCCACGCGAGCCCGCACCAAGCGCACCACTCGAAGTATGATATCTGGGTCTCAGTAATGATATACCTGGCTAACAGTGGGTAGGTGATCGCTATAACCAGCGCTTCAGCCAAAATGCCTGAGCCAATCACCCAATATACCATCTGGCCGAGGCAGGTCTGACATTCTCATTCGATGATGTTCATCGAACACCCGGTGCGAATTTCGTCAAATCAAAGTGCTCGATCATTTCAGCTATATTCAATATTGATTTATCGCAATCCGGCATTGCTGTCGATGGATGGAAGCCCAAGCAGATTTAATGAACCAGGAGGCGATGGAGTGGAATATGTATTTTATCTTTATTGAGGTACCCAAATCTGTATTACTCTTTAACGCCAAACACAATGCTCCGCCAAAAGGGCGTATACCACGGAATATACCACGGAATATCCAAGAAACCGTAAGAATCACAATTCCTCGGAAGTTGCATCCTCCAGTAAATAATGTACACACAGGGACTGTTCCCCTGAGACCCGTATCGCAATCCACGGACGTTCATGTAAATCCTCAAGCATCGTCGGACATATTTCGGGATGGCGGCTCCAACAAAATAAAGAGTCAGATTCGCTTCGAGGCAGGAGATCGGAATCAATCGATGGGTAATCGCGGACGGAACCCCAATCGCTCGAGGCGCAAAACAAATCGACCGATGAAGATTCGAAGGACCGAGAGAACGAGGATTCAAGCGCAAAGCCAAATAGCTTATTTGTTCTTTCCGCCCTTGGTCGCTTCAAGGAAAAGCACCTGCTTCTTGATGACGGGGTCGTACTTCATCATGCTGAGAGGGCGGTGCACACGCGGCCGAATCATCGTGCGGTAGTAGCCCGTCATGGCCATTGAGATTAGCCGGACGGCAACGGTACGTGACTTCGCTGCGGTGGGGAGAAAAGAGTATGTTAGCTTTGGCTGCGTGAAATCCGGGAGGTTCCCTCGTTCGCTGCCATCGTCGCTTGCATCCCAGGTCAGGGAAGGGGCGGTTGGTGGACGTATGGTGCGATTGAGGAATTGGATGATGAGGTCATGTACCTTTCTTGGCCATCTTGGGCGTCTCGGAGTGGATTGTTCGAGTGTTCGCTCTGGCAACAATTTCGAGGTTCGGAGATGATCAGATCCCGCAGGTCACGTGTGTGGTTACACTTAGTCATCTGTTCTCTTTGGAACCTCTGGGATACGGAGGACGAACTGGCGAAGTGGCTGCGAACTTTTGTTCAACTATGATACTTTGAAAAGAGACTTGCTTAGAACTGTGGCCATTCTCAGAGTCTACCTGGCACCACTTACGGGCACATTCTGCTTGGGGAAGGTCAGGTGCCATACAATTCACATCTTACCTTGTTCGGCTTAATTTCTCGCCAGCGGGTCTTTGAGAGGAAAAATGAGAGCAGAGAGGACGGTTGGAATAGGATCTTCTATTAGGGATCGTGTTCAGGCCTACCTTGTGTTTGTGATTGGATCGAATCCTGACACAGCCCTTGATATCTCTTGAAACAGTCCCGCTACGCATTTAAACGCAGAATCATGTGTTCTGGAACTCCGAAATAGCGGAACATACAAACCTAAACTACAAAATGACACTATACTCTGAAGTATTATTTACGCCCTGCTCTTACTGTGGGTATGTACGTCCGATACTTAGGGCGGAGCACAATCTATACTAGACCACAACGGCGAAATATGCTTAGGACGGGTATATCCGGCTCCAAGTGCTTGTCTTGAATTTCACATACAGGATCCACTCCTTTTTCGCAGTTTTAAAAAATACTTTCTGACCTGATACCTCGGTCGAAACTCAAGCAGCTTGCAGGCGTTTGTGCTGACTCCTGTAGGCACGATGTGACCCTATACGGGGCCTAAAGCTGCGCCCCACAGTCATGCAGTCACGATGTTCTTCATTCGATTCCTATTTGAGGTCAATTGTTGCCCTGTGTGGTTGTTGTGGTTATTGTGGCTGATCAGCGTAGTATTCGCGCTCTCTTCGGTTAGTACGTTTCAGCCAGGCTGCAGGAATCAGGGTCCGATTTGCATAACCGAAACTAGCCTGTGGGGGAATCAGCACGCATCGTGTGATGGAGACCAAATACCCTTTCAGATGGCAACTTGTGTCCGAAGCTTGTGTTTAGTATGGTTATGGACAAATTAATTTTGAGGGAGCAACCATATAAAGCTCAGTATCCCCAGCGCCAAAATAGAGAAATATCCCTGTTTTACCCGGCTTCAGTCAATCTGGCATTCACAATTATGTCATTCAAATCTTCTGTTCAGATTGCTCTCCTTGCCTTGTTTGGCACAGGGTTTGCCCAAACCGTGGATGGGTCCAAGTATAACAATCCAACCGCCGGACCGCCAGCCAGCTATTTCGCCGCTGCCACTACAATTCCTGTTGCGGCTTTGCAAAGTGCAGCTGCAAAGGCTAGCACAGCTGCACAGGATGCAACTTATCCAATTAATGGAGATAGTGGAGCTAAGAAAGTCACTATCCATGGTGATTGGTCGAACTTCAGCGAGGTGTGTGAGCCAATTAAGCCAATACGGAACTGAGCAATTTGGTGACTTTCTATAGGGCGCAGCGTTTGTCTGGGTTGCAGATATGGATGTGGACTGCGATGGTCTTGACTATAAGTGCAAGGTGAGACTCAATCTTCATCTTACACCTTTCAAGTGTTGACTAGATGACAGGGAAACCCAGATGGACAGGCACAGACCAACTTCGGTGCTCTAGCAGCCTACGAAGTTCCATTCATTGTGATTCCTGACAAGTTTGGAACAAAGTATGCTAATGTGCTTCCCGGAAACAATATCGGAGCGGTCATTTGGTATGCCCTTTTCATACTTTCGGCTACATTGAAGTGTCAAATCTAATACAAAACAGCAATGGAAAGATGTTCTATGGCATCTACGGTGACACAGATGGTGATACACCGCAAGTTATTGGAGAGGCCTCGTGGTTGATGGCCCGCACTTGCTTCCCAAATGACGACTTGAATGGAAACAGCGGCCACGGAGCCGCAGATGTGACCTGTAAGTCAAGGAATTACGTATTTTGATACTGCGCTAATAGTGCCAGATATTCTCTTCACTGGCAAAGATGCCGTGCTCCCTAGCAGCGCTCTCAACAAGAACTATATCACCAACTTTACCACACTCCGGTCTATGGGCGACAAGCTAATGAGCGCCCTGGCGAAGAGCCTCAATTTGAGCGGAGGAACGACGCCGCCTACTACTACTCCTCCTAGTGGCTCCTGCTCTTGGGCTGGACATTGTGCCGGTATGAAATATCATGATCAAATTCGGCTTTTCGTATACTTACTTTTGCTTAGGTGCTTCCTGCTCTAGTGAAAATGACTGTTCTGACGATCTAGTCTGCACGAGTGGAAAATGTGCTTAACTCTTAGAGATATTTTCCTTTGCTTTATGCTGGTGGTTGAACATTTTTGTCGGGTTTTATGTTTTGAGTCGTTGTTTTTTGAGCTATTTCTGAATACATCTAAACTCCCGAGTAGTGATTTCTGTATCTCTGCTAGAACGGGTCTTCTCAAAAGGATACATTTTGCCATTTCTGCCAACAAAATATAGTTACAGATTGGATATGAGGACCTGTGGAATTGACGCCGAAAATGACCGCTTTCGATGCTAGAAACGGCCGCCTTTCCCTGCTCGAGTTGAGATTTTGGAGGGGTCAAGAGAGGCAACTGCGGGCGCTCCGGTTTGCTGTCGCCTGACCTGTCAACTTGGGTAGATGTTGATGCCTAAGCAACACTACGAATCTTACCTTTTCCCGTGACGGTCGTGCAACAACGGATTTTCTATCTTCGAGGCGAATAGGATAACGTCTATGACGAGTTGAATCGAGCTCCACGGCCCACGAAGATGAGTAGCGCCTCAGTCTCTCCAGAGGGCTGCACATAGCCGGCACTGCTTTGCTTAGACTTTTACTGCGGCCGTGGGATGGTGACAGCTTGTGCTGTTCAGATCAAGAGTTGAGCTTGACGGATCTATCCGGGATGTCTTCCTGGTCACGGCGCAGGAGGGAAGCCAGAGGGCCTGCATCAGAAATCTGCATCATGACAGGCCCGTAGTTGCCCGTAGCTAGCATAGTGGGTTGTGATTTAGAATCTAACTGCCGAAGCTATATATAGGCTACCACAACTACGTATATCCGTGCCTATACATGTATGACGTTCCACTTCCTAAAAACGAACTTAGAGCCTCGTCAAGACCTATTGCCGCTCCCATTGTTAGTCTGCCTTCGTGGCGCGCGACTTTGAAACCGTTATGACGCCTCGGTAAAGTCTAGCACTGCTGTGACCATCCTAGCCCGAGAGACGGTGTCTGGCTTACCTCTCTCGCCTTTTTTTTGAGCCTCCCAGCAGACTCGACACGTTGTTTGCATCCACTGGAGACGGAGCGCGATTTCCTTTACACTAAAAGGTCACGAGCTACAGTCATAGTAAAAAGTATAGGATGAATCGAAATCAGTTTTACCATCTACTCATAGAGAATTGGTTGATGTCATTGGGAAATTTAGATACACGGCCGAATACAGTACTGCTCCATAGAGAGTGTCCTACCAGTTAGTCTGTACTTACGACTGATTCAAGACCATCCGTAGCCTTAGAAATGTGGTCTTATCAAGCTATCGGCGTGTGCGGCAGTTAGATAGGGATTGGGGCGACGTTGTTTATAATCGTACGACTACACAACTAAAGCGAAATATGGATGGCGAGAAATTGGACAATTTCTTCACAGCTATGATGGAGGACAAGAATGGATCACCGCATAATCTGGAATGGGGTGAGATCGTCGTAGAGATTAGCGTATGATGAATGCGGGACACGACACCGCAGCTATCTCACTTCGAAACGCTCTCTTTTTCCTACTGAGAAACCATAAATGCCTAGCGAAGCTTCGTGAGGAGGTCGACGAAGTTTTAGAAGGAAATGAGGTTATTGCACTATATAGCAAAGTTAAAACCCTGCTATATCTCCGGGTATATATAGACAAACGGTTTCCCTCGTCGAACGCCTATAGAAGGAAATGAATTCGTTAGAATAAGAGAAGACCGGAAAATATTGAAGGGAATTGATAGCAATCAATTTATCTATTGTAGAACCATGGATTATTATCAGGTAGAATCTTACAGAAAAGTTCCGTTTACAGCATGCCCTATCGTGCTACAGGATTTGGCTGTGTCTAATAAAAGGGTGCCCGTTGTACTACATTGGTCCTAACTTGGTGACCACTAGCAGTTGATGGGGAAGGGTGATGGGGTGAGTGACTCACCAGTCAACCTGGCGGTCAACTTTCCGATGACGTAGCGAGGAGGTTTTCGTACAGGCACTTTGTTATTCCTGGTTTAAAATTCGGTGGCGTTGACAAGCAGCCTCTGAATTGATTGAAAACATCTAAAATGCAAACAACAGAAATAACTTCCCATCAGAACTTTCAATAGTCCCAAGCAACTCTTGTTTAGCACGAAAGAGATACCAAGTGTAGGAGCATGCAGGGGAGACATTGCACCTCCAACAAACGAATCATTGGCTGCAGAAAACCATAGTGGTGCGTAAAGACTCTGGGTCCATGCATGACCAAGATCATTGTTGAAGGCGGTTGCTGCCTTTTGACTAGCTTTTCGCTAGAAAGAATCAAACATTGTATAGTTGTAACACCGGTTTCAAGGCCGAGTATACGACCTCGAGATCTGCCGAATTGCGTCGTCGTAGAGGTGGTGCATATTCCTTTCATCCCCGAGATCCAAGACACGGTCTTCCATATATATCGTTGTTGCGACCCTGATTTGACTGTTTTCACTCTCATGGTAGTTTGACGTGTCAGGGGCTAAAGACCCCGCAGCATTGTCTTGCAAGTCCTCCATGTGTATCGCCTCCGGCATGCTTGCGGATTGAGCTTTTTTGTCCTTTGTGTGCGGCTGGTCACTAGATGGCTTCACAGTGGTAGTTATATGACAGTGCGATGTAGACCTGTAATTGGGGTCTCCACGGTGCTGCACAAATTTGACTAACTCGTTCAGGACCGCAAACTCGAGCTTGAGCTTGATAGAATATATGACAACTTTAAGTCCTTGCTCCAAGGTGAAATAACTCTTGTATTCGACTGCGAGGAGCGCCACATTCATGATCACGATCAATACGTTGATGCTGAACAGCTGCCACATGAATCGTCTCTTGGTGCCGAAAGCCGTTCTGAGGATATCCACCGTAGCCCATATATATAGACCGGAGATTATGAACTCCTGGAGGCAAAAGAAGGTCATTTGGACTTTCTCTATGACATTGTACACCGCGTTGAAACCATTTCTGTTTTGACGCGGACTGTATGTGGAACCAAAAAGGAGCACAGTAACAGAGGTGTGCCAGATAACGCCGTTGCAAATAATCATCCAGAGGACAACGCGGAGGATGTTGGGATTGTGGAGTACTAGATGTAATCGCGAATACAAGACAACAGATTGGCCTGAAACCAGCAGGACCCAGCCAATGGTGTCAAGTATCATGCCAACATAAGCGATAGTGGGCTCGAAGTGGACGAGCGTCCAACCCACAGAGTACGGAATCAGGCCGAATGATGCGAGAAATATACTCCAAAAGTAGAGGCCCTTGTATCTCTTAAATATCGTAAGAATGAGAACAAGCAGTTCGAAGGCATTATATAATGCTAAAGTCGTGCAAACCTGTGAAACATGTTAGACCGTTATGACAATCCGACTGAAGAAGAAACCATACGATAAAAAACACGGACTCCGAGTTGTAGTTCATGGCCGCCCTGCGGCTAAAATTGATGCCCGTAGTGTGCAGCAGCATTAGGGCTCTCTTGGCCATTTTCAAGACATATCTTGCAGATATGACGAAGAGGCGCCGTTTTCAAAAGTGAACCTGTGGTGGGCATATGGAGTAAAACGTTACCATGTGTGCCGCTGACCAACTTGGTCCTTATAAGCATTCTAGGTTAACTGCAGAGTGGGAAGCGTGGCACAATTAAGTGGGAATCATGTGGACAAATATAGGGGCATCATTGTGGGGTATATGTAAACTCTGATCTTGCTGAAACTCTCCATACGTTCACCTCGAATCCAAGACCTAAAAAGCAATAAAAACCTTAATACCCCTATAAATTTAGGTTTAAACCAGAATCCGAAAATTCCGCCGTGTTATTGCCTGCTCTGGCTAGTAGCTCAGATGGCAATTCTCGGCATTGGGGATTGCCACCGTCGAACCACGGGCTTCCCCAGACCCATATACCGCCCCCGGATTACCGCCCCGGATTACCGCCCCGCATGTGGGTGAATGGTGAATTCACCATTGAGCAGCCCACCGATGCACAAGATGCGCCACACGTATGTTCGACCTGCAGTTTCATCCTCTGACTGATCTTCTGTTCTTGAGATTTTTCTGCGCCCACTAGCATCCAGTGCCCACTCTTTTTGGCATTGGCAAATGGAAGGCAAACCGGGTAAAGCTGAGAGGCTGGGACCCGGATCGGCGGAGCACGAAGCCAACCTCGCAGAGCATAGAAAAGCCGACTTTACACAGCCGCTCCCGCACTGACGTTTCTAGTGGAATAGACGGCATCGGCTACAAGGTCTCTCTCTTCTTGACCACTTGTATCGCCGAAAACCTCGTCCAGTTCCTCCAAAGTCTTCCCGCCTGTCTCTGGAACCAAGAAGAAAGCCCATAAGCCCGCCAAAAAGCACATGACCGCGAAGAAGACATACGTCCCGTAGCCAATATTCTGCAACATGCTCGGAGTCGAAATGCCGACGACAAAATCACTTAGCCAGATAACGCACGTGGATAACGCCACACCTTTTGACCTAGTCGTTGTAGAGTAGACCTCCGCAGGGAGGGCCCAGCCGAGGGGTGAGTAGGAAACACCATAGATCAGAATGAACAGAAAAGCCATGGCCACGCAAGCCCACCCACCTGCCATGTGTGAGGGCCAGTCCTTCGAGTATAGGGCGGAGAGAATAGCGATGATAGCATAGGTGATGGCGTTCCCAAACCCGCCAAAGATCGCCAATGGCCGCCGGCCAACCTTTTCGATGATTACAAAGCATACAAATGCAGCGACCATTTGCAGAATGTCGAGTACTCCGGACAGAATCAAAGATTTCTCGTTGCTTTGTCCTAGACTGATAGTCATTGTTAGATGGTTTCTAGAAGTGGTCCAGGACATTATGCCCCTCAAATCCTTCCATTAATAGTGATGAAAAACCTGTTAATAGTTAAATTGAACATACCTGGTAAATAAAGTAGGGGCATAGTAAATGAATGCGTTGATACCAGAGAACTGTTGAAAAAATCCGACTCCGACACCTACCACAGTTCGTCTCCAAGTCTTGCGACGAAAGAGATCTAGCCATAACAGTATCTCAAGCTTCAGTCCTTTCGCTCCTGGGTGTTGTTTATTCCGAACTAGTGTCTGAAAATTGATTTCTGCAACAATACCGTGGAATTCTGCTTGCACGCGTTCGTCGGTACTGGGTAGGCCGCGCAGTTTAACCAAGCTTTGAAGACAGTCATCGGTGCGATTCACGAGAGCTAGCCAGCGAGGAGAGTAAGGGAAAAAGTTAATACCAACGCCCAAAAGGGTTGCAGTGACCATTTGCAAACCAAATGGCAGTCGGTAAGAGGCGTCTCCAGCTATGTGCCTGGTGCCATAAGTGATGAAGTACGCTACAACAACACCAGTGGTAATGGAAATAGATTCCAGCACTAAAAGAGTTCCACGAAGATTGGGAGGAGATATCTCGGAAATGTAGAGTGGGGCGCCCTAAGAGATGAGAGCTTTATATCAGTATGTTGTGATCATATCGTCTGAGAGATAGAGACACTTACCATGGCTAGTGTACCCACTCCGATACCCCCGATGAATCTGCCCACCACTAAGGCGGCATAGTTTGGTGCTGCAGTTTGGATGATCGCTCCGATGTCAAAAATAATAACGACAACGATCAGAGCCAACTTTCGAGAAAAGAGATCCGCAATATAAGGCATGAATATGCAACCCACAAAAGCGCCCAGAAGCAACATTGCTGTCATGAGCTCTTTTCCGAAGTCGGTTTCCGCGAATGGGTATTTTGCGTGAAACTGATCCATCACATTGATAATGGAAATTACCCCCATGTCATATCCCATGGAGAAGCCACCCAGTGATGCGAGGACAGCGGCCCCTGAGACATATGGAGAGCCCACAATGCCCCGAATTCCACCAGCGCCATAGGAGACTGATTGCAAAAAGCTGGGGTCTGCAAAGATGGTTTCACCATGCTCGGCTGTGGCGGCGCCAGCGTGGTCGGCCTTTTTGGCAGAACGGTCCTCAATCTGGTCGGTGGGCATGTTTGATCAAATCGATGATATCATAAGCGCGAGTAGAATATTGCGCTGAAGATGAAGCCGATGAAGGGATAGGCGGATCGTTGCACTTCTTTTATAATCTTGCTTTTGATATCCATGAGTACGGCTCTTGCCTGTTTCTATTATTTGTGGGGTTCTGGGGAAGCAATAGAGTTTGGGGTTGTTCGCCGAGCATTGCCCCATGACGATTAACGGGTCATGATGGGTAACGGGGAAGGTTTCTCCGAGCGGTGCAGACTACGGACAACCCCTAATGCCGATACATCTTTCTAGGGCACGTTTGAGTGTATATACGTCATGTCTCTGGGGACTTTCTTAAGGCCAATTATGGGTCACGCAGGATCCATCAATGTCCCGGTTCCCGCAGTAGTCGGTTTGCAGACCGGGAATGTCCTGGATGACTTGTGTCCTAACGTGGATCATCATCGCCAGGGCCAAAACGACCCCCGCAGCATCCCGTCTCGGCTAAGGGCTTGATACTTTCATTGAAAAACCAGTTGGACGAGGACATAGATCGTTGCATTCCTCTCGGCGGCTGCGGTTCATACAGTGCCCCATTCAAACTTGCTTGCACGAAATATGGTTACAAGGTTATCGGTAAAGGTACCACTCGGGGATTGCGGAAGAAGTTTCCCGCGAGGCGCAGGTCTATCAAATCCTGCGCAAAGCTTAAGCATCTGCTGTGCCCGCTTTCTTGGGTGCGATTGACTCGGCAAAAATTTACTTTCTTCATGGCGCCGGAGAAATCCGCCACATGCTCGTAATGGGCTGGGGAGGTGGATGCACGGCAACGATGGAGCTGACGCAACGGCTTCGCCGCGAGATCCATAAATCAAACAAGGAAATTAAAGCTCTCGGGATAATACATGAAGACCTCATAGAGGATTCGATTTGGGCAGATCGCGTCGCGAAGAAGAGACGTGGCGGTGACGGATTAACACGGACATGCAATAAGTCTTGTTTCGGAGGCAACGTTGCAGAATAACATTGTTTCTTTCGCGGAAATTGATCCAAAGAAATTGAAGACTTCGGCGCTGAAATTTTCGAGCGAAGCTCGTGAGCGGGCGTGTGTGACACTGGACATTATAGTCGTTGCTATTGCGGGTCCGTGAATGGGTTGCTTGGCTATCTGTCTCCATGTGTGGCTCCATTTTCCGCTTCAATGCATTGGGAGAGCTGCTGGACAACTGTGTGCCGCTGTTCTGGTCTGCGCATCCCTGCGATAACGGCCGAAAATTTGGGTTCAATGACCCATTGGACGTTGTCGTTCTCTCATCGATGGAAATATCATCACTATCACAATCCAGAGATGCCAACGCTCTACGTCTGGGAACGGCAACTAAGTGATACATTGTTCGATATGACGCAGTACTGGCATTTTGAGTTGATTGGTCACAGGAAGCAAGCTCGCGACCAAGACTTTCCTGGAAACAAAAAAAACAAACTAAGTTCCAGTTATAGAGAATAAGTCAAGACCTAAACCTAGACTATCTTGATGCCCCTCAATCAAACGTCTTTCGCGCCCCTCTCTTTGAAGTAAGTAGACTGCTCCACGACCCAATTGGACCCGGATCCAACCCAACCCAACCCAGCTTTAGGTTGGGTTTTAGGTCCTAACCTCGGACCTAATATATAGGTGACCTAATAGAACCCCTAGATACCTAATTGGGTAACAAATATTACAAACATGCTAAGATTTCGTAGCTTCATAACTTATACATTGTCGAGCTGTAATTTAGAGTATTATTTAGCATAAGATAGTGTGAGGACCCTGCGAGGTCCTGGATAGCAGGATGAGTTCGGGAAGTAGAGTCTGACAAATGTATATACAGGTATAGTAAGGGACTAATTGCTAGTCCTTTATGCGAAGGCCAGCGTGAGCAATAAATACATAGTGCGCTTAGCTAAAGCTCTTAAGCGATATGTATGATCGTCATAGCCTATACGTGCACTTGGTTATCCTCACACTACGAGGGCTAAGGCTCGCTGTATACCCTTAGGCAGCCTCAGGCACCTGGCAGGCGGGCCCTGACAAATAGGCCCCTAATAGGACCCCACGATAGATTTTAGGCCTAACCAAAATGCCTAAAGCCTATCGTAGGCCTAAGAACTAGGCCTAAAGCCCAACCTATTAGGGGGTTGGGTTGGGTTGGGCTTTGGGCTTTGTGGGCCCTGCGGAAGTCTAGTCATAAGTGTGCACTGTGGGCCAAAAACCCAGAGGCTTGGGGGACATTGCGGTAGACTGCCGAGGCCCACTTGTTGTTTCCTGGAACGGTACTTTCTGCTCCCGAGAGCTAGAGGTCCTCTAGAATTTTTACTTCTGGGAGCCATCAGGAGCGTGAACCTAAGTATGAGTGCTGGTGCCATCAAGGATATACATGAGGCATACACAAGCAGTGGAGAGATGTTATGCGGGACCCACGTGGCGTATCTGGTTCCCCTGAACGCGCCCAATGGTTGGGTCAATCAACATATAGGCCTCTCTGGGGTTTCGGATAATTACAGGTATCTTCAGCAGAACAATTTGCCTGCTTAGTCGTGGGTGACGAAATCTGTGGTGATCCCATGAAACTACCGAGTCGGAGAACTCCTCGCGACACGGCATTAGGCAAGTAGCGCTGCGGAACCCGAACAATCGATCCATTTGGTTTGAAGACCTGACGTAGAGGCTAGGATAAGCTGTCTAGTTCATGTTCAGGTGTGTGGTCTCAAAAGTCGCGGCTGTCATGTGACGGTGTATATCGCTGCGCAACAGGGGCTCTGTGTCAAAAAACTCCCTTTCTTCAATAATTATTTTGTACAATCCATTCAGTCTCCCTTCCCAAATTTCAGAACGTTTCTCCAGCTTCTCATTCTCCTCTAAATGCCGTTTATCTTTGTGTTCTCTCCGTCCGGTATATGATTGCGCCATACTAAGCAGAAGTAACACAAGAAGTATTTCTAAGCTCAGTCCAGACATTTTACTGGTCTTCGAAGCTGGGAAATGCTGCGATTCCACTATGAGCAACCCTACTCGGCTTTCTTCCGTTCTAGAGGGGTTGCTCTATCTTCCCAATGATTGAACACGCACTTTCATTTACTAGGGATTCGTGCTTTCGTGTTAAAATGACAGCAGTCGAGTACGAGCGGGGTTATTATGAGATAGAGGAGAACGAGGAGATATATAACGACCAATATGATCCAATATCCAAGGAAAACATCAAGTCATTTAACAATTTCTCATTCTCTTCCAAACCGAACAACTCAATAAAATAGAACAAAGTTCCATCATGGCAGCCGACAGCTCAGCCAAGAGACGTATATATCTCAATGGCTTCGACATGTTTACAGTAGGCCATCTCTCATTTGGCCAGTGGAAAAATCCCGCCGATCGATCGGCCACAAAGCGACGCGATCTCTCATACTGGACCAACTTGGCCAAGATACTTGAAAAAGGCGACTTCAATGCCCTGTTCCTTGCCGACACTTATGGTCTATATGATACATATAAGGGTACTGCAGAGCCCGCTATCCGGAATGGAGCTCAATACCCCATGGGTGATCCGGCGATAGTATGTCAGAACCTTAGTTTAGACCCTTGTATTGAGGAATGGCAAATCGCTAACCACAACGCTCAGCCCATCTCGGCGATGGCATCGGTTACGAAGAATCTCGGATTCGCGATCACTACTTCCACGTCGTATGAAGCCCCGTATGTTGTTGCAAAGCGGTTTTCCACTTTAGATCACTTGACCGGTGGTCGGTTCGGGTGGAACATTGTAACATCGTGGAAGGAATCTGCTGCTAAAGCCGTGAGTTAGTATCTTCGGAGTCTCATACTTCAAACTAACATGCATAGGTGGGATTGCCTCTGGTAGATCATGACAAACGGTACGAAATTGCCGACGAGTACCTGACAGCGCTATACAAGTAAGAAACAACCCTAAATTCAGACTTGCAGAAAGCTTACACATCACAGACTGTGGGAAGGGAGCTGGGCCGACGATGCCCTGCAAGAGAACGCAGAAACGGGTGTATATGCCGACCCAAGTCGGATTAAATACATTCACCATCACGGCGAGCATTTTAAATTCGACGGGCCTCACATTTTGGATCCATCGCCACAGCGCACACCCTTCCTCTTCCAGGCCGGTACATCACCAGCCGGTGTAGCATTTGGCGCCAAACACGCCGAGGGAATCTTTGTGTCAGCGCCATCGCCCCACATCCTCGCACCACGCATCAAAGCCATCCGCGAGGAAGCGGCCAGGGTCGGCCGTGATCCTCGATCGGTGAAGGTATTCGCAATCCTAACACCGATCGTTGGCCGAACAGATGAAGAAGCACAAGAGAAATACCGTGAGGCGCTAGCAAATGCAAGCGAAGAAGCAGGCCTTGCCTTTTTCTCGGGAGGAAGCGGCATCGACCTCAGCAAGTTTGATCTGGATACCCCCATCACGCCATCAGACGTACATGTCGACGCGCGGGTGCATTCGACAATTAACACACTCTCCTACCAGAGTTCCGACGTGCCGCAGTGGACGCCAAGGAATATCGGCAAGCGGATCTCCATCGGCGGGGCTGGGCCTGTTCCAGTTGGATCCGCCAGCACCGTCGCGGACTTCCTGGAAGAATGGGTCCGCGTGGCTGATCTGGACGGGTTCAATATCGGCTATGTTCAGACACCGGGCACTTTCGAGGACGTTGTTGAGCTGTTGGTGCCGGAACTTAGGAGACGAGGGGTCTACGCACCCGAGAATGAGAGCGGGACTCTGCGTGAGAGAATTTATGGTCCTGGGCAAAAGCGGTTGCGAGATGACCATGTCGGAAGAAATTACGCATATGAGGTGTATGACGGTCAGTAATGGAATCTTGAGCCTGGGGGGCAGCACTAGCAGGGGCTTTGACTCGGATCATGTATTATGCGAATAGAGAAATAGGAGCATTTGCCCCTGCAAGTAAGATGAGATCTAGGAGCCCGATGTGTCAAAGTGCCTCCCCGGTGTCCAGGTACATACCTGTAATTCCTGCACCAGAAGCGCCCCTAGCCCTGCGCCAAGGCAAGCGGAGATATTAAGGGCCCTGAATTTGCTCTTTTACAGAGGCCAGATGCCATGTGGTCAGGGGCCGTTTCTTGTCATTGGCTCAACTTTATGATGGCTTGCGACTAAACGTCACCTAATGCATAGATCGGGTATTTTGTACTCAAGTTCAATTTACTTTCTTTGTGCGGTTTTGGGCCCCCAAATCCTGTCATTTAACATGAAAGGAATTTCCCGCCTAGTATCATTCCTGCTGGTCCTTGAAATCAGATATATTGGACGCACAATCTTAAGTGTAATATTCTTTTTCTGTGGGTTTGATATGGCGCTGTGTACATCTGGTTTTGTGTCTAATTAATTAAAGACAACACGAACAGAACACCGGCACCTCCGATTGGAACCTATCGGCGGTTTTCCAATCTCACTAGGGCTAGACCGTTTACTGATCAGATTTAATGACTTCATTCAATGGGGTAAAAAGGATTTTCGTGGCAAATGAACGGACTTCATCAACCGCGAGGCGTTCCTTGGCAGACGTTTCATCTTTCATTTCCATGCTCTCCTTGCCTGACTTGCCTCACATTTTTCTGTCGACTACGGGCTCTCGCTTTTAGTGGACCTAGATGTGGTGTGATCTGTTTGCGCCGTGCTTGGCTCGTTTAAAGTCCCCCGCTAGTGGCTAGTTCATCTTAGGCTAATTATTACCCCCCGCTCTACGGCTTTATACCTCCGATCCTGTGGAAATTTGAAACATCTCTGTGCAGAGCATACAATTTCTTCTCTTTTGAGCGAGATGGGACTATAAGTATCGAGCCTCTGCTCATGGTGTTCATGATACTATTCTCATCAACCAGTCTCTCCTTTTACTGACGCTTGCTGGACTCAAGTCGTCTTCCATTCCTTTCTACAACTATCATTCATTTCTGACACTCCTTCAACCATTTTTATCAACATCATGTACTCTTCCCAAAATTCGGGCTGGCAGGCTTTCATGGCCAAGAGAAAGGTCCTGGTGTCCTGTGTTCTTGGCCTCTTCTTTCTCGCCATTGGGGCGGATATCCGGGCTGAGCTCGGAGCTGGACATTCGCAGAAGAAGATCCTGAAGCGTGGCACCGACACTACCATTTGGCAGCCGGCCGCTGGTGTCAAATGGCAGATTCAGCTGATCGATGCAGTCGAGGACACCACCGCCGACGCTGACATCTGGGACATCGACCTGTTCGACAACACCGCAGCCACGATCTCCACCCTCCAATCCAAGGGCCGCAAGGTCATATGCTACTTCTCCGCTGGTACATACGAAGACTGGCGGTCCGATATCAGCAAGTTCGACTCCGCAGATTTCGGCAGTAACCTCGATGACTGGCCGGGCGAGAAGTGGCTCAACATCAAGTCCACCAGCGTTCGATCGATCATGACTTCTCGCTTGGACATGGCAAAGGAGAAGGGCTGTGATGGCGTGGACCCGGACAACATCGATGCATATGGCAATGAGAACGGTCTTGGCTTGACTGAGGCGGACTCGATTGACTTCTTGACTTTCCTTGCTACTGAGGCTCACTCTCGTGGCATGGCTATCGGTCTCAAGAACGGTGGTGATATCATCGGCTCTGTTATTGACAAGATGCAATGGTCTGTCAATGAGCAGTGCGCTGAGTATAACGAGTGTGATGTTTATGCTGCCTTTACCGAGGTCAACAAGCCGGTTTTCCACATTGAGTACTCCGATGAGACTATTGAGAACGGTAGCAGCGCTTCGACTGATACCACCACGGATACCACCACGGACACTAGCGAGGATGTTGCTACCACAACCACTGCTAGTGCCACTACTAGTGGCGCTGTATCCCCCTCGGTTTCTTCCTCCACTTCCGCCTCCGTCTCTGCCGTCGCTACTAGCACCAGCGCTACCGGAACTCCTTCGGCCGCTGCCACGACCACTACAACTGATGCCGATTCCACCCCGGATACTACGACTGACACGACCGATGACGAGAATGACGAGACTGACGCTGAAGACGGTGATTCCGAAGACGACGACTCCGAGGACGATGAAGACACCGAAGATGACACTGAGACTGAAAGTAACGACACCTACATTCGCAAGCACAAGCAAAGACATAACAAGATCGAGAGCAGAGCCACTCTCTCTGCCTCACTGAAGTCAACTGCCTGCAACGCCAAAAGCGCCGACAAATTCTCCACTGTCATCAAGAACATGAACCTGGACGCTTGGGTTGAATATTGCTAGACAATACGCTGTAAACCCGAGGTTTATGTCAAATACTCACCTTTTGTATACCCGCCAGTTCGGGAGATTCAGAGGGCAATTCTTAGTCAATCTATGAGAGACTATTCAAGATTTCGGGAAATCAATACAAAGTCCACTTGCATTCTTCTACATTTGTGTCCCCAAGGAAGAAAGACTAAGCCGTCGCCGATTTGCTAATGAGGATATGCTAAATCCTTTAGCTACGTAAAGATGGAGTCTATAAGGAAGCGAACAGTGGTATATAGGACTAGGCTTAGGTCGTGGGCACTTATAGTGGGATGAAGGCCGTTGCTACCTTTACCTTTAGTGATACGCCAGTAATATTGTATGTTTAGCGTTGGGAAAAGCAGGGGTTGTTTACTAAAGTAACCTAATACGGATGACGGTAGTTTCGGGTACGGGCCAAGAAACAAAGCGTGAGTATCCATGGGGGAATTCGTTTCGAAATCTACTATAACCTTGTTTTAAGTATGCAGATTCATTCCCGGAACGGGAAGGGAAGTGGCTGACACGAGCCACAGCATTCGCCTGGTTGACCACCGGTTGACTGACGTGAACCTAAATGCATTCCAAGGTTCTAAAAAGCTCTATCTCAATTCCTATACAGCATTCTTTGCAAAACCTGCAACAAAAAGCCAAGAAATGTGCCAAGAAAAATACCGAAAACACGCGAATCCATTTCTCCAGCCCTATAGGGCTAGGTGCTTCACTCTGTAGATATTCTATATTTCGAAAGAACATCGCTTCCTTGCTTCTATTAACAAAATGGACTATAACCGTCGGTCTCTGAATAGCTTCCCAAGACATGTAGACGGAAACAAAAAATCAACAACGCTCACAGCCTTGGCACATACGAACAACTGAAAGAAAAACAGACGCTAATAGTCTTGATTCTATGTTGCCAAGAAGAACAAGGACACATACTTCCAACAATATATGACTTTACCCAAGCTAATTACGTACACCCCTCGAATCGCGTGGTGGTAAATTCCGGGCCCGGGGTGAGTAGCTACTATAAGTTTAGTGCCAGAGTCGAGTGCATCCACAGACCTTCCTGTCAACCTGCTCTACCTGCAGAAAGAGGTTAAACGAGAAAATAGCGCAGACAAGGTCTACGAATCTGTTCTTTTACTCGCTATATTAACGCTTACTCCAAACCCCACTTAATATACTAACACACGCGCGATGAAACCCCAAAAGGGTCTGAAGACCGTGCCATTGTGACAATGTCTCGGAGCGGTTTACTCCACTCTACCGGATTCCTTGAATTTCCTTGATCTTATCTGATGCTTTTTTCATCTATTCCTAATCTTTTGAACTGAAGTTGGATTTATTCGCAGTTGACAGTCTACCCCTTGCTGTATCTATACAACTTCTCCTCAATCTCTCAATCCCATCCACAGACCTCCCACCCAACCCCCATCATCAACAATCAAACATGGCCACCGAAACCCTCCCAAAAGACCCAGACCTCTCCGACTCCGAAAGACAACAAATCCTAGAAGGCGACGCCAAATTCCACCGCCTAGGCTGGAAACGCCTAACAGTCATTTCAATCGTCGAGGCTATCGCATTGGGAAGTCTAGGACTCCCATCAGCATTCGCAACTCTAGGCATGGTTGCCGGAGTAATAATGACAATCGGCCTCGGTTTCGTAGCAATCTACGCGGGCTACAACATCGGCGAGACGAAACTGAAGTATCCCCAGGTAGGACACTACGCAGACGTCGGTCGGCTGCTGTTAGGAAATATAGGATCAAAGATCTTTGTCGGCAGTTTCGTTGCACTTCTCGTTTTCGTTATTGGATCGCATTGTTTGACGGGTGCTATTGCCTTCCAGACGATTACGCAGAGTAATGTATGCTCTATTGTGTTTAGTGTTGTCTCGGCTGCGATCCTGATGTTGCTTGCTATCCCGCCTTCTTTTGCTGAGATTGCGATCCTGGGGTATATTGATTTCGCGTCGATTATTGTTGCTATTGGAGTTACGATGATTGCGACTGGGATTCAGAGTTCTAGTGGGACTGGGGAATTTGTTAATGATATGATTCCCTGGTCTGCGTGGCCGAAGGAGGGGATTACTTTTCCGGCGGCTATTGTTGCAACTAATAATATTGTTTTTGCTTATTCTTTTGCGGGTTGTCTGCCTTCTTTTATGGAGGACATGCATACCCCTAAGGATTATGTTAAGACGCTTTGGTGGATGGGTGGAATTCAGATTGTTGTCTATACCCTGACTGGGTCGATTATCTATGCTTTTGTTGGGCAGGGTGTGAAATCGCCTGCGTTATTGTCTGCTGGGCCTGTTATTTCGAGGGTTGTTTTTGGTATTGCGCTTCCGGTCATTTTTATCTCGGGGTCGATCAATACGACTGTTGTGTGCCGGTATATTCATGGGAAGGTATATCGGGACTCGGTTATTCGCTATGTCAACACGAGCAAGGGTTGGATGACTTGGCTTGGACTTGTTTTCTCGGTTACAATCCTGGCTTGGATCATTGCTGACGCTATTCCTATTTTCTCAGAGCTGCTCTCTATCATCTCGGCTTTGTTTGTTTCTGGCTTGTCGTTCTATATTCCACCTATTATGTGGTATGTGCTTTTGAGAGAGGGGGCTTGGTATGAGAAGCACAACCTGAAGACTGCCATTTTAAATGGTATTGTGTTTGTGGTTGGAATTATTATCTTTGGATGTGGTACTTATGCCAGTATTGCCGAACTGGTAAGTTCCTTTTATATCGATATGAGGATATGCTAATTCTTATCCCACAGATCGATAAATTCCAGTCAGGATCAGTTGGTAAACCGTTCACGTGCTCTAGCTGAACCCTGTCAACAAAGTCGCCTGCCTATTGGGCTGCGTGACCCGTGCAAAAGTTCGATGACCTAGATCTGAAAGGTTATTTGTTAGAATCCATATAAAGTGAAGATTGGAATGGACACTATCTTTAGCAATTAGGAGGCCTAACAAACTCTAAAAATAAAGAGAGACATCTATTTGAATACTACAAGGTCCAAGTGTGTGGTCACCTCAGAATCAGGCGACAACTGTGTGAGAGATCGACGCCTGAACATTATCCAACTGACCTAGTCATATTGCCGATCGATCAAGGTCACTCCTTGTGAAGTTAATACTATCAAGGCTGTTGAAATATTTCAATGCTGACTAGAAATAGAAGAGAAGGTGATCTATGAAGCTTTTAGGAGTGGAAATATAGAGCCGCAGGGTCCACCACTGCGATCAGCGGGTGGGTTTGCAGCCTTGTCGACAATGCTGTGAACGGATAGTTTACTCTCTTCTTTGCATCATCCAACAAGCTTTATGTAGAGTGCTTCTCCCATGTATAGTCATGCAGTACAATACAGGATGATTTACCCGACGTATAAAGAAACTTGGCCTTCTCGCCTGAGGCACATCCTAAGATACCTCAGCCACAACCCCGCAGTGAGTCATGTATAAAACTGTAACCTGGAACAGTAAATCTGAAAAAAAAAAAATTAGAGTCAAATGGAATGGTGGGGAATACGGGTGGGTTTGATCAACACTGCTTGACGCAGGCCTTATGGCCGGGGCACGAAGTATGAATGACCGAATATTACCATGTCTCGGATAGAACTTTACAGTACATTATACATTTATAGTAAAGAAATAAATCCAAGTGTTGTGAATATTCATATTCATTGAAATCATAGTAAACATTCCCATGGACTGTCCAAAAGAAGGAATGGCCGACAGCCTCGCGGGGCGCATATCATAATTCACATACAGTTAACAAAGGAAAATAATCAATTGAAGCTTGTGTAAGCTTCTCCACAAAACAAAAAATGAGTCACACAAACAAGCCAATAAAGCGTGCAGGATATGAAAACATGCATGAACATCAACGACTTTCCGCGTCTTTCATTGGCTAATCCATCCACACCTGCATCCCCAGATGAAGTGGTGTGAATGTGCACCAATAATGGTGCCTAGCCAAGACTGCGAAAGAGCATGCATACAGCAAAAATTCCCGAGTCACAGTCAAGTGTCGGGGTCCCAAGCTAGACCCCGACCTTTGATGTTCAAGTCAGAGATCAGTGAAAACAGAAAAGTAAATTTCCGAGGGCGCATCCAGGCAGGCCCTTTCAATCCAGATCAAAGACTGGGGTGTATAGGGTGGTACCAATACGTGACGTAGGGCACATATTGGCAGAGCACCAAACATTGGATTGGGGGTGGGATAGACAATCAATGTCTATTGAATTGAAGCTTATTCAAAGCAATTGGAGTGTAGCAGACGAAGTCGTAATTGTAACCGTAATCATAGACCGAGAAACCAGAAGCGACATTGGCCTCGCATTCAACGGTGGTACTTGCTGCCACTCTCGACATACCGACGGGGAGCCTCATACTGGCGCTCAACGCGCTCCTGGCGGTCGGTGTTGTACAAGGAGCCACGGCTGGAAGAGGGCCGGCTGGGAGAGCCGCCGGGGGAGCGGTACATGATCGAAGTTGGCGAGCGCGAGCTGCGAGGAGTGCGCTCGATGATCTGGAAGGTCTCTGGGGACATGGAGCGAGGACGGACTTGCTCTCCGCTGACCCTGCGAGCGGGGATCGGATAGGTGCGGTCGTAGCTGCGGCCTGTGGAGGGTGCTTGGACTGGTGCTTGCATGACAACGGGCTTGGAACGGAGACGGAGGCCTTGCTCGAGGGCTGTGAAGAGGTTGCGCACGGCGTAGGTGTCACGGGCGAGCTTGACTCGTGTGGGCTTGCCGGCCTCGGCGTCGACTACTGAATAGTACTTGCCGTTTCGGCTGTAGATATATTGGGTCAGAGTGCGGGCGCGAGCGTTGCCTTGGTCGCAGAGGGAACGGCCGTCTTTGAGGGTCTCAACTGCGTTGGCGCAGTGGCGGCAGCGGTTGGCGTGGTCCTCGAACTCGGTCACGACTAGGCTCTCGTCGTCGGCGAGGTCGCGGACGACGACAAGGGGATCGGTGATTTCGATTGGGGCAGGCATAGTGTTTGTTCGGCGGAGTGCCAGCAGACGTCGGGTCAGACTGCGAGGAGGGGATCTTTCCCTTGTAGTTGAAAGAGTTGAAGGGTCGACGATGTATGATGTTGAGCGAAAGGGCGACACCGTGACTGATTTATGGGGGTCACGAGGGGAGAATGGATGATCAACCTTGTAGCTGATTGATTGAGCGTTTGGGGTGATAGTATGAAACCAGTATGGGACAGTTGATGTTATGTGTTAATGGAGAAGTATCATGTGTGGAGGGGGGAAGAGGGTTATATAGTACATGACATGCATATAGATGCCTGGTTGATCTGCAGCCTTGACAATACTCTCACCACCATCCACCATACTGTACTTTACTTTACTTAGTATACACACTTGTATACTTCCGGTTAGTCTGTGGCTAGGGGCTGTGCCTTTGGCGTCAACACCGCCAGGTTGAAACCTGCCGATCTGCTCATTGGCCCCAACTGCTCAAACAAACGGTATGAAGTCCCCTCTGTCTTCATGGTATTCTCCACCTACGCAGTATCGTGACTTTCTGCCTGATTCTCATGACATCAGGGGTAATACCAATACTGTCATGGCTTGTGGCTGATGCTGTCTCGTGTACCCCCCCTGAGAACAGGCCTCAGGTTCGCGTCATTTGCACTTTTACTTTCTAAATCAGAATAGATTTTATTTTTTTGATTCAGAGCCAGTACATTCAACACTTGAAACCCCTTGATCTGAGGCTCCGTTGCATTTCCCCACGCTCATAGGCCCCCGCAGCCGCCGTCATAGCGTCTATCAAGACAATCAAGACAACTCTCGAACTCTTGAAACCTCAGACTACAGCATTGTTCGCTTCCATATTTGGAGACTGTTTCACGCTATCTAAGAATAACATCAGACTGGGAAATTGGATTTGGACCCCACGACTATCACTAGCCCCAATTCCCCTCTCAGCCTCAAGCCACCCACCCGTATAACAGAAAACGATGAATCTCACCCAATGCTTTGAACGAAACTAACCCTATTTTAGTGCCCTGCTCAGCCTCAGCCACCAATTTCGCTATCTTTCATTCATGATTTGGTGCACCAGCCACACTGATGTCTGCTTTCGTATCCCGCGCCCTTTGCTCGCTGCATGTCAATCTCCCACCCTCAGGACCTGATCCCTCAACGACCAGTTTCAATTCTAGGTGGTTCTAAGTTTCTACCTGTGTCGCTTGACGCGCGCCATGCCTGAGCCTTCTGGACTTGTCTTCTTGCTGCCTTCCCAGGCACCAGTCTACTTGTTTACATAGGGGTCTGATCTCTTTCGGGGGCCGAGTCCAGATCGCGAGCGCTATCTCCAAGGACAAACTGTCCTTTTTTTCATTCTGGCCTTTTTTTTTTTTTACCATTTCTATTCCAAGCATGCAGGTCGTCGTTTCCGTCACACAAATTCTCCGATGTCACTACTTTACTCTACGGCAACCCCTTGCACCCTGGCGCATACCTTAAACGCATTCACATTTAGGCGTGTTGCAACCGCAATCCGAAAATTATTCATGTTAAGTCACCGTCCTTCAACAGCCCGGCCGGGCTAGCTCAATCGGTAGAGCGTAAGACTCTTAATCTTAAGGCTGCGGGTTCGACCCCCGCGTTCGGCTATTCCTAAACACCGTCCACGAGTGAGCGTTTCTTTTTTTTTTTAAGTGGAAGATTTTTTGAGCCGCCCACATACTGCAATCTGAGTGGTTGTTGCATGTTAATGTTCTCCACTGAGTGCGGGCCGCAAGGAGTGCACGAACTGATCCAATCAATGCATACATGTTTTTTACATAGCACATTTATAGCTCGACAATCTGGCAAAAATACGCGAATTCACAAGCCGCAAAGGCAGCAATCTTACGCGAATAAGCAAATACTGGCCCCATGTCAAACCCTGAAGCCCATCTGTGGCTTGACTGGGTCCAAGCGCAAGGCAGAAAATGCCTTGGTGCCGTTGAGGCTTGCTAAGGTTTTTTGTTCAGCTGGACATGGTCATTGGCGTAACAAGTGTAGGCTTCAATTGATATCCTGGGGTTAGTCACCGGGTCATGTCTTTCTTGATTCGTCGTCAGCGGCTTTGCGCGCTGGATTCTTGGGATTTTATTGGTTTTTATAATACTTGATTTGTGGTGGCTGCATCATCGGGCCGGTTTTTTTACAATATTCTACCCGGGTGTGGTTTATAAAACTGATTATCAATATGTGGATTGTCTAGATTTAAGGATTGTGTTATTCGATTGTTCGAGGTCTTGATACATTGTAGATTTTGTTGTTGTGGACCCTTGTTGCGTGTGTAGTATATATCCTACAAGGACGTATGCAATTTATTACATACCAAGTTTCGAGATTGAAACTTATCTTGTTTGCCACCTAGGCTGAATCAAACTATAGATGAGTGATTCTAAGGTTTTCGATCCCTCAGTTTGATATTCTGCCTGGGTTGTTTTAGAGTAGTGATCGACCTGCCTTAGGAAGGCAGCAGTATGTTTCATTCGTCTCTGTTATCTCCCTCTTTGTATCAAATACTCGTAAGTCCTAGCTGCTGCAATATACACGGGATGCACATCCTGAGAATGCGGGTCTCTCTTCTTTGTCCTGAGTTGTGTAGGTAGATACCGAATATCAAAAAGGTCAAAATCCATATTTCTTCACCTTGAAGCTCACTCTTTTGACTCTTTTTTACATCGCATGCGATATCTAAGTTCCAGAAGAAGCTTGATATGTCGAGCTTTACAAATTCAATCAACAGAAACGCATTGGAAACCGCGGCAACAAAATGACATCGACATCATCCATCATCGTCTTTCGAGGTAAGATTATCTACGGCTTTGGAAAAAGTAAAAGAAAACGGAAAAGAAAACGGCCCAGGAAATAGCCTGTAAGTGTCAGAAACCGGACGTAAAGCACAGTGGACTCGATCAATCCGCGAAACTCGTTTACACGCACTGCCCATGTTGGTATAAGGAGGCCCCTCTACTCGCATTGCTGTTTGCAAATTCTTCATTTCTTCCTACCAAGAGACGCCGGTCTTTTCGATTGAACAAACGGAATACAACATATTCAAAATTGCTGAAGCAACCCGACACTGCTTATTTCCAGCAGGGTCGAAAGCTCATTTCGCCTTGAGGCTAAACAAGCAAGTCAATGCGGGTTCATCCGACGCTGCTTGGATTGTTTGCCGATACAAAGCGCATTTCGATCCGATTGGCAAGAGACCAGTGGAGAAGATCTGGTTAAATTAGTTCATCGGCAATTTATTGACAACGCGAAACAGGCCGAGGATTGGCGAGGAGAGAGAGATGCGGGGAATTGATTAGGGGTTTGCCGAGCGGGTTTATCAGCGAGTTATAAGTCGAGGTACTTCCTATATTCCCCTCCTCACATATCACCAACATGCAATTAAGAGGTACGTAGAGCCTATCTCACTCAGTAATCCTTAACTCATTCGCCACAGAAGATACCAAGAATGCACTGGGCGACATCATCAATCGCTACCGACCAGAGCTAAAGCCATTCGAAGACCTCTACCAACACTTCCACGCCCACCCAGAACTATCAGGCGAAGAAGAACAAACCGCCAAAAAGGCAGCCGACCACCTAACAGACCTCGGATATGAAGTCCACACCAAAATCGGTGGTCACGGCATCGCAGGCGTCCTCCGCAACGGCGCAGGCCCAACAATCCTACTGCGGGGCGACATGGACGCACTGCCCGTAGAAGAGCAAACAGGCCTAGCATACGCCAGTAAAGTAGTTGCCAGAGACACGGATGGCAAAAACCAGCCGGTGATGCACGCCTGTGGCCACGACACCCACGTCACTTCCCTCATGGCCGCATCGACCCTCCTCCACGCCGCCCGCGACCACTGGAGCGGGACACTGATCTGCATCTTCCAGCCTGCCGAGGAACATCTCGATGGCGCACAGGCGATGCTCAACGACGGACTCTACGATAAGATCCCCAAGCCGGATCTTGTCCTCGCACAGCATGTCATGCGCATGCGAGCCGGCACGGTTAACTTGCGCGCCGGCCCGCTCCTTACAGCGGCTGATGCATACGACGTGCGGATCTTCGGACGTGGCGGGCACGGCTCAGCGCCTCAGACGACGATCGATCCGATTGTTCTTGGGTCGTCGATCGTGACTCGGCTGCAGTCTATTGTGTCGCGCGAGGTCACGCCCGGTAAATTGGCTGTCGTGACTGTTGGCAGTATCCACGCGGGCCAATCGCACAATATTATCCCTGCTCATTTGGACATGCAGTTGAACGTGCGTACCTTCGATGCGGCTGTGCGTGAGCGTGTTTGTGCTGCTATCCATCGCATTATAGAGGCTGAGTGTCAGGCTGCTGGTGTGGAGCAGAAGCCTGAGATTAAGCTTACCTTCTCGACGCCGTCGACGATTAATGATGGGAAGACTATTGATGCGCTGAAGGAGACATTCGCGCCGTACTTTGGGGACGACCTGGTGGAGATGGAGCCCCCGAGTGCTAGTGAGGACTTTTCTTTGCTTGCTACTGCTGTTGGAGCGCCTTATGTTATGTGGATGTTTGGTGGTACTGATCCCGAGACTTGGAATGAGGCTGTTAAGAAGGGCACTCAAGATGCGCTGCCTAGTAACCACTCGCCTTTCTTTGCGCCGGTCATTCAACCTACTTTGAAGACTGGTGTCGATGCATATGCGCTTGGGGCTTTGACTTTCTTGCAGAAGAAGTAAATAGGAATGGTATCAAATCCAACAGTTGAATACTTCCAATGTTTACGCGATAAGATAGTGAGGTCATCGCGGATCGCCAAGAAGAAAGTGGCCACCGGACTCTCCCCCTCTCTTTCTCTTTCTCTTCCTCTCCAACATACATTTCCATAATGGCAACTGAACAATCCAAAATGAAAGCCTGGCTCTACAGTGACACAACGGGTGGCCTTGAAAACAACCTCAGCTTCACCTCGGAAGCCCGCACCCCACCCGCACTCCGCAACGACGATGTCCTAATTACAGTCCTCTCAGCCTCCCTCAACCCAGCCGACTACAAACTCCCAGAAATGGGCCTATTGATGCGGAAGCTGGTTATCGGCACTCCCGCCTCCCCGGGAATGGATTTCTGCGGCCGCGTAGTCGCAACAGGACCCGACGCGACGAATTTCTCACCGGACCAGCTAGTCTACGGAAATCTGGGCAAGCCCTGCCAATTCGGGACCCTAGGCGAGCTTATAGTGGCGTCAGCTAGCTTGCTGGTTCATCTACCGGAAGGCGTGGAGGTTGATCATGCTGCTACACTCGGCGTTACCGGGCAGACGGCGTACCAGTCATTGAAGGGGTATGTCAGTGCCAATGATAAGGTCTTTATTAATGGTGGGTCTGGTGGATGTGGGATCTTTGCTATTCAGATTGCGAAGGTGATGGGGTGTCATGTTACGACTACTTGCTCGGCGAAGAATGTTGAATTTTGTCGGGGGCTTGGTGCTGATGAGGTTATTGATTATACCGCCGAAGAGGATCTCGTTGCATCGCTGTGTGAGAGGGGTGTCGTGTTTGATCATATTGTTGATCATATTGGATACCCTGCTGCGTTGTATCACCAGTCCCATCATTACTTAGCGCCCGGGAAGACGTTTGTGCAGGTTGGGGCTCCTGGTGTGGGGACCTTTGCTGGACGGATGCTTTTGCCTGGTTTCCTGGGTGGGGGGAAGAGGAAGTATGTAGTTTTCGTCACTAAAAACAGCAGGGAAGATCTTGTTCAGCTTGGGGAGTGGGTTCAGAAGGGGGCTATCAAGGTTCAGCTGGATACGGCTTATGAGCTTGAGGATGCTGTGAAAGCATTCAAGCAGCTGCGGTCTGGCCGGGCTAGGGGAAAGATTATTGTTCATGTTGCTAAGTCTTGATGGCATGACATTGAGCTATCCGGTCTTTCTTGGTGTAAGTATCATAGTTAAGGTTAAAGTTTTCCAGTACCCTGGCACTCTTCCGTACTATATCAGGACCGTTCTGGTCCAAGATAGGCATAGGAGCATCCATCGACCTCATGCTTTGAGTCATCACAATCGTCGTATTCCTTTTTCTTCTTCAGTTTCTACTTACACCCTCCCTCACCTCAGCATACAACGCACCGGACACTTTTCGATATGGAATTTCCACACCTGCCCTTTCTGGGCGCATTCTCCAAGCTTCCTACGGAAATTCGCTTGGTCATCTGGGCTGACCTTTACTCTGAAATTCACACGCAATCTGCCATCCATAGCAAGCCAAAAACCAACCCTCTATCGATCCTCTCCGCCAGTGGATACCTTTCCAGCGAGATCTCAGTGCACCTCTACTCTGATATGAAACAAACCATTTCAGTGAATAGGGAGTATGACAGAGGAAGCTGGATGACCATAAAATTGAAGTCCCGGGTGGTCGACGTGACCTGGAATTTGAAGGACAAGGCGGATGCCGAAAGATACTTCCAAAGCTTTCCTTATCAAAAGGCCAGTTCCAAAATCGAAATCAGAAGTCCAGATACAACTGACCCAGGCCAAGTCGTGTTGATCTGGCAAAAAGTGAATCATCTGCTTGATAATCTGATGGCTTCGCCATGCCAATTTCAAGATCCAGAGGTTTTTCTCACAGGACACAACTGGCATTCCATACTGCCACCTCCGCACTGGCGGCTTCGAAAACGTTGTTTTTCGGAGATGGGAGGCTTACGGCAGTCAATTCCATGTGAACGGAGATTCTATTGCCCTGACTATGATATTGTAATGATGCCTTTTGCTCGAGCATTTCTCAAAGATGTCCCAGAAGATCCATCGAAGATGACCGACGAAGAGTTCGATCGTCTACATCAGTACATCTTGGCTAAGTTCTCAGACAGTGGAGCCAAAATGAGGTTGCCCTGGCTTTTTTCACTCACCAAAGAGACCATCGTCCCGCAGATTGAAAAGTGGCTCCTAGAAACAGAGATCTTCATGGAGGACAGCCTGGATAATCTAACCGGCAGAACGGCATGCTTCCTTCGATTAGACCGCTTCCAAAGCTGGTACAAAGACGGCAACAGCTGGGAATCGCCTTACGAGAAACGATTCCTCGAAAAGCTAGACAGAGACCTCAAAACCATCCTCGAATGGGACCCTGGCTTCACAAATACTATTCGGAGATGGCAGGCCATGATTCTCAACCATCACTACATACGTATAATGGTGAGCCCCCAGCAGAAAGGTCTGTTTGGGTGGCGTATATTCCTGCTGATGGATATAAATTGGGACTCGGCAGCGTGGTCTGAACTCTGGCCGACGGGGATACAAAGCATCACAAGATATTCTTACGTACTTAATACCTTTGACTCCCAGGTAGTGGCTGCTCACTGCAGCCGGCTTTCGAGAGTCATGAAAGAAAATGGAGAGCAGGATCATGCGACCTTCGGCTTGAAATTGCTGTTGCGGGCTCCTGGGACATTCCAGGAATTCCGAGATGTTGGCGAGGACCAATTGTGCTGGCACTGTTTAAAATCTCGACCATGTGATCACGATATGGGGTTGAAGATATTGGCTGGATGAACTATAGCACACTCACTCTTTGGATATGAATTTTGTGGGGTTTAGCTGGTCGGTGATTTTGAAGGAGAACATTGGACAGTGATTACCTAGCTAATTTTTGATGTAAACGCATGTAAGCAAGCTGAAGACAGGGGTATAGCATTGCTATCAAAATAGTCTAAATTGAACTATTTATGCTTGCCCGATCTCTTTCAGAAACCTCTTCTGTGCATCAACGGTGTTACCCTTCAACCCTTCCACAATATCTTCAAGTTCATCACAGATCTTCTTTGCCTTGTTGCCATGAATCTTAACCTGTCCCCCTTGATAATTCTCAGGTGTAGCACTGTCTTTTCTGAGATCCCAAAAGCCAGCTTGAACGACCGGGTCAACGAAAAAGTCTGGGGAGTTTTTTCTGAAATGCTCCTTATAGAACAGCACAGACGAAGTCATCACTAAGGTCAAATTTAGCAAGCATTCGGCAAAATGCAGCGGAGCAGGGTGCAGAGAGGTAGTAAGTACCGTGACAGGAAGCTAATATCTCCCGCGAGTCTCCACTCAATATGTCCATCTTCATCCGTTTTTGGAAATGGTCCACTTTGACAACAGCGAGAACATTGTGGAATAAACATGTAACAGCCAAAGAATCTTTCCAAAATTCGAGGCGCTGTACTGGCCTGCATTGTATTGATTGAAAGTTTAGAGCTCTTCAATAAAGCAGGAATCAATCTCAAGGACTTACCATTCTTTCTGGACGATAAATTCATCCACGCCGTTTATTCTTGTAGATTCCCACTCTCTCACGGCATCCTTCAATCGATGAAACATATGAAATAGCTCTACCCTCCAGTTAGAGCGGCCAAGTATACGTAAGCAAGTAAGGGCACATTACCATCGAGAGACCCGAGAGTAGCGGATATAGTTTGGATGGCCTCTCCACTCTGGTTAGTGAATACAATAGCCTCGGATCCCACTATCTGAAAATCAAGCCCAAGGACTTTGAAAGTTAGAATATTCTGCCCAGTTACCGGCTCCATGGAATCTCTTACTATTTTCCTTGAATACCACCGCCGCCTCATTATTTGGTTTTGTCGAGCATGCAAGCATGACAAGATCGCCGTCGACGGGATAATCAAGATATAGATAGGGATAGATGTATGACTTTTCGGTACCATCTGCGTAGCCTATCTGTACATGTTGGACTCTGATCAAGTTAGAAAAGACAATTTCACACGATCCATTGTGGTGGTAAATTTACCGCTTCTGGTAAGGCGAGTGGTGGTAGAACTTGTTCGGCAGAATGAATGCCATATCCATGCGCTGCAGATATTTTACTGCATCAAGACGTCCTAAGAAGATCTCTCGGTCTATTGACTGTGAGTCTTGTACAATTTCCTGCAGCGAAGCTTCTTCATACCTTGTACGCTCTCGAAATTGACGAGCACCTGTTGGGAATCCGGGCTTGACTTCAGGGCAAACTGTTCAAGTGCGAGGTGGAACTGCTCTCTGTCGTCACGCTCGTCAAGCTGACTTAGAGGACATACACTGCCCTTAATGTTGCACCGGGCAATTATCAAGCTGCATTTGCCCACTGATACAAAGAAGCGCTCGGTCGGTTGGGTCATAGAGGCTGGACGATGTTAGATTACGATTTAGATGGTGGGTGGAAACGAACTCTCTCCAAGCTGTATAAAATACAAATCTCCGGGTTTCGGTCCTTTGAATAGAATGTGTGCCCGTATAGGTGTTAGCATCTCGTTCGCTGGATGTTGCTCCCAGCAACAGAACAAGCTGATCTTGTTCGGACCAACAGATCTGCAGATATTGTAGTCAGATACAGAATGGAACAGGTAGATTGACAATCTCACATTTCACTGATGCAAACGAGGCTTGGGCTGTTCAGATCAGGGGCGTCTTTGCCTTCATCCTGGTTTATACCGAAGATCCCTGGGACTGTCCAGCCAGTGGTTTTCGGTCCTGGAATTATGTACGAAGCAGAGATATCATCATCACCTACATCCGAGTTTGACGAACTATCTTCGGAATCGCTTGTCTGAGAGGTCTGATTCTCTGTCTGGAAGCCTGCCAACTTCTTTCTCCACGACAAGGGTGTCCGAACTGCAGAAGGGATAGGTGGCGCTAGTAGTAGCTTCTTCTGCACTTGAATGAGCACATCCTCGATATTCGTTGTGGTTGTGCTAAGCACCTCCGTCAGCAGACTACTCCATCAAAGCATGAAACAGCATACCTCGTTTGAACAGATAATAACAAATCCAGCGAAAGCTTGTAGCTCTCTACCTTTCTCAATAAGTCCTGAATGTCCTTTTCTTTCAATGTCCATTTGACCTTCTTCTTCAACGCTGCAAGTTTTGAGGTCGAGACAAATCCTTGTAAGGACTTCTGCAGCTGGAGATAAGTATCACCGCAATCATCCAGCGTAGAGTTGAGTGCATCAAGCCATTCAGAATTCTTGGTTTCCTTCGTAGACTGGAACTGTACGATCTGTTGGATCTGACATAGTATACCGCGTACAGCTTGGACTTCTCTGAAAATTGAGTCTAGCTCTTTGTTGTTCTTGGATTTGATGGTGTGGATGATGCTAATGATTTGGGTTGATATTGTGATTAGACCGGCCAACGAAGCGGCGATGGAAAGGGGATCCATTGCTCGGCTGATTTATGCGAATGAATCATTAGAGTGTACTATGGACCGCTGGGCGATCTTCTGTCTTATAGTTATGGTATTTAGATCCACGGTGGGACATTGTATTCGCTTAGACCCCGGGGCTGTTCTTGGCGACCTCGTATCTGCACGAACACGGGTGAATTCGTTTTAGCGCGTTACTACTCCGTATTTCACGGCCCATTCAAGAAGCAGGGAGTAGGACAGAAGTCAGGGGTATAAATGAGATCGGCTCTAAGATGTGTCCGGTCAAAGTGAACAAACAAATAACTTCGATATAGATGGGAAATATTTCTAGGCATATTTGTATTAGAGTGCTGCTATTTGCAAACTGGCTTGGCCAGGCAACTTTTATCTCTGATATTATTTCACTCAGAGAGCCGAATGCTTCGAAGGATGCTCCTTCAGAGGTGCCGAGTAATCATCATCATCCATATCAAGCATTTCAATCCGGTGGTTCGTCATGTTCTCCTGTGTCTGCGTCTTGACCTGCTTTTGCAGCCGTACATCCTCTCCGAACCCTTCCTTGCTATTCAAGGTCTCCTGGGCAGCAGATGAATTTGGATCTTTAACACCAGCCTCGCGCTGGTTCTGCTGCAGTTCCTTTTCCTGTCGCTTGACCTCGGCGGCAAGTGCAGCCTCCTCCCGTTCGATTTCGTTGGCATCCAGGTCTTGCAGCCCAGTGAGGGTGAGGATTCTTCCCAGCAAGTATTGGTAGCGTAGATGGCCACTGATCATCTCGCTCACATCGAGATTTTCGACGCCCGGAACACCCTCCACTTTCTGCAGTCCGGCGACACCAAGCTGTAAACTGCTAGTTCGGTAGAGGAAAGCGAGGACGGCATCGTTCTCAGAGAACACGTTCACGAGACGACCGCTCACGACGCTGCGCATCAAGCGCCAGTGCTCCGCATTGGACGGGGTAGGTGATCCCATCAGAATGACAGACTCAACGAGACCGTAGGCGTTTCGTTTCGCCAGAGTTTGGAGGCAGGAGAAGATCAATCGAGATCCGAGAGAATACCCAATCAAGGTCACAGGTCGTTCTCCCTGAGCTTTGTTGATGAGAACATCGGCAAGCACCTCACCTGCTTTGTCGGCGCGAGACTTGGCGACACTGAATGGATTATCGACAACACCAGCAACCTTCAAGAGACCAAGCGGAAGCATCACAGCACTCATAAGCGTGTGGAAAAAGGTACGGGCCAAGACTTCACGTCCAGCAACAGACCATGCCGCGCTGGTAACAAGTGCCGAGATTGCATTGCCCAAGTTCATCAGAGGTTCCATCTCCCAGCGAAGACCAAACACCTCTGAATTGGAACCAACCACTTTCCATGGGACAGTGAAGTTGGATTCTTCCTTGACCCATCCGGTGACACCAATGGTAACCCGTAACCGATGATCCTGCCGGGCTGCCTCACTATCTTTTTCATCTCGAGACCGCTGCCCCCGAATAGGGAGGAACGCAAAGTCATCCACCTCACGAGCGTACTTGTCCATCATGCGGCCAGTCATACGGCCTCCGTAAGCACCGAAGAGACCGCCGACAACAACACTACTACCAGCCAGGACACCCAAGTATCCAGCAGCGGCAGTAGCACCGAGGCCCAGGCCACCCATAACAGTTCCAAGACCTGCAGCCACTAAAGGAGCTGCAAGTCCACCAGTCAGACCAATCAGGGCGGCACCAGCTACAGACGCGATGCCGACCTTCCACTTCCTCATGTCGTCTTTCTTGGGATCCTTCTTGTGTTCTTGGTCCGACAACGCTAAAGCCGTATCTAGCAGACCACGCGCAACCTTGACTTCGTCTTCATTCAACACGTTGATATCTATGTTCAAACTTGACGCGATATTCAACATCAAGACTCGGGAGTAGGCGCTGTAATGCTTTAAGCTGAGCACCAACAGAAGAAGCGAATGGAGAATGAGCAATCTTGTTGCTTTTGGAAGTTTGATCAGAGGCGTTTCCACAGGGTGATAGATTTCTTGTAATTTTTCCAGGCTATGTTCATCCTCTTCAAAGGGAAGTTCGTCAGACTTTGCAGCCTTCTGCATTTCTTCCGAGGCTTGATGCTGTTCCTCATCGTCATTTTTGTTGACAACCTCGCCAATCCGCAAAAGTACAGAATCCCGCCAGTCCTCGAAAATGGAGAGTGCAGTGACCTTGGCTTGCGGTTTCAGTGACTTGCTAGCCCCAGCTTGTGGGCTGCCACCCTTGCCTGCAGTCACGTTGCTTGGCCTTGGGGGCAGGGGCGGTGTGTCTTCGTCGGTTTCCTCGGTAGGAAGAGGCTTGCGTGGAATCGACTGATTAGGTGATTCATCCTTTGAGTCCGACTTTGAATTTGGGATTGGGTTTTCGAATATTTCCAGGACACCAATTCGCATGGACTCTGCGACCTCAGCAACAAGAATGGTCAAGTCAGCACGTTGCGACCGGTCCAAAATGGAGCTTAGATCTTGGCCACGGTCGCTTTCTGAGGCATTGTTGTCGGATTGCTTGGAATCGAACAATGCCGCATGTTTTTCTTTGAGACTTTTGAACATTGGCGCCAGATGGGGATAGACAACACGTTGACAACCTCGAAACGAGCAGAAGCTGAGCGAAGTTGTTGGAGAGGGGGGATGTTGTCATAGAGCTCCAGCTTGGGGGCCAGCTGACTCAGACTTTCTGCCCAAGGCAAACAGGCAAATATCGCTGATACTAATTTGCTTGCCTCCATGGTGAATGAGTATGTCTCATATAGATCCAATACCCGGAGGATAGACAGGACGGAATCAGTTGCCGATTTCAACGACGAAATACTTCCCCTTTGTCTTCGTCGCGGAGCCAAGCGCATTCCCATTCCAAGCCGTCCCATCTGGACGAACATTCTTTTCGCCTGGAATTCGCTGGATTCTTCTGCGTCTTCCAGACACTTGTTCCTTGAGCAGAGCTCCTTTGAGCCGTTCCATGCCAATGGTATTCTCCTCAACTGCAGCAGAGCTTTCGTCGCGAATACTAGGAAGCGGTGCGACGCCAGTAGTATCAACGAGTTGGATCTCCTTGACAAAATGGATTTGAGACTCGAGTGTCTTCAGCATTGTCTGCTCTTCTTCTTCGTTGGCGGGTTGAGGAAGTGCCGAGATGCGCAATAGATGGTGAAGTTGTTTCGGTGTCACCGTCTCAGATGCAGATGGTCCTGAAGCTGGATCGGGAAGCAATGATCTGACAGACCAGTTGGGCTCGCCGAGAATAGACTCGATTTCGGCAGTAGCGGATTTTCCGGAAGAATAGCAGCGAGAGATGTTGTTGTTGAATCGGTATGAAGAACGCAGCGACTTGGACAGTCGAGCACCAGCGCGTAAAGAAGCCATTGCAAATAATTAACAATCAGATAAACCGTCTAAATGCGATATAAGCCAAAGATACCGGCAAATGTAGCAATCTGCAAAGTGCAATATCAAAGTCGCCGTGAGGACAACACTTGAAGCTTAGGCGGAGACCGAAAAATAAAGGGACACCGCCTCCAGCGGGACCGCGCCGATCGATGCTCTCATCGATAGACCCGTTGGCCACACTCCTAACAACAATATCTGCGGATTCCTCCCTGCAGCGAACATAACTCAAGATGACTCAAGACCCCCGTGTTCTGCTCCAAAAAGTATTCCCCCGTACTCTCTCGCCTTGTTTGCATGGAGACCCAGGCAATGACGAAAGTGCAAATAGCTGACCATGACCTCGCTCTGCGATGAAATAGGCTGACAAAGCGCTCTCCGGCGCCTCTGGTGGCTTCAGTTGGTTTGGAGGACGCACAGAGAAGTACGAGAATGCCGCAGATCTGTATACCCAGGCTGCAAATGCATTTCGAGTACAGAAAATGAGTGAGATACCCCCCCGCCTGGTCAACACCCATTTGATGTGCTGTTTAATGCAATAACTGAACTGATCACTGATATGTGTTGCTTTTGAACAGACAAGGAGGCAGGTCAGACTTTCGAGAAAGCTGCCTCCATCCAGACCCAGAACCTTAACGAACCTGACGACGCCGCCAATACCCTCCAGGAAGCCTTCAAGGTCTACCGCAAGTCAGACCCTGAGGATGCTGCCCGTGTTCTTTCGAGTGCTATCCAGCACTACGTACTACGAGGAAACCTGCGCCGTGCGGCCACGCAGCAGCAATACCTGGCCGAGGTGTACGAGGTGGAGCTCGGAGATATGAAGAAGGCGCTTGACTCATATGAGAAGGCCGCCGAGTGGTTTGAGGGTGATAATGCCGAAGCGTATGCATTTCATATTCCCTCTGAGCTTTGGATGATCTTCAAAAGGGGATTCGGCTAACATCGACGTCATCCGATAGTCTTGCAAACAAGCACTTCCTCAAGGTGGCAGACTTGTCCGCTTTGGACAACGACTACTACAAGGCCATCACTAACTACGAGCGCATCGCCCGGTCCTCAGTTAATAACAACCTGATGAAGTGGTCAGTTAAGGATTATCTCCTAAAGGCTGGTATTTGCCATCTTGCCACAAAGGTACGTTGCTCTCGTCCCTTAATTCATGGTATAATGCTTATCCCATATTTACAGGACCTAGTTGAGACAAACCGTGCCCTTGAATCATACCGAGAGCTCGATCCCACTTTTGCTTCTACAAGAGAGCACCAGCTACTCGTGGACCTGACCCAGGCTGTCGAGGGTGGTGACCAGGAGGGCTTCGCTGACAAGCTGTTCCAGTTTGACCAGCTTAGCAAGCTAGACAAGTGGAAGACGGCTCTCCTTTTGCGCATCAAGAATAACATTGAGGAGGCTGAGGAGGACTTTTCGTAGACGGCGATTGATTTATTGATTCCCCGCGCGTGATGTCTTTAGGATATTAAGTCCTCCAGTTTTTGGCTTCCGTTTGATTTGTTTTATTTTTGATTGTATCTGTTCTGGACATGAATACAAATTATTGAATCTCCTGACGATGATCCGCTTCGTTAGCATTTGTGTTGTTAGTAACGAAGTCATTTCACTGTGGAAATGCTTCGAGTAAATGAATTCAACTCTGACATTCTTAGGCTACGATTGTACGGAGCGGACGTGCAGGAAATTCGTAATTCATCATTTTAAGATGCCTGGGTCTATATGTACTTTTTGGTGTATCATGACAGACTCCTTCCTTCAACCAACGGATCTGTTCTCATCGTCGTGTAATCAATCAGTCAAATGGTATCATATCATCCACGTCCCCAGTGCCCAAGTCGAGAGCTTAGGCAGCAATCGCCTCCAAAGGCTGAGCCTTCCGGGGGAAAACACGCTTATACAAACTGATACCCACAGAGTCTTGCGGGTTGATCTTGGCGTCGAAGGTAGCCTTGAAGTAACCGTGTGTACCCAGACTCTCCTTGAAGTATCCGCTGCGGCCACGACGGGTCCACAACTGGAGCGCCTTGAACCATTGAATGTCCTCGGCATTGAAGAACATGTACCGGATGGTAACGACCTTCTTGTGAATCTTGTAAGGGTGACCGGTGAGAATAGCGCGCTTGGCAACGACACGCTTCTGATCTGGTGCAACGACGGTACCGGTACCGATCAGCTCAAGGCGGTCCATGTCAATAGCATCTGTGGCGTCTGCGGTATCCATCTCTTCGGGATCGTCAACTTGCTTGTTCTTGAAGACGAGGATGGGGACCGCGCCCCAGGTAACGGGTCCGATCCAGGAGGCGATAGCGCTGCGGCCAGGGTGCAGGAAACGGTCGAACTTGTGGACGTTGTTTGGCGTGTTGTCGGCTGCGGAGAAGATAGGGTTGACGATCATGCGGCGAGGACCGCACTGGACGATAAGCTGCTCCTTAGACTTTAGGGGCTTTTCGTAGCTGGAGTTTAGGGTCATGTTAACGTTGACCACGGTTTGCTTGTGTTCGTGACGGAGCAGCGAGAAGAGCGAAAGCGGCTGGGGCTTGTTGCGCAGAATAGAAGGCACTGCCCGTAGGTGCACATCGACCCGGATACCAGGACTAACACCACCTGCCAAAGCCTCTCTCAGGATGCGGTTCTTGGAACCCTTATAATCAGCAAACTGCAGCAGTCGGCGCCAGTCCTCAGGCTCGTAAGGACGATCCTCGGATGTCTCCCATGCACTGAGCTTGAGGTTCTTCAATCCACGGAATCGGGCCAGACGCTCTCTAGCCAGGACATTGGGGTGCAATTCGATTTCGTCCGGGAACTCGAGATCCTCCTCTGCCTCGGTCTTGCGGCTGGCACGGTAGGCGGCCAGTTCTTGGGCCTCGTCCTCTGGAGATGGGTCGAGGAACATCTCAGATTGGGGGTATTCTGAGGGACCACCCTCGGTCATGGCATCCTGGTGGTCAGGGAACACACCATCCTCTGGCGCACCGGCGGTGTCCATTTCCATAGGCTCGTCTTCGTCCTCCAGGTCGGATCCGGAGTCTGAGACATCTTCGAGATACCAAGCAGACTGGTACTTTGAGGTTCCCTTGGGCAACTTCTTAGGTGTTGCGGGAATGTGCGAGTCGTCATCTGAGAAGTAGTGGTAGTCGTCCAGCAGAACACCCTTCTTTTCTGTTTCGGCCATTGAGACCATGTCATCATCGACCATGTCGATTTCTTCAGGGGCGACGGTGGCCATATCGTCCTGGTCCGCTGAGGGGGAGTCCAAAACTTGTGTGGTCTCGTTGGTATCAACATTCATTGCATCGTCTTTCTTGTTTTTTGTGGTTGCTAGCGGTGCAGCAGTGATCGAATCAATCTGGAAATCGCCCCAGCCGGGAATATGGACGATTCGATCAGCCTTCAGGCCCTTTCCACGAACGACACCGGTGACAACGACGTCATCCACCACTTCCAGGTTGGACTCGGGCCACTGGATGTTCTCGACAAACATCCAGCTGCGCTCATCACGCCAGCGAATGCCCTTGGGGGTGGCAGTGCAAAGGGAACGGATCGCGTTGGAAGACTCCTGTCGAGAGTCAAGAGACATGACCTTCTCAATAGTCGGGAAGAAGTGGTTGATGAAAGACTTCAACGAAGCAGCGACTCCGGGGCGCTTTTTGGGAGGGTCGACGCGGTTGAGACCCTGTACAACAGTCACAACGTTTGAAATACCCTGGCTTTGGATCGAGCGCAGCAGCATCTCTCCATCATCGTCAACCTCAACCTGGGATGACAACACCAACATGACGAAATCGGCCATACGACACACATCCAGGGCGCTGATCAAATCGTACTTGGCCGGAACATACTGCACACTTTGGCGGAATCGATCGATACGCACGCGGGTAGGTCCATCGGGCGAGACCTCGCTCGCTACATCGACACTCTCGTTGAGGGAGGTAATAGCGGCGGCAACGTCGACATCGGGGGACAATGGCACAACTGCGACGTGACGAGGAGCACCGCTCTGACCGGCGAAAATGCTGGTAGCTTGGGCCCGGTCCTGTTGCTTCGTTGCCTGCCTCTGGCGGGCGGTGTTTCGGCGATCGAGTTTCGACTTGAGCTGTTGGTGGGGTGTCTTGCGTGAGCCCCGCTCATCACCTTCAATTTTGCCTAAAATGAAACATGTTAGAATGTGCGATTGAGTATAAACATTAACACAATCATACCTTTGGCCTGGTCTTTCAAGGCACTCTTGGAGGCATGTTTGCTCTTGTAGGGCTTGTGCGAAACCTTGGTGGTGGACCGGTGGTGATGCACCGTCTGGGAAGGCGCCATATTGGCACTAGACCCTTTGAAACGGAATGGGAGAGAGTCCAGATTGAAGTCCGAGGATATTCAGAGATCCGAGGCAATACAATGCGAACAATATGCAATATCAACAAAGCACGAAGTGTTCGCAAAAAAAAAAAGAAAAACCGATAAGAAAACAAAATTCGCCAGTGGAGGATAAGCGAGCGGTGAGTGCAAGTCTTGGCAACCTTTTGGGCAAAAAGACATTTTTTTCGGGAGCTTCTCGACCATCGCTGAATCTTTCTGTTGATCTGCCTCACAAAGAATTTGAAAATGGCCGATTCATCCTCGAAAATGGCCGTTACTCCCACGGAAGACCGCGCAGCCAAGCTGAGACTGGCTGAAGCCCAGAAAACATACGGACGAGGCAAAGCCAACAATGTGAAAACTGCACGAGACAAGAAGTTGCGCTCGAACCTCCAGAGACAGGAATACAAGCACAAGCAGGCTGTTCTACAAGCGCAGGATGCCGAGATTCTGCTTGAGCACACCGAAGGATTCCTTGAACCCGAAGCCGAACTCGAACGGACATACAAGGTTCGCCAAGATGAGATCAAGGCCAGCGTTGGAATCGAGACCGCAAAGAAAGGATTCGAATTGAAGCTCACCGACATGGGCCCTTACCGTATGGACTACTCGCGAAATGGACGTGACCTGCTGCTGGCTGGACGGAAGGGACATGTTGCGACGATGGACTGGCGCGAGGGCAAGCTCGGTTGTGAGTTGCAGCTGAACGAGACCGTGCGGGATGCCCGCTGGTTGCACAACAACCAGTACTTCGCTGTTGCGCAGAAGAAACACACCTATATCTACGATCACCAGGGTACTGAGATCCACTGTCTCAACAAGCACCTGGAGCCACTTTTCCTGGAGTTCCTGCCCTATCACTTCCTCCTTGCGAGCGCTGTGAGTTCTCTCGACTACTGAATATTCTGCTCCTAGCTAATCAACTTGTCTGTAGCAAATGAGCGGTCACCTCAAATACACTGATACCTCGACCGGCCAAACCGTTGCTGAGCTGCCTACCCGGTTAGGCAAACCTACAGCTCTCGCTCAGAACCCATGGAACGCCATCATGCATGTTGGACATCAGAATGGAACCGTGACACTATGGTCTCCCAACTCTCAAACCCCGCTTGTCAAGGCTCTTGTGCACCAGGGTCCCGTCCGGTCAATGGCAATGGACCGCCAGGGCCGATACATGGTGTCTACGGGCCAGGACCAGAAGATGAATGTGTGGGATATCCGCATGTACCGCGAGGTACACTCATACTCTTGCTACCAGCCCGGCGCATCGGTTGCCATCAGTGACCGCGGCCTAACTGCCGTCGGCTGGGGCACCCAAATGAGCGTATGGCGAGGCTTGTTCGACGCCGCCACGGCTGACCAAGGCAAGGTGCAGAGCCCATACATGGCCTGGGGCGGAGACGGCCAGCGCATTGAGAATGTACGCTGGTGTCCATACGAAGATGTTCTCGGTGTCGGACACGACCAAGGATTCGCCAGTATTATCGTCCCCGGTGCCGGAGAGCCCAACTTCGACTCTCTGGAAGCCAACCCTTACGAGAACGTCAAGCAGCGCCAAGAGGCCGAGGTTCACTCTCTGCTTACCAAGCTGCAGCCCGACATGATCTCGCTCGACCCCAACATCATCGGAAAGCTCGACACTATCAACGACAAGAAGGTCCAGGAATACCGCAACCCCGAGCAGAAGGAAGACCACATGGAGAAACTCAAGAACCGCGGTCGTGGCCGCAACAGTGCGCTGCGCAAGTACCTTCGCAAGAAGGGTGGCCGCAACGTTATCGACGAGAAGCGTCTCAAGGCCGAGACATTGCGCAAGGAGCACGCCGCTCGCACGAAGGACAGACTCAAGCAGGAGCGTCAGGATCTTGGGCCGGCTCTGTCCCGGTTCGCCAAATAAGATCGCTGGTTTCGTTTCTTGCTTGTTTGACATCCTTGTCGAGCAGGAGGGTAACCAACCTACCAAAAAAAGCACCCAGATACCCAGCCCACACACGGCTTCTGTGACATTTGTTGGAGATTTGGCGACTGCTGCATTCCAGGCGTTTCTCGGGGAAATATATGTTTGCATTCGGGTAAAAAAGCAGTCATTTCACGAGTGTACCATCTACTTCTAACATTAACATTGAATATATTGAATTCCAATTGCATAGAACCCCGAATCATATTCCTTTTCTTCCCAGAATCTATATCTTACCTAGATATAGACCCTCTCCACTACTCATCAACACTCCCAGAACCCCTCACAGCACCCTCCTTCCACCTCCTCAAACTCTCCTCATAAGCACCACTCCCCTTCCAAGCACTAATAATCAAATTAATAATATGATCCATCCCCTTCCCATCCTTAACAACAGCAAAAACAGTCGGGCCTCCCTCACGCATCTTCTTCGCATCGCGCTCCATAACACTCAAATCAGCACCAACAGCAGGCGCAAGATCAATCTTGTTAACGACAAGCAAGTCAGACCCCGTAATTCCAGGCCCGCCCTTGCGAGGCACCTTGTCACCGCCCGCAACGTCAATCACGTAGATGATGAAGTCTGCCAGCTCGCGCGAGTAGTTGGCTGCTAGATTGTCGCCGCCGGACTCGATTAGTAGCAGGTCGGTTTGGAATTGCTTTTGCAGTTTTTGCAGCGCTAGCAGGTTGGCGCTTATGTCTTCGCGCACGGCGGCGTGTGGGCAGCCGCCTGTTTCGATGGCACGGATGCGAGAAGGGGCTAGGGCTTTATGGCGGGTTAGGAATTCGGCGTCTTCTCTGTTTTTGGTGAATGGTTGGTTAGTATGTTGTTTGGTTGTGGTATATGTTGTGGTGTGGGTATATCATTTCTCTTACCTGGTGAAGATATCGTTCGTGACAGCAGCAATGTTATACTCGTCACGCAGAGCCCGAGAAAGGGCCAGCATCAGTGCAGTCTTGCCGGATCCAACTGGTCTATTCGGTTGTTAGCAATTGCCTATACCTATGTCTATATCTATCGACAGGCTGGTATCAACAATAGACATGAACCACGCCAACGAAGCATGACCATGTCCTCTTTGGTGGATGCTACATACCCGCCAATACCAATAGTGAAAGCACGATCCTTCCAGTCACGTCCCTCGATCAGTGGCATCTCCCGGTTGACGTAGGAGCCTGGACCATCGAGGATATCGTGGGAGTGGCCGTGGCCGTTGAAGGGGTCATCGTGGGAGTGGCTGACGCCAGCATCGTGAGAGTGAGAGTGGGCCATTTTGGAGGTTATATTTGCTATAGGATATGATAGAGAAAAGGGTAGGGAGAAGGAGGGGCAATGTTTTCTTAAGCAAGGGAGAAATGGTGGGGAACTGATATGTGATAACGAATGCCGAGCTGCCATCATTTGGCCGATGCCGAACGGAGTTCGCCGGCTTGTGGGGATATTGAGATATATCATTACTATATTTTCGACTATTTCCGGATGGCTATTGCATATTTGATACTACGAGGCAATATAATGAGAAAGCAGGTATTTGTGGATTCGTCAAAAAAGCGGCAGGAAGAGGACAAACCCCAGGGGAAAGTGTCAAAAATATCAAAGGCCACCAAGCAAAAGGCCAAATGGAACACCCCAATGCACGCAGACGACGTCCCAAAAATGAGACTTCAAAACCGGACGCCGGTTCAGTCACCAAAAACGGATATCAATAATTCTGTCTGTTCAAGAAACAGACAAGCAAGGAAATAGCGAAGAATAGCTAAAGCCTAAACGAGACCAAACCAGAAGTCGTCAAATCCCAATTATGGCAAAAGGATCAAAGAAAAACCCGAACGCGAAAAGTGAAAACATGCAATGTCAGGCGGTTATCCCGAGCCAACCAAGGAAACGCTGAAAGGAAGATAGAGTACATTAGGTCGGAGTCAAGTGGGATCGACAAGGCCCGGCGCCATCTCCTAGCGAGGATGATGGGGAGGCCACATGCAATTATATCCCGTTGGACTGTGAAACTGAGTCGTCATGTGCCGAAAACGCAGATGGATCTATCAAGGCGATTAAGATCCGAAAGAGGAATAAACAAACAAGGAAGGGCGATATGTTTTGCCCAGGTATCCAGTCGTACGCCAGTTCGACATCGCCTGAAATGGGGATGAAAAAGAAACCGAGTAAAAGCAAAAGGATTTCAACATAATCAGGCGGCGGCGCCCTTTTGTCGTTTCGGCACCCGGGGGCTAGCCTTAACTTTCGCTGAGCCCTGTTGGGGTGCGCCGTTAGCCTCGACTCCACCACCATCCTCGGACTCCATTTTGACCGTGCTTGCTCGGCGACGTTTGTTGCCACCTACATTTGGACTGTTATTCACACCAGCCGGAGATGGCTGCATTGGTGGTTGCATTCCTGGAGGACCAACGAGGTTGCTTTGGGCAGGGCTTGGATGCGCTGAGCCAGTCAGATGAGGTGAGCCTTGTTGCCCAGGCAGGCCGAGATGTGCCATAGCCGGTGAGGCGAATTGCGACGGGGCGTTCATGTTAGGCCCTCGAACATTTTGCATAGGTTGCATGCCCGGGTTCATGGGACCAGGCGCAAAGCCTGGGTTGGGGTTTTGCGTTTGGAGAGTGTTGACGAGATTCCGCAATGCATCAGGAGGTGTTAGCTGCGGGTTTGACTGCGAGAATTGGAACAGCATCTGCATTTGAGAGATGGTCTCAGCCACCTCCAAGAAGCCCATCACCGGGGTAGGAACACCATTGGCGGTCACCATGGAGTCCGGGAGCGATAATGATGGCGTGGGCTTCTGCTGAGCGCGCTTTGCATTTTTAGGGACCTTGGGGCTTTGCTTCTGCGAGTCGGCCTCCATGGCCAGCAGCAGAGACCGAGGGATGAACTCGTTATGATTGAGAACGTTGATATCAAGCATCTCAAGCCTGTTGTTGACATCAAAATACGCACGAAGTGTGCCATTGGCGAAGAGCTAGAAAGAAAAGTTAGCCAATTGAAAATTCCGACGAAAGGATGGACATGAAGGACGTACCTGGCACTCATTCTTGAACCAATAAATGAATGAGGTTTTGCCGCTCTCCACAATATGACCTCCATTGCCAGACTCCCGCTCACGGGCAGCTTCCACACACATCTGGATTTGAGTGATTCCACTGGTGAACTGGGTCAGGTAGTAACGCGCAAGGGCAGGTGTCGCAATTTCGAATTGTTTGGACCCAGCGGTGTTGTTCCAGACACCCTGTCGCAACACACCTCCAGGAGAATAGAAGCGCTCGACAAAGGTCTGCCAGTATGAAAGATCATGTGCCTCGCCCCGAGATTGGAAATTACTCAAAACCTCCGCATAGCTGTAGAGGGTCAAAATTGACTGCCCCGCCTGTTTCATCCTTTGCTGCATCATGAGAGCATTCTGGTGCTGTTGTTGCGCTTTCAATTGAGCGTCCTGTGACATCATCTGTGGGTGTTGAGGGCCTTGTGGCTGACCGGGTTGGCCTGGCTGGGGCTGTGCCCCCTGAGGAGTCGGCTGCGGACCGGGTTGTCCTTGTTGATTTGGCTGCTGGGCCTGAGGCAGTTGCTGTGGCGGAGGGTTCGGAGTGGCCTGGCCTTGGGGCAGTCCCTGCGACGGTTGTGGTTGGCTCGAGGGAGTCTGAGCAGGTTGGGAGGGTTGCGGTGTACCGCTCCCTGGTGGTGGGCCATGCTGCGACTGGGGAGTGGCGCTTTGCGCTTCGTGCATGTTCGGCGGTTGCGCAGATGCCCGCTGCGGTGTATGCTGGCCCGGCTGTCCGTTATTTGCCTGTTGCGCCTGCTGAGCCTGATGCGCCTGTTGTTGCGCCTGCTGAATGGCAAAGAATTGCTGCTGCTGGAGGTTTTGCGGCTGGCCATGGGGCATTTGCTGCTGCATGTGCATTCCCATGTTAACGGGGCGCATTCCGGGGTTTGCTTGCATCGCAGCCATTTGAGCGGCACTAATTCCTTGGGTACCATTGGGTAATGACACAGGAAGTCCGTGTTGCTGCTGCTGTGCCTGATGTTGTTGCTGCTGTTGTTGAAGCATCATCCGCTGACGCATGAACTGCTGCTGTTGGTGTTGCTGTAATAATTGCGGATTGTTCGCGACTATAGGATGGCCAACAGTGTTAGCATGCGACCCAGCAAGGTGTCTTGGAAGTAATGTGGATGTAGCGGGGGTGATAATCCGCCGCGGAGGGTGCCGATCACGTAACCCATCCACACAATATCTCACAAACAGTATCCAATAACAATGATTAGGCAAGATACTGACAATTTTGAGGGAATGGTTGGCCCTGAAGCATATGCGCCTGCGCGGGATTCAGGTGGGAGAGAGCGTGGGCGTTCGGTACGGGACCGCCAGGACCAGCCGTCCCAGCGCCCGGGGGCATCCCACCCATCATCGGACCAGCTTGGCTCACTTGAGGTCCTCCCGGCGCCGATACACCAGGGTGCATTTGCTGTACCATTCCGGGTCCCGGGTGTCCATTTGGATGTTGTCCGGCCATTGGGTGACCGGGGGGGAATCCATGCTGCGGCATGCCTTGGTGGGCAGGGAACGGCTGCGTCATCATCATTGCTGAACGACGAAGTCACCACTAAGGGGAGACTTCCAAACAGATCGCGACAGTGAAAGGACGACGATTCGTGGCAAGGAAAGGAGCGCGTCCAGGATGCGAAGGCCGCTTTTAGCGTCGGGCGGGCCAAGACGTAGCAAGTGACTCCAGTATTCAACAGATATGCTAAAGCATCGATCAGGCCTCCTGCAAGTCACTCACCCGCTAACCGGGAACTTTTCTGAAGAAAAGGGTGTCAGTGGGGAGTGATAAGAGGGAGGCCGGGGGAAAGGCCGGGGGGGCAGGGTAGTTAGGGGGAGGGGCTGGGCTGCGATATAGAGACACAAACTCACCGAGAGGAAGATGTAAACTGATGTTGACAGGGTTAGTAGGGGAGCTGGCGCCCATAAGTCAAAATTAAGGATGATCGCCCGGTGGGAGAGAGAGAACTGGGGACGGAGGATCCGGGTCCGTAGGTGGAGGGAGGATCTAACCGAGACGACAACGCGACCAATATCGCAAGGGAAAAGAAGAAATGAGAATAGCTACAATAGCATGATGAAGGAATTGAAGACTAAATCCATCATCTCCGGTCTTTCACAAGAAACGCGAGGCTTTTTCCCTCATCTCTTCTGATTCCAATCACGCCGCGCTATGCCCAATGGGGAGGTCACGTGGGAAGTCTCTAGTCTTTTTCTTCAACTTTTTTCTTCCCTTCTCTTCTTCTTCTTTGTCTTCCTTCACTTTCTCTTTCCTGTGTGATTGCAGATACTTCTGTTGTCTCTTTGAACATCTATGAAGTCTGCAATGGCTGTTCATAACCTTTATTGAGCTATATCGTGTTGCTCTCGAGTGCTCTCATGATGTGGATTGCATCTCAGTGGCATGATTGCTCATACTAACCAACAGATCAGGTGCCAGCACCTTTGCCTTTCTGTGAGTACCCAATTGTTTCATTCCCCCCTGTTCAAGGATGACAAAACCCTTTACTTCTTTACCCTCCAAATCGACAATGCGGAGACAATTCGGACTTTCCTTTCCCGGTTGGTCTGCTACTTGCCAGTATATCTTGTCTGAGAACATTTTGCCATGCATATTCAATATCATGTCTTGTAAAGAGCTCTCGCTAATATTGCTCTTCAGATATAGTATCCTTATACGCAAACATGAACACGAGACCAAGGCAAATTGATCAGGTGATGAAAAATTTTCGGATGTAAACTCACAGACCTGTTCTTAATGCGCAAAACCGTGTAGAGATTTCCGTTGCCTTCCTTCTGATGATCAATTTGCCTCTGGGATTTTTTTACTGCATACTTATGCTACATATTTGAATGAATATAACTTTCCTGATATACTTGTTGTGGCTGTAAGCAGTTGGATTGAACTTTATTAGCACCCTGGCTGAAGATCATTACATTATATCGTACTGTGATACGTAGTGGGTACCTAGTCGTACATTATGGCGTGGCTATGTCCTGCTTCTTGACTCGTGAATCTCTAGGCAATCATGAAGTCTCATGTTTCCAAGCATATGACATCTGCGTAGCTTCTGTTCCGAGCTTGGTTGTAGAAAATCTCGATCACGTGACCGTGTATTTCTCCCTCGCAGGGTCCATCTCATGCGCCACTCGCGACTGCAGCAATATCTCGATTTCCGGCGATATCATACACTCAAATCCGGTGACATTGTCCCGGATGTATTCGTCAATGCAACAGGTCCGGCTGTCCATTGCACGCCCCTGTCGATTTATCGCTCATCGCCGCTATCCCGCACCGTTTTCCGCACCCTCGCGTCGTTTCCATCTCTCCAGAAGATGGCTTGCGTCACCGCCCCAAGATCCTCATAACGCAGAATCTACAGCGCCAGGGGAGGTTACAGAAGACCACGCCATCAAAACCGACCAAACGTCGCCCAATGGCCCGTCCGTCCCATCTCCGTCCCCCGACTCGGTCAATTCGGCCTCGAAGAAGTATGGATCTGCTGTGCGCAGAGCTATGAGAAACCGGAAATCCACCCATCAGTCATCTATACCAGCAGCAGCTGTACCTACATGGTTCTTTGAGCGCAATACTGTCTCTCACAACCCCGAACCCCATGCTCCTACACAATCACTACAGCAGGTTAGGATAGCCAAGTCAGGGCCACCGGAGCCGGATGATGTTACAAATGAGAGTCTGGCTTCTGGTGGGGAGCCCGATTCGTCTGAGCCCAGTGAACCAGCTCCAGAGAACCGCTATGCCGTGGCTCAGGAATCATGGGATGAACTTCGGGCCTCGGTCAAAGCAGGCTTGCGGCTACCACCCGCGAAGTACGCAAAGGAACCTTCTGTGAAGAAGTCGCATCTGGCACTGCACTACCCCGGGAATGATGGAATCTTGTTCTTGGATGCGGTGGTGAAAAGACTTTCGCACGAGCTAGGCACTGACCTGGTCACCCTCAATGCCCAGGATATTGCCCAATTATTCAGCGAGCAAGACCTAGCAGATTCGGGGGTAACTTCGCCCATCCGATCTCTTGGTTACGAGGTCTACCGGTCCTCTGTTGCAACCCACTGGTCAGAACTGGAGGATCACGAAGATGGTGAAGACGACGTGGCTGAGATTCCTGGTGGCCCTCGTGGAATGCACGGAGCAATTGGCGCACCTCGGTTTATCACAATCGAGAGCAGCAAGGATTCGGGAGACATTCCACTTCCCAACTGGCTTGGGCTGAAAACGCTTTTGGGGTCTATCAATGGCCAACCGGACCCGGATCCCAGTGCTGGAGCTTCTCGGGGTGGCCAGCGTGCTGAAACCCGCTGGACTCAACTCGTCAACGAGATTGTCGGCTCGTCGGGCTATCCAGTGCAGTCGACTACCACTCCCAATGCCTCAGCTGAAAGCCCTGAAACGGACGCCAGCAAGGTTCGACCATCTCGGGACATAATTGTGCATATCCAGGACTATCGTGACATTCAGAACACTCGGGAAGGCTCCAGGTTCATTTCACTTTTGCACAAAGTGATCCAAGACCGGAGAGGGGCCGGGTCCAAGATTCTGTTGATCGGAACTACCTCTCAGGAAATCCCCTCTTCGCCCTCGTCAGACGGTGCTGGGCTCCTACAGAATGTTCTTGATGATCAGTTTTCGAAGACTTTGTTCGTCACTCCGGCTATGAACTCCAAGGCTGCAGAAACTGTCTTTGCTGAAGACCGTAAGAAGCGCACTATGGACATTAACATCCGCCACCTGCAAAGCATGCTTCGATTCCGATTGAATGAACAGGCTTTGCCGGTCAAGGACAATATTCTGAGCAACCGTGCCTGGCCCCTAGAGCCAACCACAATCAAAGAATCCGGAATCGAGGATCGATACTGGTCTTACAACCAAGTGCATTGGATTGCTACACTTGCACTCGGTTGTGCAGAGTCCAATGAACCCTTTGGGTTTGAACACATTCGCCGCGGTATTGAGCTCATGGATAAAAGTGACCGGGTGACCAATGAGTGGTTGAAGGAGAAATCTCCCAAGCAAAAAGACTCGGAAGCAGGCCAAACTCGCGAGCAGCTTCTGGCTACTTTGCGCAAAACATGCAACACACATGAGAAAAAGCTGCTCAACGGTGTGGTCGACGCAAACAGCATCCGCACAACATTCAACGATGTGCATGTGCCACCCGAAACCATTGACGCCCTGAAGACCCTAACTTCTCTGTCACTTATCCGCCCTGAGGCATTCACCTATGGTGTTCTTTCCACCGACAAGATCCCCGGTCTTCTCTTGTACGGACCTCCGGGTACTGGTAAAACACTCCTCGCCAAGGCCGTGGCCCGCGAGAGTGGCGCTACTGTACTCGAGGTGAGCGGATCTGAGGTGTACGACATGTACGTCGGCGAAGGCGAGAAGAACGTGAAAGCGATCTTCACACTCGCCAAGAAGCTCAGTCCCTGCGTCGTCTTCATCGACGAAGCCGACGCCATCTTCTGCTCGCGCACCGGGGCCAGCAGCCGCACTTCCCACCGCGAACTGATCAACCAGTTCTTGCGCGAGTGGGATGGAATGAATGACCTTTCAGCATTCATCATGGTCGCCACCAACCGACCCTTCGATCTCGACGATGCCGTTCTCCGCCGACTACCCCGTCGACTCCTAGTCGATCTGCCAACCGAGGACGACCGCCTCGCAGTCCTGAAGATCCATCTGAAAGAAGAACAACTCGACGATTCCGTCGATCTAGCCGAGCTAGCCCGTCGTACACCCCTGTACTCAGGCTCTGATCTGAAGAACCTGTCAGTGGCAGCCGCGCTGGCATGTGTCCGCGAGGAGAACGACGCCGCAGCCAAGCACACAGGCACCGAACCATACACCTACCCCGAGCGCCGCATTTTAACGCGGACTCATTTTGAACGCGGCATGGAGGAGATCAGCGCTTCTATCAGTGAGGATATGTCATCTCTATCTGCCATTCGCAAATTCGACGAGCAGTACGGTGACCGCAAGGGCCGGCGTCAGAAGAGCGCTGGGTGGGGATTTATCCCGGCTCCCAGTGGTGAGGCTGCAGTTGAGTCCGCGCGTGTTCGCGATTGATCTTTTAATTCCGTTGGATTTTCTTCTTCGTCGGCTTGTTTTGGATTGTTTTGTTTGGAACCCGGGGGCTTTTCCTTGTGTACTATTAGCGATATGATAGACCTGTACCAATAGTCAAACGTATATACTGCCATAGGTGGGGCATTTGGCATTTACGCAATCATTTGATGATCAATCGGTTTTTTTTCCCCTTTGGAATGGAGTTTGCCTAGTGAAGGGTACTGAGTGTAAGGTCGAGCCCCAGGCAGAGACATTTGGGGTCTTGCACTGTTAACTCGATTCCTACATCTACGTATGCGTTGCGGCCTTTTTTGCTCATGTTTGTTTTCTTATGGATTAGCCTAATTAGGCAGCAGATAAAAAGACACCTTGAATTGATGCTTGGGGGGTAGATATATAAAGAAGTAGACCGATACCTCTTTCTCGCTTTATCCTTGACATCGCCAGAAATCCTTTCTCTCTGTCTAATCAACGATTTCCTTTCTCCTCTTCAGCAAAATTCGATCACTGTCAAGATGTCGGTACGTACTCACCTTCCCAAGAATGAGTATATAATTGAGAGAACTAACATCTCACCTCACTCCATAGAATCCATCGGGGTACTTAGAATCCCCAATAAATCTTATCTACTACTCATACGGCGACTGACAAACACATCTCCAGAGTAACCATCACAGACGAATGCATCGCCGCATACAACCAACTCCGCTCAGGCAGAGGAACCCCGAAACAAAAGTTCATCATCTACAAAGTCTCCGACGACACCACGACCATTGTCCTGGAGGAATCATCCCCGGAGACAGACTACGAAGTCTTCCTCCAGAAACTTTCTTCTGCGGTTGACAAAGATGGAAAGCCGGCTCCGCGGTATGCCGTCTACGACGTGGAATATGATCTTGGGAGTGAAGGCAAACGGTATGAACAGTTTATAATAAGCTGAAGGCTGGGACCGTCGCTGATATATTTATTGTGCCTGTAGCACTAAGACTATCTTCATTCACTGGGGCCCCAGTCATGCACCGATCAAGGTATACTTCCAGGAGCTACCCTCTCTCGCGGATATATATCAGCTAACAAAAACAATGATAGCTTTGCATGCTTTACGCTTGTAGCAAGGAGCAACTGAGAAAAGCTCTTGACGTCAACGTCTCCATTCATGCAGATAGTCTGAACGAGCTTGAGTGGAAAGTTGTGTTGAAGGAGGCGAGTGGGGGTAAGGCATAGATGCAGAGATGCACGCGTGTCGGGAAGTGAACAGCACATCAAGCAGCAGGGCGTATGGGTTGAGCTCGGTAATTATCTACCTGAAATGGAAAATGATAGTTAACTATTAGGGGGATGTTGGTCCTAGATTGCTCATAAGTTAATTTTTATAAAATTCTTAATATCCCTTGGTGGTGAGGGATATTCCGCTACGATGTAGAACTGTAATTTAGCAAAAAGCAAAGCAAATGCAAAGCTTCCTATAGGGCTAGGAGATATTTGACATGGTCTGTGTCACGCCGACTTGGCGTTGCGTCCGTCCACCGAGCTCAATATAAGCGAAGTCTATACTTCGTAGTTCTCGGGTTGTTGCTGGTCAATCGCTTCGTATTGCCATATTTAGCTCGGGAAGATGGTGTGGTGTCTAGAAGAAGACCAAAATGTCTATTAATAGGTGTTTAACCGGATCGAAGGTATATAGAGGCACTCAGAGAGTATATAAAATGAAAGAGCAGCCCGCACGATATACAAGCGGCAGAAGCATCTCCGCATTGGGGCACGTGCCATATGACATCGCGTCTGATCATTCCGCCACCTCCTCTCCCTTGACTCTAGGGGGGATCTCCTAAGGTAGTCCCGGTCTCTTTCCCGTCTATTCTCTGCATTCTTTGCATCCCCAAGTAAATCTGGGGTGGGAGTGCACGGGCGATCGAGAAGAAAAAAAACCTTACAGCTCCCCACTTCACCCGCACAACCCCCACACATCACTGAGATCGCGAAATGATGGCGACAGGGTCTCGCGACGCCTCAGTTCGTGAGGCCAAACTATTCGTCCGAGATGTCGTCCGCAATGACTGGGAATTTGACCCTGACGTTCCCTCCGCATCCTCGGCCGACGGTACCCTCTGCCATAACCGCGAGGTGGTCGAATGGCGAGTACGGGAATTTGACAGCCCAACTTCGGAGCTCGAGGCGCAGAATTCGGATACAGAGGACGATGATGATGATCCGTCCGCGGCTGTAGGGGATGTCGCAATCGAGCGCCGTCGCAAACGTCGTCGCCAAATGGACGAGGAAATGGCTTGGAACGCGGGTCTGCGCGTGTGGATGGCTAGGCGCAATGCATGGTCTGGAGCTAAGACTCGGCGGCAGATCCGGGCCGAGGAGGAAAAGCGTGCCTTGGCTGGGCAGGCGGACACAACAGATCAATCAGATACTGGTTCGTCGGCTACCTCCCCAGCTACAACTTTGCCTGGTCGAAGCACCGAGGCTGTTGGCGCATCCGATCTGGCGATGAAGACAGAGACGTCGCTCTCTATTCAGGACCAGGAGAAGAGTGAGGAGCTTCAGGGCCCAGCGGAGACGTCTGGGCAGCAAGCGGATCTTGAGGAAGGGCAATTTACCGCCTTAGACGAGGAGGCCAAGCCCAGTGCTTCTATGGGGACAAATATCACAGACCCGGATCATGTTTCCACGGATCCTAGTCTCCTGGCCACACTCCCTGCCGTGGAAGACCAAACAGAAGAGGAAAAGGAAGAAGAAGAGCTCGACGAGCCACTCCTGCCAGTTGCACCTCCCTTCATTTCAGACGATAACCCTGTCCGCGCAACCATCAACCCCGCAATCTACCCATCAATCTACACCAAAGTGGTTGTACAAGGCATGACACCCACAGTGCCTGTCAACCTCGCCCATTTGACCAAGGCTATGGTTCAAGGCTGGAAATCAGATGGCCAGTGGCCACCCAAGCCAGCGGCGACATCAATTGTCCTCGCAGATGACGCCACTGTACCCAAGAAGGCAGACGCCTCTGCCAATGACGCTCCCCAAGGGAGGAGAAAGAACAGTATTACAAACGCGGTGAAGAAGGTCTTCCACTTTGGGCCCTTCCACCGACGTGGTTCGAGCAGTCATGATGCTGGAAATGGGGCTGGCGCTGCTGGTTCTGCTGTTTAGGGTCAACAAGAGAAGTAGTTAGCATACCTACCTTATTCTGCTGCATATGAATTATTGCATACCGAGTCCAGGTTGAAGCTAATGTGGATCGAGGGGATTCATGCATATGGCTTCGGTGGTCTTCGCTTTATTTGGCGTTTTTTTCCGGTGCTTTTTATATCGGTTTCCTGTTTATAATCTGGGCATGTTTATTGTTTTTAGCTTTGGACAATGGGGAAATATTATGCATCTGTCTAATTCTATAAGAGTCCTAACTAACACACGGTCTATATCGGTCCCTTGAAATCCATCACGTCTATTGAATTCTTTTATGTGGGTCTTCTAATCGTGATATTAAGCTAATCAGTCTCACTTAGCCAGACTCGCGAAGTTATGTCTTAACGATGTAAATATTAACCCTCTTTTTGGACCACGTCTCTTGTGAGAAACCATTCGAGGAAGGGAAGATCTTGCGCAATTTGGTTGCATTCGAGTTTTGTGATTGAGCTACTGTAGCAATGATAGAATGCTAGAGCTAATTATGAAAACCTCCTGGCCGAGCTAATAAAATAGTCCTCGACATTCTCCTCGTGTTGGTTTATGAAGTCCACCATATCGAATACTTTATTGAGCTGTTTTTCCAACAGAATGACATTTCCGGTCTGGATGTATCCTTTGAATGTCATAAAGATTTTCCTTACTGCAACGCAGAGTACATTTATACTGCCCTCTCTGTCTGAGTTCCCAGGCCGTGGCCATGCTCTTTTCAAGCCTTACTCATGAGTGTCCGCCCATTCATTCTTCGAGACCTCAAAGTCCGGACAGAAAAAGTAAGTTCTTCTCTTCAGGTTCTCATCGTCGGAAACAAAAGTATGGTTTGACAGAGCTGTGATTATGCTCGAAGAAGCAGGTATGGCGCTGATTCCTCGGAACCAGTCTTTAGAATCGAGAAATTATGCACGGGGTCGGTGACACTTGCGTGGCAAGCGGAATAATATTCTCAGGCCCGTAGGCCACTTCTGTAACTCCTGTGTGATCAAATTATAAGCTTTGAAGAAAAGGCAATCCCACACTGAAGCCAAATGTGGAGCAAGAGAGAGGGATACACCGGTTAAAATGCACAGACTGACCATCAAAGTCGACAAAGTGGCATAATTCGTGCAGAAGTACACGGGGTGTGGACGTTGCCATTTTTAATCTTATGCCAGCGGAAATAGTCTTTGCCCCAGTACGCTAGGTGCTGAGTGTATTCTTTCTGTTGGGCCAATTCCAACTGCCTGGGCACATTGTGATTGCAACAATGTTTTTTCCCCTGTTGGTAAATGCGAGGGTTTGTGCATTAGTGCATCCAGGATCCGTTCCGATATATCTCCTGAAAAGAGGAGACCACCATTCCCATCCTGCTCGCGAGAAAACAAGTTAGATTGATTTAGGTATGAATCACTGAGTTGAACTGGCTTTATTAACATACGCAGGGGGGCCAGTGAAAGTAACGCCTGTCTGTTCTGCATCGGATTCTCGATAAACCATCTGTCGTCCATCGCCAGCTATCATCGCAGAAGATCCCGGGATTGTTGCCGTCCTTTGCCTCGGTGGAATCCGCAGTGGCTTCGAAATATACCTGCATGAACCCCATTTTGTATCAATTATTGGTTCGATCATTGCTATAATGATTAAGAAATGGTGCCCAAAACCGGAGTCCAAGCATGAAAAGTACGAACAACATAGATAAAGTTGCGCAGAGTGGATTGCTGATACCGTTGTAGGAGTAGTTGTGTCCGCCTGAATGCCGAAGAATGAGGCAACAATACGCACTGTAGCACTGTTGGCATGGTCGTATATCTGGGAACATCACAAGAAAGGGAGGTGAATGGCCCTCTCGCTACGTTTGTCGTAGACCGATCTTTTTTCTTTTTTTTTAACCACCGGACAGACATCTTCATCCAATATTTCCAGATTTCCTCTCGAGGGTCTCAAATGATCACGAGCTCGGGAGCATTCTAGTAAGCAGTTGCTCGCCACGAGGTATCCTCCATCTACGTCTCGCTGGCGTTGGTCTTCACTGTCAGTACTGACCTTGGCTTTACCCACAGCACCTTGAACTGCATGACTCTCGTTTCGCATATCGACAGCAAAAGCTTCAGCATGTGACGTTGCCTCGTCACCATACATCTCAGTATATACCCATCCTTTTATCTTAACTATCCCATTATCGCCGGTTACTCGACATTCTTTGCTCATCACTTAGAGAGCCTCCCTTTCCCGGTTTCGGTATCCCGTGAATTGGCACCTTGGGTTACACCTTCCCAGCATCTTTTCCAGATGACGAATGAATACATTCCATGTTCGTCCTGTACGAGTCAAGATTATGATGAGTGCCTGTGTTGTTTCTGCTCGGCCTGCGGGGAGTTCGGTCACACTAAAGACCGCTGCATCCAAACAAAATGCCACGATTGCCATGGATGGCATGACGCTGATGGATGTCCTAGAGACATAGAACCCCGGGAATTGCGATTTTCTCTGCCGCGACCCCATGCTCTACCTGAGTCAACAGGTCATTTTTCATCCGCCGAATTGGAGACTCATACTCTTGTACGTTAATATTTTCCACGTTGATTCAATCAGAGATTACAAAACTAACATTTCATACGATAGAAAGATGGTCAAATCAAGCCCCAGACTACAGAGGCGATTCCCATAGCGCCTTCGGTGCGGCACAATAGTCTTGGGGTTGTTGATCGTCTATCAATCCTGCGCCATCTTATCTCAAAGACCAAGCAAAAGTACAACGACAGATACTCTAAGATTCTAAACTCGGCACATTTGGATGTTGAGGCCTTACTGGATAATAACTTGAGTCTTAGTGTGAAAGATCTCTGCGAGAGAGGGCACTTCACTCTTTCCAGGTATGTTCTCTTCCTAGGTTCAATATCCTTGGGTTATTAACGATGTTTTGAAGCTTGATTGCCCTTGGTGGAAGCCCAGAAAGCTCCCAAGAAGCCGGGGTCTACCTTCACATCCTATGGAAGCAGAGTATACCCAGCTGCTTTTGGCTATATGTTGGGCAAGCTGGAGTTTTCTGTGTAAGAATCGGCACACACAACAACCCGTGGCGCCGGCAGCGACAAAGGTCGTTACATTACACGATATGGCATTCGGAAAGTGATATGGAATCGGTATTCGTCAAACTTGCTGTGCACGACGCCTTCAGCTCCGAGGAAGGCCAATTATTACTGAACCTCCAAGAGATGTGGATGAGCCTGGTCTTCCAAACTCTTAGGGGTTTCCATCTAAATGAGTTTTTGCCACCTGGTTCGAACAAGCTATGGGCAGGAAATCATCTGAACGTTTCCATACCGCTGTGGCAAAGTTTCACTGCCATTCCAAACGCGGAAACCAAAGGAGGAAGCCTCGCTTTCAAAGAGTATCTGTGCCACAAGGACCCAGCTGTACGCCATTGGGCCGAAGACGCCCGTGATGCCTTTAATGACCTCCGCAACTCCCCAGATCCTCTTCTCCGTCGTTACTATCTGGATCTTAACCAGGGAGCCCGGAAGACCGCGCGTGCAGCATGGGAGAAGAAGAAGTATGAAGAGCTACGAGAGTACCTATCAGGGAAAGTAGCAATCGTTACAGAGAGCCATGATGGGGAATTAAGTGAGGTCAGCGCCGGAAGCTTTCGATTTACAATTTCACGAAAGCTGGGCTTGAATGTCGATGGTGGTGACAAGGTTTTGCTCAAAATGCATTTAGCAGAGACTAGCCCTCATCCACGTGCCTATGCCCATAAGGCGAGGTTAGACGAACCTGCAAGTCGATTGGCAGTGTCTATCGAAGGAGTACGTGGGGATTTCTTTGAGTGGTTGACAACAAGTGGGAACCTGAATGTCCAAAAGATGAATTCGTTGGTGGATGTTCTGGAAGGACTAACCCTGGAAGAGAGTGAATCTCTCCCGCGGCGCTGGCATGTGAGGCGCATGATTCCGGGAGTAAGAGCGTCGAAGAAGCATAAATATACCTAGCTCGTTATGCCTTTTTCAGATATTTTCGCAGAAGCCGTCAAAAAGTCGAGGGAGTTTTAATTTCGATAAGCCAAAAAAAAA